AAAAGCTAAAATCACTTCACACTTTGCATAATGCATGCTTGGTACTGTAGTAAGAGAACTAATGAAAACATGAAAACAATACTGTAGCATCCCGCTACTGGCTATGTGACTGTACAAGGCTCTGAAGGTGTGGCTATCCAGAGGGCCACGTGAAGAGGCTCATGCTACCCATAAAAAGAGACTTAAATGTTGAAGTTGTTGTTTGTTAGTTTAAGTTATGTTAGTTCATTTGTTAGGTTAAATTTTATTATAAAGTGAACATAATTAGGCCTGTTTAATGGAAATTATCAGTGATATTGGAAATATCACTGTACATATTGTGCATCATGAAAATGTCTTGAAGTATCGTGCTATATTACGTTTGCCATCTTGCCCACCACAATGGTTGTTAATGACCTCCTCAGTATTTGCGCTCTGTTGTTATGTGCCTTTCTGCTGGTCTTTCAAAAAAAGAGCACCAGAATCTGCGCCTCTCCTGTGTCTTACACTATGCTGATGCCACAGTGGTGTCAGAAATGGGATTCAAACCAACATCTCCAGGGGAGACTCTGACAGAAATGGTGAGGAGAACAGCTTAGCAGTGGAGCAAGGACCCATCAGCGGAGAAGCGAGGCCTGGCGGTGTTGATCACGGCCCTCCAGTGATGCTTTGAGTAGGTGCTAGTGACGTGGTTGGCCAAGGCCAAAAATCGGGCCTCCAAAACATACAAGAGTCACCCTCACTGGCATCACAGTGTGGCGGGTCAAGGGAGCGCCACTGCTGTTGCCGCTGCCTTGGTGGAGCAAACTGACACTGTAAGCTGCGAGGAGTTCCACCGTGCATGGGAAAGAGGACGAAGCCCTCAGTCTCTCTGCTGCGGCGCTCAGAGGGAGAGGATGCGGCCCCAAGAGAGGATTGAGGGCACGCATGGCCAAGGATTGTGCACTCCGTGGCATGTGTGTTTACCAGAGGGCCCTAGGGACTCATTCTGTGAGATCACTGGGATGGCTTACCCTTGAAGGTGGGGCTATGTAGCATCCAGCTTCTAGCTTGTGCTGCCATGCAAAGCGGCCACATGACAAGGCTCTTGGGAAGCACCATGTTGAGTGGTAGGAGAGACATTTCTTGTTAAATAAATTGTTGTTGTTGGCTTGATGATGTGCATATTTGTCTTACATGTTATTTGTGCTATTCTCTGCTGGACTGTAGAGTAGTTAGGGCAGTGTTAGTGCCTACCATGAAGAGAAAGTGTGGACTAGAGGTGACCTGCCTGCCATCTCGGCCGTTTCAGCAGCGCTGAGTGGCCATTCTCCTTTGCTGCCTGTTCAATAAAAGAGCATTCACCTTTAAACCGTAGTCTTTCCTGCGTCTTCTTCTTCGCTAATCAAGTCTATTCGAGATTTCAACATGGTTTGTGGTAAGTGTTGATTTAGCCATACAAACTTGGCAATTATACACCGATCAGGCATAACATTATGACCACCTCCTTGTTTCTAAGCTCATTGTCCATTTTATCAGCTCCACTTACTGTATAGGTGCACTTTGTAGTTCTACAGTTACAGACTGTAGTCCATCTGTTTCTCTGCATACTTTGTTAGCCCCTTTTTACCCTGTTCTTCAGTGGTCAGGACCCCCATGGACCCTCACAGAACAGGTACTATTTGGGTGGTGGATCATTCTCAGCACTGCAGTAACACTGACGTGGTGGTGGTATGTTAGTGTGTGTTGTGCTGGTCTGAGTGTTGTAAGGCAAATTGTATCTAAAGAAAACCTTTTTTTGTTTCTCATTGTTTTATCATTATCTATACACAAATAAAATACGTATATAAACTGTAGGTTCACTGGTCACTTACAATAGTACATACAATGACTATATTATGGCTATTGTGTTGTATTCATCATGACCCCTGTATATACTAAATACGGGAAAAGGTGTCAAAATGATGTGCATGGTAACTGACCATACCTACATATGCAGCATATAGAGATTTTATTGAAGGAAGCTCTGCTTAATGTGTCATTTTGCTCTAGACACGCTGATAGAGACTTGCATTTAAAGCACATAACCAGTTTTCCTGCACTATGTTATCTGTGCAAATCATATAATCTCAGAAACAAGGCTAGGCTTTTGTTGACTACAACAAAGAGTAGTGATTTGACTCAGTTTAACAGCAACTGTGATTAAAGGCCAAAGCCGGCATGATCAAGCATCTTATCAGTTTAAAAAGAGAAGTTTTGGGATATTGTATTGATTCGAAAAGCCTTGCACTTCACACAAGAACTTTGGCCTCCTTAGTACCTCATCCATTGATAAGACAAATATCAAGAACAGACAGCTTTTTTTCCTAATAATGTGACCTATTTCAACCACACTCAATGCACATTAACAATGCCCCTTGATGCCCCTCCCTAGCCAGTGATCCATAGAACTAATATATTACTCATGAGGGAGAATCCAAGGATTAGTCAGCTTAAAATTTTTAGTTGGTGGTTAGGGACATTCATTAGTCCAGTATTTCCCAGCTCTAATCCTGTATGGCCCGTACAACAGAGATATGTGTTTTCCAGCTCTATTTCACTGGATTCAGCTTAAGAATGCCTTTAACTAACGCAACTGGGCACTTATGGACAAGCCTCCATGAATGAGATGAGAAGCCCTGCAGTAAAATACTAATTCTCTGCATTAATTGTTTTAGGAAATGGAACAGAACAACAGGGCTACTTTCTTTCTTTAGCCAGTTTCTTGTTTTCCTGGCACTCTGAATCAATTATTCTTGTTCTTATCAATCGCCTGAAGACATATATGGGAGTTACTGGTATAGCTTTGAACTGCTTCTATTCCTACCTCATAAGCAGGCAGCACTATATCCCTCCTGGCACCTCTCATTCTACCATTGCTGCTCTCTTACAGGAGTCCCCCAGGGATCAGTATTAGGACCTTTACATTTACAGTCTCTGTGCTACCTTTTGCCCTGCGATGAACTGGCGACCTGTCCAGGGTGTTTCTTGCCTTCCGCCCAATGACAGCTGAGATAGGCTCCAGCACCCCACCGCGACCCAGAAGGATAAGCGGTTTAGATGATGTATGTATGTATGTATGTGTGTGCTACCTTTTGGGCAGATCCTCTGTAAATATGTTCTTGGTTGTCATTTTTCCTGACAATACTCAAAACTATGTCCATACCAAGCCTACTGACTAAACTCCAACTGCCTCCAAGAGGTGAAAACATGGCTGAGTAGTATTTTTTAAAGAAAATCTGGTGATGTCAGGATGCATTTTGATGGATCTACCCTACATGCAGCTAGTGTGGTTGGGAACCTTGGGGTCTTATTTGATTCTGCTCTCTTTTTTCAACCACACTAGTATTACTAAAGCAGCGTTTTTCCACCTAGCCCATCTCTGCCCTAGACTAAAATGCTTTAATATGCATTTGTTAATTTATTTTGTTGGACTATTGCAGTGGCCTCCTGCTTGGACCAGATAAATCAACAGTCAGATTAGTGTGCATACAAAATTCAGCAGCCAAGGCGTCGACCCATACCAAACCCTAGGACTATACTACTCCGATTATCTTTGATCTTCATTGGCTCCCAGTTAAATATTGCGCAAGTCTGCTCTCCACACTATTCCTTGTTACTTTTGGTGACTGGGCTTTTATTAATGCTGCCCCCTTTCTTAAACCATCAGAGGCTCTGATAGTGTGAAGGCTTTTAAAACTTTTCTTTTTATGCATTAATTAGTACTTTTGCTGTCATTCTTATGCTTCTAAGTTGTGATAGTACACTTACAGCTGTGATGTTTTTCTTTTAACATTTTGTACAGTGTTATTTGATACTCTGAAAAGCACTTGAAATAAAATATATCATTATTATTTTCATTAGCTAATGAGCAATTCTTCTTGAGAATGGATTGAAAACTCCTATCCTGGTAAGTTCAAAGCATTTTTGAGTAAGAGAACTGACCTCAGCTCAGATCCTTGTATGGTCATGGACAAAGACTGATCCTAGTTCAGCATACCTGCTCCTGAGGTGGTTTATGAGTACTGTGAAAGCCTGTTTTCACTGCTCGAAAAATACGGAAATAATGAGAAGATTTTCCACAATTGTGACTTGGTTTCTCATAATTATGACATAGCATCTTATAATTAATTACACTCATTATCTCATAATAATGATATGTATATCTCGCTGTTGTCAGAAGAAAACCTCATATCTCCATTTTTGACATTCTGCAGTTTTTGACATAATTTGAAAGTACCTGTTGCTCTTTACATGGTATGGAAATTTCATGATGAATGGACCAAAAGAAACAGCTCAAAATAACTTGGAAAAAAGTCTGGTTTCATTGACTTACATGGAAAGTAAAGTATGCTGTTTCCTTCTCCTGTAAAGTTCTCATGTTGGAAATACAAGGAGGGGGCGGAGCCAGGCGTCATATATATATATATATATATATATATATATATATATATATATATATATATATATATATATATAGATGACATAGTTTCTTACAATAATGACTTACTATGTCATAATTATGACTTGGTATCTCACAATTATGACTTATTTTCTCATTATAATGACTAATTAATAAGATTTGATCTCATAATTTTCACCTTATATCTCACAATTTGGACTTAGTATCTCATAATAATGATTACGTTATAATTATGACTTACATTTTCATAATATTACCAGATTTTGAGTCATAATCATAACTGTGAGATGGAGTCCTTCAGAATGAAGACAACTCGTTCAGTTTAAAAGGGAGCTTAAAAAGCCTCTTCATGTTCTTGCCTATGATATTTCAGATGAGCATGAGCAGCAGGTGATGACGATGATGATGTTTCCAGCGAGGTTTTGCAATATTGAGGCAGACGGTAAACAAAGCCACGTGCTGGAGGGGGCGGAGCCAGGCGTACTTCCGGCTCCTTGGCCTGAGAGTATAAATAGCCTCAGCGAGCATCTCGCAGTTAGAGCTGCTTCCAAAAAAACAAAAAATCGTAAACAGACTAAACGAGTTAAACGGCCCCGACAGCGTCCAGAGGCTTTTATTTGGTGTCTTTGTGTGTTTTAAAGCGACCAAAAATGCCTTTTCTTGGACAGGACTGGCGCTCGCCTGGACAAAACTGGGTTAAAACCGAGGACGGCTGGAAAAAAACGACGAAAAACGAGAACGAGGCGAATAACAACGTCTCTGAACGGTCAGTGCCAGTAGCGTCAATGCTAATGTCTTCTTAAAGTCGTGTGAAAGTAACTTACTATTGTTTTTAACCGGTCAAACGGTGGGGAGACCGTATAGGTTATGTTAACTGACATAGGACAGCTAGAACTGCGTCGTTTCTGTATAATTTAGACTCTTCTACCGCTGATAAAGTGAAGCAAACAGCCCAGTGTGAAGTGCGAAGGATGCTGAGGGAAAACAACTGGACGTCGTGCCAGCAGGGTTTCATATTACAGCAGTAAATAGCTCCTCCGTGCTTTTGTTGTCCTACATCCATGGCTAGTGCTTAATCACCCTGCTATTAATACGTGTAAGTGTAATGGGATTAGTGGTCATCTGCCTGGCCACTTTATTGTTTCCAACAGCCCTGACAGCACTGGCCAGAAAATATGTGAGGGACTCTTGTTTTTCTACCATCGTGTAATTATCTTCCCCCGCCTTACATGAGTAGGTTTGTCTATGTGGGCCTTCAAACTTGCCTAGAATAAGGCATTCAATGACAGCAGTGGTGATGCAATGACCTGATGACCACTCAACACTTGATTTCAGGCATGGTAAAGAAGAGGACTACTACAAAGAGAACTTACTCCTCTCCATTAATTATGATGTGGCCACAAAGAAGCGAAAGAAGGACATGATGAACAACAACACGAAGATTCCTTGTAAGTAATGCCACGTGTGTGTGTGTGTGTGTGTGTGTGTGTGTGTGTGTGTATATATATATGCATACTGTATGTAAAAGGGAAAAGCTGATTGAACTACTCAATAATGGCATCATTTTGTTGTTCTGCTGTCCAGATTTCCATAAAGACCAGTGGATTTATGTCCACAAGGGGAGCACCAAAGAGGTAAGGCCGGATGTCTGAAATGGTTTGGTTCCTACAGCTTTTCTATGCTGCTGGTTAATTCATTGCTAACTCTTTCCACACAGCGCCATGGCTATTGTACTCTGGGAGAGGCTTTTAACCGCTTGGACTTCTGCAGCGCCATCAAGGACACCAGGCGGTTTAATTACGTCGTGAGGGTGAGTTTCCTTTTACACTGCCCTACAGGCAGGAACACATTCTCATTACAGTGGGTTAACCAAAATAGCGTGATCTAGCAGAAAGGGCTGAGCGTTAAGCCTTGGTGTGTTAGTGTGTGGCTCTGTTTTTGCCCTTATCACCGCACTCCAGACAAGAGGGCCTCTGGAGAGGCTCCATCCGTGATGATCACAGGCACTTGGTGTGTCTTGAGTGTGTATGTGCGTAGGTGTGTAGTAGTCATTGTTATTCTTTTGTGCTCATCTGGGCCACAAAAGAAACAACCATTTTAAATGGTAGTTACTAAGGCTGTGAAAATGCTTAAGGTGAAGGTGGTTCAACTGTATCAATTTTGGAATATTGGATTTGGTTATAAACTAAAGTTCTTTAGTTTATTCATTAGATAATTCATTTATTTTGTTTATAAAGTTCTCTTAGTTCATTTTTCAGGATATATTTCTGTGGATATTAGACATTAGATAATCCACAGGGGACAGTAAAAGGGAAAATGAGTGAAAATCTGGAGTTTGGAATACAGAGAAATACAGAAATTGGGCCCTGGTTGACCACCAAGACTGTCGTCTTCAGAGAAACAGAGGAGGAGTAGCTGCTGGTGTTCTCAGAGCAGTGGACTGACCACCCCAGAGCCCAGACCTTAACATTATTTAGTGTGTTTGGGATTACTTGGATCGTGAGAAGCAGAAAATGCAACCAACTTCTGAGACTGAACTTTGGAAGTGTGCCAATTTCTTTAAAAAACTGAAAGCAAGAGTGCTGACCAGCACTGAAGCGGAAATATAGACAAAGACACACTAAATACTGAACAATTTTGATAATAGTTGTTATGGGTTCTGTATAAAATAAATGACTGGCTTTGGCGCAGCACTGTAGAAATGCAGGAAAAAAAGGTTAGTGTATTGTTTTTATTGTCTGCTCTCCAGTACTAGTTCAGCCAGTCACATTCCTTCTTATCTGCACTGATGCATGTTTTCAGCATATTTTAAAAAATAATTAATTTGTTGCAACAGTAATGAAATGGAATTGTTGTGAGGTCAGACATTTTACAACCCCTAACAAATTAGATAGATAGAACTTTATTGATCCCGAAGGGAAATTGCAGTGTTTCAGTAGCAAGACAAATAAATGCACCTATAATAGAAATCTCATTCTCAGGCTCGGAAAACCAGGTATACTACTTAGTCTTTCAAGTAATGAGCTTATTTGTTTATTTGGCCTGATGCTGCTGAAAGCAAAGGTCAGGCAGCCTCAGAGTGGACCAGTGTGAAGTGAAGGTCACTGTCAGACAGTGTCCTAGTACCCAGCAGGGCTCAGAAATGACAGCCGCAGCTTATGAAAGCAGACTGGAAAGTCAAGTGACTGAGCTCCCTTTTCCAAAACCCCCTTCCCCCCTGCTCTCCCCTCTTCATCGGAGGACATTTAGACTCATGCTTTGTGACTCAATTCTGATCGCTTGGCTCCACTGTGGTATAGTGAGTCTGTCATCAACTGTTCAACTACTGGAGCAGATGTAGGTCATTTGAGTCTCACATGAAATGGAACGAAAATCAGTGGTAAAGTAGGGGTGCATCATATGACTGTTATTGTTATTATTTTTATTGTTATTTTTCATAGCCTTAAATTTTCTAGTATTGTGTTTTTTTGTTTTTTTTTGTTTTTTTTTTTAGTTCCAACTTGTTTGCAAACCACAAAGTATATTAATGCACATCATGTACTGTGAAAAACGCTTTCAAGTATTGTGATGTGATTTTTTTTTATTTTATTTATTTATTTATTTATTTATTTTTATTATCCGCACTTATGTTAAAACAGCTTCTCAATATTTGTCGGTACTGTGAGTACTTTCCTCCACAAACTGTGACATGGTGTTCAGGTTTGTGTCACAATGTGCTCGCTGTTCATCTAAATAGCCGAGGTAGCCAAGTGTGCTGCTGTTTAGTGGAGCTCGCTTACAGGGATCGAATTTAAGTAGTAATGGAAAAACAGGCCCATGAGGCAGAACGGGGGGGGGCTGACTTTCAGGAACATTGCCCCACTACCTCCATTAATGCATAGTCATCCTCTGTGGTTCACTTAACAGTGATCATATGATGAGTCTGTGTCACCATCAAGGCATATGTTGGCATTTAAGGCCCCCGAGAGCAGCTAAACGGTTCCCCAAAACGTTTCGTAACCGAATATCATGTGACTAATTGGGTCACAGAACAACCAGATAAAGCCTTTCGATTGAGATCAATTATTGTAAGTGGATTTAACAAGGACCTCGTCACATGCGGCACCACAGGTCTCTGAATAGAACAGTGGTTTAGGGCTGTTTGAACTTTATCCTTGTTTATATTTGAATGTTGTTCCCAAAATGAAAAGAGAAATTTTGCACATTTCTATTAAAAGTGAAAAATCCTCGTGTTCATTAACATTTTAAGCCCAAAGAGAGAGACAAATTTCGAAGCACTTAGCTAAGCAGCTAATCCTGCAGTTTACATGTACTATTGCATGATCATTCACTTGCTACATTACAAATAGCTCACATTTAAGAGCATTGACTTGTCAGGAAGGTCTGGCGTCTGCAACAGACCATTTAGTTATATTATATCAGGAAATATTTCTGCTGAAGATCATTATTCAGTTTATAAACATTTGTATGATCTCAGAATGACTGAGTTGCTAAACAGCTGTCAAACATTTGCAAATATTACCATACATTTTATAACTCAAATAGATGGTTTGGTTTATTTATTGGCAATAAAAAGTTATTGTTGTCGCCATGTATAGCGTGACTCCTGCTTTGGTTAGTAGAGTCAAATACAGACTTTTTTTTTATTTATTTATTTATTTTATTATTATTTATTTTTTTTTTCTTTAGTGAATTATTTTTTTTACACTGGGCTTTTTAAAAACTATTTGGCAGGCAAAGGACCTAATCATGCTTTGAATGTTTGTAGTGGTCTAAGGCATGTACATAACCATTGAACTAGCCATTTTTGAGCCCACTTTAACATTTTAGGCTACATCAGTAACACATTTTAGCAGGTACCAAGAAAAAAAGTTACATGGCAAAATAAAACATTGTTCTAATGGTATGTTGCTTTTATTTAGCACTATCTGTTAGGGCTACTAACTAATTAGACACCTTAGCAACTGTTCTAGCTATAACATAGATGTATCTTGTCATGCCTTTTTTGGGTCCAATTTTGCATTTCAAACATCATCTAAATATTTTTATAATTACCTAATTTTTGTGGGTCATTCTACAGAAGTGTCCACTAAATAAATCTATCCATAGGAGTCACTGGTGTTACCGATAGTCATTGTTACACATACGAAAAGGTAACAACAGAGATGTTTTTTTAATGAAATACATTTTACAAAATGGCTGCCACAGAGCATCAAACCACATGTCATTCATAGAATATCTACTAAAATATGTACTTTAACCCATTTGTATTCTATTTTTTCACAATTACCTAAATATAAAGTAGGTCACACCAGTGACTTCAGCTAAAAGCTTCATATGAAATCATGAGCTACATCAGAAAATCTCTGATAACTGAAAAGACACAGTGGACTCACCATGAGCTTTTCTTCATAGATCCTCAGAAAACAGGTAAAAGGAAGTCAAGTGATGTCATCAGTGTGAAATTTTTTTTTTTTTTTCCAAAAATAAGAGATTTCACCAGTGACATGACTCCTGGGGACCACAACTTTTATTATATATTTATTTGCCATTTATTTTGTTTGTCATTTAATTTATATGTTTCATAGTCATGTACAGATTATTGCAGTTAAAATTGCAGAACAACTTTTCTTACCTCAAAATATGGCCTCAGCCTTTACACATGACTGTAGGGACAAGCTCTTCTGTAGTGCTTGGAATTTATATAATTGATTTAAAAACTAATATGGCTAAATTGAGGCTCAAGAAGGTGTAATTGTTAAAATAACATTTTATTTATAATTTAAAATAAAACATTGGAACCCTAACATGTTTGTTAAGTGTAACATATCTGTAAAGGCGAGGGACACAAAAATGGTTTCTGTAGAATGACCCACCAGTGTGTGTAGATGCATTGAAATTCAGTGGCCAGGGAACAGTGTGAACTCTGTCTGGAAAGTGGGTGAACAGTAAGTTGTATGAATCAACTAGAAGGAGCGGTTAGAAATGTCATGTCCCACACGCGCCACATAAAAGCACTTGAGTTTATCAAGGGAGGACTCGGTGGTGGTAGTGATTGGGAGGAGGGGGATGGGGAGAACAGTGATGTTCACATGCTTTCAGGTCAAGCAGGAGTCAGTGTTGTTCCATGGCTCTGCCATTCTTGGATGCCAGGCATGCCAGCCTCTCTGCTCTGGCGCTGTTGCCCAGTGGAAACAAATCTCTTTCCTCGGTGTTGACTGTTGGCAGTTACTCTTTAAAATGCTATCGTCCACATTTGTATAATGAAGTCAAATACTTTAACTGTGAAGTGTTGGACAGATTTTTAGATATAACTGATATTTCAAACCAGCATTTGATGCCAAATGAACATAAATTGTCTGCATTTTATTTATCGTACTGCATTTTGCTGTTGTCGGAACAAAACCTCGTATCTCCAAAATGGAGAAGGAAAAAACCTACTTTACTTTTAATGTAAGTCAATGGAACCAGACTTTTTTCCAAGTCATTTTGGGCCGTTTCTTTTGGTCCATTCTTCATGAAATTTACACACAATGTAAAGGACGACTGACCTTTTCAGATTATGTAAAAAAAAAAAAACGGAAAAACAGCAAAAACAGATACGTGGTTTTCTTCTGACAGCAGCATTTGTAACCCTGTAATACCAATCAATAGGAAAAAGCCTGTGAAGTGGATTTTGTCCCAGCTTCTGCACTGTTTATGTAACTGTATCAGCAGCTGTTACTTGAAAAATATCAGATTTTGGATTGAAATATCAGCCTACAGTTTTCATACTGGTGCATTGCTGGTAAACTCGGGGAAACAACGAATTCGTAAAGGTATTTTATGTGTTACACGTGTTTAAATTCCATGGCTGTAATTACTGGTGGTAATAGTGCCCCAAAGACTGAGTGCTGCTCATGTTGCATAGCTAGCTTATTAGCTAGCTGACAAGGTTTTTGCAAAACTTTGGCTTTGCAGAACCCAAAAGTGGGTGGACTTTATTTGGTAAAAAGTAGATTGCAGATTCAATTTTTTTGTTAATGTTTTGAAAACATAGAAAACCTAAATAAAACAAGGAAAGGCTCAAATGCTGATCTGTCGCTCGACTCTTTTGCATGGGCTACTTTAATGTAAAACTTGATTTCTTTCCCTTAAAGATCATTACTTTTACACTAGTATGATGACTGGTACTTTATACTGCTAACGCTGTGATTGTTTTGATTGACTGCACAGTGAGTAATGAGCGCAGAGCTGCTCGGCTGTTCTGGATTATGGTTTGTTTCTAGTGCTTGTAAAGAGAGCAGAGCATAACACCATGTAAGTGATGTTGGAACGGAAAGTCTCGAGTTTGACGGCTCGAATTTATGTCTTGTGTTGTAGCTGTTGGAGCTGATTGCCAAGTCCCAGCTGCCCTCGCTGAGCGGAGTGGCGCAGAAGAACTACATGAACATTCTGGAAAGAGTAGTGCAGAAAGGTGAGGGCTTAAACGCTCACTCACTTACTCACTCACTTTCTCTCTTTCGCGCTACTCTTGCCATGCTCTTGCGCGCTCTTCTCTACTTCTCTCTTTCTTTCTCATGCTTGCTCTCTCTCTCTCTCTCTCTCTCTCTCTCTCTCTCTCTCTCTCTCTCTCTCTCTCTCTCTCTCTCTCTCTCTCTCTCTCTGACTCACTTGCCATGCTCCCTCACTCACTCTCTCTCTTGTGCTACTCTTGCCATGCTCTCGCGCACTCGTCTTTCTTTCTGTCTTTCTTTCTGTCTTACTCTTGCTTGCCTGTCACCACATCGTTTCTCTCTCTCTGAGTCACTTGCCGTGCTCCCTCGCTCTCTCTCGTGCTGTTTGCCATGCTCTCGCGCACTCTTCTCTACTTCTCTTTCTTTCTCTTGCTTGCCCATTACCCTGTCACTACTCTTTCTTGTGCTCTCTCTCTCTCTCTCTCTCTCTCTCTCTCTCTCTCTCTGACTTACTTGCCATGCTCGTTCGCTCACTTTCTTGCTCTCACATTCTCTTTTTCACCCTTTACCCCCCCCGTCACCCTACTCGCTTTCCCACTTTTCTCCCACTACTCTCTCACATGCCCTTTGCCCCTTGTCTGTCTGTCTGTCTGTCTAGCATGCACTGCTGATAACATTTCATAGTAATATAACCCCTTTCTCCCTTTATCTTTGGCAGGGTTCCTATGTAAGCATTTACATGCAAGTAAAAGAAAAAGCAAATGTCTTCACAACAAATTAAAAAAGAACTTCCCAATAAATTAAAAATGCAGGCAGTTAGGCAGAGCTAAAGAAAACTTCCTTATTACCTGCAGTGGAAAGAATGGCAAGCCTTTGAGAGCAAACAGGAACCTCAGGGGTGTTATAAACCAAGTGTTCCCTCAACTAAACATAAGTGCTTGTCGAGTGCACCAAGTTCTAGATCAGGCCCCAGGAGTGTGACGTTAGTAATAAGACCGAGATGTTTTTAATGGACATGGACTTGTTTATTTTACACTTTCTCCAAAACATTTCCGCACATAGAGGCGGACAGATATGATCTTGAAAGAGGACAAGTTTTTAATTGTCAAACTATTTTCAAGCTTTCAAGTATTTAGTAAAATCATGCTCTATGCACAAGTAGAAACATCATCAAATTCTTCTGTCTTTGTTTCCTTGACCGCAGTTTAAACACTTGTAATCCTCCTCTGTTTCTGCTCTGTTTTCAGTTCTGGAGGATCAACAGAATGTGAGGCCCATCAAGGAGCTGCTGCAGACCCTGTATGTGTCGCTGTGCAGTCTGGTGCAGGACATGGGCAAGTCAGTGCTGGTGGGAAACATCAATATCTGGGTGCACCGGATGGAGAACATTCTGCAGTGGCAGCAGCAGCTGGACAACATTCAGATCAACAGGGTGAGCGCAGCGTAATTTAAGGCGAGAGTAAATAGAACAAACATCAACAAACGCATTCGCTTGGTGTGCTGTACCTGCGATGGAGTGGTTTTCTCTAGAAAGTTCACACTTGTGTATTTAGCTTGACACTTTTTTTCACATTTCTATTTATTGCCACTGAAACTGAAAACAAACATTAGGATGTTTGTTGCAAAATGTTTGGTGAGCTCTGATTTCGGTTTTGTCCGAAGCTGCCATTTCAGTCGCTTTTAAAGCTGCATGATCCTGCATCAGGAAAGACCCCAGCAGATTTTAAACAAACCACAAGTAACATTAGCTTATGGGTCATTCTACAGAAACGTTCATTTTTGTGTCCCTAGCGTTTACAGATATATTACACTAGAAAAACGTTATAGTTATTTATATTTTAAAATAAAACAAGTTATTTTAACATTTACACCTTCTTGAGCCTCAATTTAGCAATACCGGTTTTAAAGCAATTATATAGAATTCCATGCATGGTTAGGTCAACGTAAATATCGCTGCCGTCGGGACAAAACCACGTGTTTCCATTTTTTGCCGGTTTTTCAGTTTTAGGCATTTTATTTATTTATTTATTTATTTATTTATTTATTTATTTATTTATTTATTTTTTGGTGTAATGCAAAATGTAAATTGACTAGACACTCCCATCTCTCACTGGGGGCAACCAAAACAAACGAATTCCAAACTGACTGCACATGGTCACATATTAGATATGTATTGGGTCTAACCAAATATATATAAATGTGGCAAAAATTATAATTTTTTTTTTTCTTTTCTTTTTTTCTTTTTGCGTTCAGGAAGTATGCAGAGTATCTAAATGTAGTAAACAAGTTAAAAGGCTACTGAGTGATGCCAAAAATATATCGATGCAGAAGTTAAGGACGGTTTTCAAATGAGATTGTAATTTTGTGGTTTATAGCCCAAAAACACTGGGATGACACTGCTGGACCTGCCAGTCAGTCTACAACTGAACATCATGCAACGTTTGTCAGATGGACGAGACCTGGTCAGTCTGGGTCAGGTGTGTCCTGACTTAGCTGTGCTCACTGAAGACCGGCTGTTATGGAAGAACCTCTGCCAGTACCACTTCACAGAACGACAGGTACCAGATTTCCTTTTAGGGGGGAAAAAGGTAGAATTTATTTATTTATTTATTTATTTATTTATTTATTTATTAATAGTGAAGAATAGTAAGTAATACTAAAAAAAAAAAAAGACTAGCCTAAACCAATGTTTTTAATCTGGATTTAAAAGCTTTTGCTGTGTCACTGATCCAGATAAACTGACAAATTGTTAGTCCTACATGACTTTTTCCTGTACTGCTCATAGATCCGCAGGCGCCTCATCATATCTGATAAGGGACACCTGGAATGGAAGAAAATGTACTTTAAGCTGTGCAGATGCTACCCTCACAAGGAGCAGTACAGCGACACCTTGCAGTTTTGCACACACTGCCACATCCTGTTCTGGAAGGTGAGACTAAAACACATCTTTATTTGGTCTGCAGGCAAAACTAGCTCTGTGATTATATTGCTGCAGTCGTATGCAAAGGTCTGAACACACTGGTTTATTTAACAAATGTTTTGTCATGTTTTCTGCGTGAAAGTCAGCTCACTCTACAGATTTAAATGTCACATTCATTCTATGGAAATGTCCATTTTTATGTCCCTGGTGTTTACAGATATATTACACTTGGAAAAACATGTTAGGGTTCCAATTTATTTATATTTTAAAATAAAACAAGTTATTAACAATTCCACCTTCTTGAGCCTCAATTTAGCAATATTGGTTTTTAAATCAATTATCTAGAATTCCAAGCACCACAGAAGAGCTCGTCCTCACAGTCATGTGTAAAGGGTGAGGCCATATTTTGAGGTGAAATTCTGCAATTTTAACTACAATAATCTATACATGACTATGAAGTATATGATTTAAATGACAAAGAAAACAAATGCCAAATAAATATTCTAAAATATATATATATATATAATGAAAGTTGTGGTCCCCAGGAGTCGTGTCACTGGTGTTACTGCGTAACAACAAATCTCTTATTTTGAAATAAAAGTCACACTGATGACATCACTTGACTTCCTTTTACCTGTTTTCTGAGGATGTATGAAGAAAAGCACATGGTGAGTCCACTGTGTCTTTCAGTTATCAGAGATTTTCTCATTTAGCTCATGATTTCATATGAAGCTTTTAGCTGAGGTCACTGGTGTGACCGACTTCATTCTGAGGTAATTGTGAAAAAATAGAAAACAAATGGATTAAATTCCATGTTTTAGTGGATATTCCATGATTGACAACATGTGGTTTGATGCTCTGTAGCAGCCATTTTGTAAAATTTTTCATTTTTCGTAAAAAAAAAAATGTCCCTGGTGTTACCTTTCTTACGTGTAACACCAGTGACGATCAGTAACACCAGTGACTTTTATGGATAGATAAAAAAAAGTGGACGTTTTCGCAGACCAGTATTGCGATGTACAATGCTCAAAAGTGCTATCAGGACATTCTAAAAAAATTAATGATTTGATTTGTTAATATATTATTTTTTTAAATTGTGCAGTACCATATTGAAAAGTACATGATCTCAGCTACATTAGAACTCAATCATTACTTAAGGGCCAACTAAACAATAACAAAGTAGGAAAAAAAATCCACTAACCAACATGTTAAACACTAATGTTTATCCTACTAATGCTTCAGTATTTTTACTTGATTTACTTATATATTCAGCTACTAACTGGAATCATTTTGAGTTTAGGGTTAGGATGGTCGTTATTGTTGGTTGTTACTTTTCTCATAAATATGAATTAATAAATAATGACTACAACTTGGAAAGTAAAAAATAAACCAGCCGTATGTTGTATTTGGTGTCCCACGACTACTTTTGAGCACTACAGATTAATCACCAGCCCTAGTTTTAATGGCTTTTCTATGGTTACAAATTCTGAAAACTTGCAAATTTTGAACTTTCTCGCATATCGTTGCTGTCCAATGAAAACAAGCATCTCCAAAATATTAACTTTACAGGAGAGGGCCAAAACACTCTTACCTTTAAATGTAAGTCAGTGTAAAGAGATTTTTATTCCAAGTGATTTTGAAGCATTTCTATTGGTCCATCATGACATTTTTTACACAATGTAAAGGACAGCTGGTGTGTTGAAATGATGTAGCAAAGTAAAAATCAACAAAAATGGAGATGCATGGTTTTCATTGGACAGCGACGATATAAACCCTGGAAAGATTGGTGTAGTGTAGAGGGTAACACCACTGCCTTCTATGCTGTAGACTGGGGTTCAATCCCCACCTGGGTAAGCACCCTACACTATACCAATAAGAGTCCTTGGGCAAGACTCCTAACACTACCTTCGCCTACTGATGTTTGTTTTTTAAAAAAAAAAAAAAAAAATTTAAAAGTGTAAAAATCGTAAGTCGCTCTGTATAAGACAGGTTGCCAAATGCCATAAATGTAAATGAATCTAAGCATTATTTTCTCTTATCGTTGTCTACTACAGGATGCAAACCACCCCTGCACGGCCAACAATCCAGAAAGCTGCAGCATTTCTGTGACCCCACAAGGTTTCATCAACCTCTTCAAGTTCTGATAGGACTTTTATGTGCTTCCACTGTATGTACATAGTGTATATAACGTCTAAAGTGCAATAGATGTCAGGATGGTTTAAAGGAATATTCCAGCATTCAACCTAATCACTACGACTTCCGTTGGTGGCATGTGGTCAGTTACCACAGACAACTTTGGCTTTCCCTTTATTTATTAAATGAACAAGGGGAAAAATGGGCAGATGCTTCAGTAAGTTTTCTGTGCTGGTGTATTCCTTGAAAACCGAGGTCTGGGGATGTCTGTCTGAAGTATTTTGGGAGATTACAAAAAAAGGGACATTGGACTATGAATGTGAACGTCAGAGATGTGTTTCAGAGGAATAAGAATGTCACTTCTATGTAAAAAAAGTATTATAAGGTGTTACTTTATTGGGCATGAATGTTTACTCAAAGAGAAATTATGCTTGGCTGAGTGCAAGCAGTTGCATTTACAGTTGCCCTTATGCTGCAAGGATGCCCTCATTTACTCTACGAATGTCTTTTATCTGCGATTGGCAGTGTATAAACTCTCGAACTGTTACATATTTGCATTTGTGAAAGCATGCTGGTGCTTTTATTGAGAATGTGTGGCGAGTAGGTTTGTTTACCAAAGCTGTCCGTCATAATGGCGTGCAATACTTTTCTAAGTAACTTTTTTCCACTTTTATACGTTTGATATTTTCCGTTTTTGTTTGTTTTAAATCTTTGGAGTAAATACAAAATGTGCAAATACTTGACTACATTATGACCCATTACAACACTAAAGCAATCTACTTTGAGGTGCCTTAATATTGCATTGATTGAATACAAGTCTAGGAAGTGTACATGAAAATACAGTAACGATAGCTGATATGGGGTGAACGTTTTTCCTTCTTTCCAAATTGTGAATATGATATTCATGACCACCTGCATGTTATGAATTTGATACCAAAGAACTTTCTCTCTTGATTCCATGGCTGACTGTTATTTTGACCAGGAGACTCGAGGACGTCTTGTACGCGATGTCCCAACACTTCTGTCCGGCCCTCTGTGGTTATGCAAACAATGATGCTTGTGAAGAGCAAGCCAAAAGAGTCATGGGCCTTGATGGATTAAAAATAAAGTTCTTCTAATGTTGCTGCCTTGTTGGGATTACTTTACTTGACTGCCACCTGGAGGAGATGATGCTTACTTTTTTAATCTTTCAGTTTGGTTTACTGTGTTTCAAACTACACTGTATTAGTCGTCATTGTGTAAAAATAACAGCTGTTATTATGACGAATGACTCTACACTTTTGAGTGCTGATCCACATTAATTATTAATTTCCAGTCGAAATGGCCATTAAGTACAAGTTCCTCATGTTTCAGCAGATATTTTGGAAGAGATGTTAAAGAGTTCAAAAGGAGATCTGAAAACACACCAACCGGCCACTTTTTATTAGCTTTTATCAGATATGTAACTTACATTCCTGTTCAGTGTAAACAAACATGAATAGACATGGAGTTTTTAAACACTGTCCACTCACTGTCCACTCTATTAGACACTCCTACCTTGTCAGTCCACCTTGTAGATGTAAAGTCAGAGACGATAGCTCATCTGCTGCTGCACAGTTTGTGTTGGTCATCCTCTAGTCCTTCATCAGTGGTCACCGGACGCTGTCGACTGGATATTTTTGGTGGGTGGACTATTCTCAGTCCAGCAGTGACACTGAAGTGTTTAAAAACTCCAGCAGCACTGCTGTGTCTGATCCACTCAGACCAGCACAACACACACTAACACACCACCACCATGCCAGTGTTACTGCAGTGCTGAGAGTGATCCACCACCCAAATAGTACCTGCTCTGTGAGCGTCCATGGGGGTCCTGACCACTGAAGAACATGAGCGTAGAAACAAGGAGGTGGTCATAATGTTATGCCTGATTGGGGTGTGGGTGTGTGTGTTGGGGTATATATATATATATATATATATATATATATATATATAGAGAGAGAGAGAGAGAGAGAATTGTTCATAGTGGCAAAAGCAGAAAAAAGTTGGAATAATATTTGTATTACTTTGTATTACTTAAAAAAATAACTTAAAAATCCAGCAGCATTTTTCAAATACTAATATCCTATTTTCTACATCCAATAATCCACACAAACTCCATATTTTAGCACTTCATTCAGTTTAATCACGCCACTTCATGGGGGGTAATTATGATCTTGTTACATATTAAATTTAATGTTGTATGATGAAATACAGTAACATTCCAGTTCTCAAAATAAACACAATTTAAACACAACTGCTTAAACAGAACAATGTGCAGCATTATTTGCAACAGTGAGTTAAAGGAGCTACCAGCGGGATTAAATAATAATCTGCTATTGTGGCTTTTAGAATACAGTTTTTGGTTTTCAACCATCAGATCAGATTGGAACACTTGCACATGACAACTACTTTTTAGACCCAAGGTGACATGCTGACTAATGATTTCTGTATACATATTGATTAAAAGATTTATTCTGATACCTTCCAACTGCATATGAAACAATAATTAAAAATAGTTTTTAATTTAAAATCCCACCTGTAACTCCTTTAAGACCAGCAATGAACAGTAGCAGTGAATAGTAGTTGCCTTTGAACCCATTCTGCATAGTGTTAACACAATTAATAATCCAATTTTTTTTTTTTTTGTTAGATATCTCATATAGTATTGCAACAGTCCGCCTTGTTAGTTTTGCTGTACGCTTAAGCGGTCATTGAAAGCACATTTAATAGAATAAATGTACCGGTCACCACTCACTTCAGGCAGAATTGAGGCTACATATCTCGTTAGTGAAAAAAAGAGAATGTGATGCAGAGGGAAAAAAGACTATTTGAAGTACACCAACTAATCTGTGAAACATGGCGGAGGTAGTTTCAGGCCTTCCATGCATGATAGCCTCCATAACTGGCTTTTTTTTATAGAAAGACAGACAGCATTGGGCTGTTTATTAAAAAATGCCCAGGATGCAAAAACTGAAAATGGTTAATCAGTGTCTGCCTCAAGTGTGTAAGAAATCTGTAGCCAATTATTATATTTGTTCACGTTTCACATTCTGTAGTACAGAATTACAGTCTTTCGTGTAAAAGGATTTTCCTAGAACTGCTTTATGCCACTGAGGAATCTGGGCCTAGATAAGACAATAAGACATGACAATTTCGCATTACTAATACACAGCAGTGGTACCTCTTATATTAAAACATTGACAAAGGCGTGGCTCAAGCTCAAAGAGCAATACAACAGCATCACCGCAGTAATTTAAAGTATACAAAACAATGAAGTACACAGTCTTCGGTGATGGGCTCACTGAAAATAGTTTCAATTGTGTTCAAACTTCCAAAAAGCTGTGCAAGAGTCTGAGACCACCTTTCATTTACAACCCCAGTTCCAAACAGTTGGGCTGCTGTGTAAAACGTAAATGACCATGAATAAATACAGAACGCAATGATTTGAAAATCTCATAGACCCATACTTTATGCACAGTAGAACATAGAACACATATCAGATGTTAAAAGGTGAGAAATTTTACCATTTCATGAAAAATAATAACTCGTTTAGAAACTAAAAGCAGCAACGCATCTCAGGAAAGTTAGGACAGGGCCGTGTCTACCATTCTGTAGCATCCCCTCTTCTTTTAACAACAGTCTCTAAACATCTGGGAAGTGAGGAGACCAATTGCTGGAGTTTTGAGATGAACAGTACTTTCACTTTTCATCTTTGAGGGATATTTGACAGAAAATCCGATTTTGTCAGTAATCCGATCAACACGTTTACATGCACTTGAGTAATCAGATAATGTGAAACTCCGGGTCTGCATGAGTCGGACAGTAATTGGATATCTGCTTTACAACCAGCCAATAGACTCACAGCAGAAGACGTGACGTAAACATAATGTAAAACTCAAATTTCATATTGCGGCTTTTTTTAAAACATCGCGCCACTTTAGCTGAAAACATGAACTTACATCATCTAGAACAGAGGTCACTAATAGGAGGACCACGGTCCGAGTCTGGACCCAGACGCTGTCTTATGTGGACCTGGACCTATAACCAATGAACTATGGAGAATTATTTAATTGTGACTGGGTGGTCCTATTTTAATCGGCGTAACTTTTCTAGCCTTTGCTGTACCAATTTAGCGGCCCGGGAGACTCACAGACCAATCGTATGCATTGTAAATATCACACGTGACGCTACTCAGCCAATCAGATCTGTGCATTACGATGAGCACTGAGACTCGAGTGAGTGACGCACACGCAGAGGAGAGACGAGGCGAGAAACAGCAGTCAGAGAAGAAAGTGAGCCAGATTATTTTACATGGCGTGATCTAAAAAGATAATTTGTGACAATTTAATGACAGTAAATATTGTTGAAATATGACTGAATTGTACTTTATTTGATTTGACATTCAGTTGTTGACTGTATAAGATGTTGATATACCTGCTAGGCTACTTCAGTAAACAGTATATGGCACTGAGTCATGATGCAAGACCTCTGATCTAGAAGATGCAGAATATTTAAACCCTTTATTTCATGTTTGGTTTCAGTGCCGCTCTAACAGTGTTTTGCTGCGTCTCGCGACATCCACCGTCTGATCTCGCGCATGCACAGACTGAGAAATCCGAAAGAAATCAGAGTAAGAGTTCACATGCACTGAGAAATCTGATCACTGAGCTAAAATGCAGCTCTCTTGATCGGATTTCTTAATCGGATTTCTAGATTGGAGTGTGGTGTTTACATGACCATTTGAATAATCTGCATAACCGCAGAAATCCAACCAACTTCTAAGACTGAACTTTGGAAGAACATCCCTGCAGATTTATTTATTAAAAAAAACTGAAAGCAAGTCTCCTGAAAATAATCAAAGCTATAACAAAAGCAAAGGGTGAAAAAAATAAAATAAACAAAATAATAGCTGTTGAGGCTTCTGTGTAATTTTCTCTGTTGACGCTGAAAAATGAATAACTTCATTCAGGAAGGGTGGTCTCTGACTTTTGCACAGTACTGTAATGTGCTATATCTGTATGAGCTTCAGAGTGATGATTTTGTATAGCTGCTCATGATACAGGACCCAACTGTAAACAGGGCTTTTGCTTGGTTGTTCCCGTACAAAAAAAAAATCATAAAAATGACACAAATAAATAAATAAATAAAAAGAATAAATACATAACAATCATTCAGACACACATATTAGTTTTTTCTGCTGTTGCTGGTTGTGTTACACTACATCTACTGGTGGAAAACAAGAAAAAAGACTGAAATATAGATCATAAACATGCTTTTCCCCCCAAACATATTATACTATTTTCCTTAGCACTTTTCTAAACATATTGTAGTGAGCCATATTGTTGGTAGACAGGTGATCACAAGGTTGAAGGATACATTTTAGCACCAAGTATGGACCTGTCTTTAAGGTCAATGGGACTTGCCCATAGGATGGAATATACTGTAATGCAGGGGGTGTGCAAAATAATGGAAACACCACAGGAAAGGCTATTTTATCAAAAACACCTACCATATAGGGGCACGTTTAGGTTTAAAATGAGCGACTGTAGCCCAATTCCTGTCTGTAACCGAGCTCTACCCCATCCATCAATGGAAAGGGACCACCGTAAGACCTCCACTGATCAGATATTATTTAGGTGTTGGATCACTCAGAGCAGTAACATGGTAACTAACATGGTAGTGTGTGGTGGTGGTACCAGTGTTATCAGGCACCACAGTGTTGCTGTTTTCTAAGCCGCTTATCATTCTGGGTCGCGGGGGGAGCTGGTGCCTATCCCAGCGGTCATTGGGTGGAAGGCAGGATACACCCTGGACAAGTTTCCCCATTTGTTTTAATGGGGGAAACATTTTTACTAGTCCAATTTAATTCAAAATAAAATTTTCACATGTAGTAATATATAATTCTTGCTATCAAGAATTAAAGTTGTGTTTCAGAAGTCAAACCCAGGCTGAATCCCAAACGGCTCTGTACTCCCTAAATAGTGTTCTAGCTATGAAAGTTTAGAAATTCTAGCCTCTACAGCCAAACAGTGTACCATTTATCAAGTATGGATGTGACCCAAAAGCTATATTTTGCACTGTTGGGCTGCAGGATCCAGTATTTAAATTCCTACGTAGTGCACTATGTAGGGAGCAGGGAGCCGTTTAAGATTCAGTCACTGGATTGGTGCTAAATAAGACTGATGGTGGTAATTTGGTGACCAAAAAGTACTTATAAAGCGAAGGTTTTTTGCATTAAACAGTGCTGTGTTATCATATGTTTATTGCTATACGACAAAATCGTAAAAAATCATGAAAAGACTGCAATGTACAGCGAGGGGCGACCGAGCGTTCTCCTCATTCAGCGGTCCATGGTTGCTTGGCAACGATAACACATTCTAAAGAAACTACATTTCTTGGTGTATTTTATCATATTTCATGTTGGCTGTCATTTTATAAAAACCACTTGAGGCTGTGCGTTACTGTGATTTTATCACTCCACTTCGCGATGTGCATAAGAAAACCCTTCCTGCGATAAAATCACAGTAACCCACGGCCTCTCGTGGCTCACTGCTTTAGCAAAAGATGGGCTACATTCAGTAACTGTAAACCTACAAAGTGCATCTATATGGTAGGTACGCTGTATGGCCAAAAGTCTGTGGACACCTCACCATCACACCTATACGAGCTTGTTGGACATTTCATTTCCAAACTTTGGGCATTAATAAGGAGTTGAACCCACCCTCACACCCTTTGCTGGAATAACAGCCTTCACTCCTCTGGGAAGGCTTTTAAGATTTTGGAGTGTCTCTGTGGGAACCCATTCAACCAAAACAGATAAGTGCTCAGGGGGGAGCACATGACTGGCTAAAATGTCTTTGTACGCTGCAGCATTAGCACTACTCTTCACTAGAACTAAGGGGCCTCAAAAAAGCCCCAGCCCATTATCCCTCCTCCACCAAACTTTACTGTTGGCACTGTGATCTTAGACTTGTGTGTGGCTGTTTGGCCATGGAAACCCATTTCAAGAAGCTCGCCATGCACAGATTTTGTGCTGATGTTGCTTCCAGAGGCAGTTTAGAGCTCCACAGTGGGTGATGCAACAAAGAAGAGGCGATTTTTACGTGCTATGTGCTTCAGCACTCGGCGGCCCCGCTCTGTGAGTTTGAGTGGTCTGCCGCTTCATGGCTGATCTGTTGTTGCTCTTAGACGCTTCCACTTCACAACAATAGCGCTTACAGTTGTCTGGGGCAGATCTAGACCCATTCTACTGCCAGTGTTTGTCTATGGAAACTCAACGAGTGTGAGTAATACGTGTGGCGTTTCCATTGTTTTGTACACTATATGTTCTAAAACGTAAACAGAAATATACTCGATAATAACTAACAGTATCCTCAATTTTGACAAAAGAAATTAGGATTTTGTAAGTTTATGTTCTGAAAAAGTTAATAACATAACTACAGTTTCCTTCACTCTGTAGTACTTGTGGTAGAAGCTAATTTGACTTCACTTGATCTTAGCATAACCTTAACCTAGCTAAACAACATGCAGCACATCACGTATTACGCAATAGGACTAAAAAGATGAAAGAAGCTAGACAAGAAGTAGGAAGTAGAATTAAAAATATAACCATGTAACTGCATTTTGAATGCAGTTCTGCTTCCACCCATTATTTGTTAGTCTTATATTGGTAGCGCTGGGAAGGGATGAGGGTAAGACTTAATAATGTACAGTGCCACCTGCTGCTTGCCTGAGGTACATGCATGTTAAAATAATGCACCTCCGTCAGTGACTCAGTAAGAGACACTGGCTCTAAAAGGTTGGCACACTGGGCAGTCCAGCAGTCACTGTATTCATAGGTTTGTAACGTTTATTTTAAACCTGGCACTCCTGGGGCTTTTTTTTTTGCTGATTCAACTAATGAAACCTTAGAAAAATGAATTGACAAGATGCATATTGTGCATTGTGAAGTATCACAATGTTATGTTTTGTCGTGTCACCCACCCTAGCCATTAAATACAACCCCACTTCCAAAAGAGTTGGGATGTAAATAAAAAAATGTAAATAAAAACAAAATGCAATGATGTGCAAATCATTTGAAGCCTACATTTCATTTAAAATGGTACAAAGACAAAAGATCAAATGTTGAAACTGAGAAATTTTATTGTTTTTTGGAAAAAATATCCCCATTTTGAATTTGATGCCAAATACACGTTCCAAAAAAGTTGGGATGGGGGCAACAAAAGGCTGGTAAAGTTGTGTAATGCTAAAAAAAACAAGAAAAACACCTGGTGGTTCATTGGCAACAGGTCAGTAACATAATTGGGTATAAAAGAGCATCTCAGAGAGGCTGAGTCTTTCAGAAGTAAAGATGAGGAGGGGTTCACCACTCTGTGAAAGTCTGCACAACCAAATAGTGCAACAATTCAAGAATAACGTTTCTCAACATAAAATAGCAAAGAACTTCTGTTTTTCATCATCTACTGTACATAATATCATTAAAAGGTTCAGAGAATCTGGAGAAATCTCTGTATGCAAGGGATAAGGCCAAAAACCAGTATTTCCTGGCCGTGATCTTTGGGCCCTCAGACAGCACAGAATCAACAAAGATGATTCTCTACTGGAAATCACTGCATGGGCTCAGATGGACCTCTGAAAACCACTGTCTGTGAAGACAGTTTGTCGCTGCATCCACAAATGCAAGTTAAAACTCTGAAACGCAAACAAGAAACCAAATATAAACAGGATCCCGAAATGCTGCCACCTTCTCTGGGCCCGAGCTCATTTAAAATGGACTGAGGGGAAGTGGAAAAGTGTCCTGTCAAATGAAAAATATGACAAAGGAGATCCAGAACTATTGAGAAGCTGAAATCCTATAGCAAACAAGAACGGGAAAACATTTCACTTTCAAAACTACAGCAACTGGTCTCCTCAGTTCCCAAACGCTTACAGAGTTACAGAGAGTTACAGAGAGAAGCACATATTTTTCAATAAACAATAAAATTTCTCAGTTTCAACATTTGATATGTTGTCTATGTTGTATTTTCCTTCAAAAATATGGTTCACATGATTTGCATATCATTGCATTCTATTTTTATGTACATTCTGCACAGCAACCCAACTTTTTTTTTGGAAATGGGGTTGTAGACGCATTATATTGTAACAAAACTGTTTTTTTTTCTTGAATGCATTCTTGAAAAAATAAACATTAAGAACAGATTTCTTTATCTAAATAAAAATAACAACAAGTGCGAACCTGCAGTAATAACAATAAAAAACAACAATGAAACATTCAGGGTGAGTTCAACCTTGTTAATAAGTTAATTATATCCACATTTCAATTTTGTAAATAAAAAACAACACAGAACAAATACAATCAAGCAGTAAGAACACAATTAACATGCTTTCCGCAAATCTTGCGGCACAATTCAGGGCTTTGGAGGTGCAATAAAACGGATAAACAACGACCACGTTTTACAATAACCTTAACAGATCCCTAAAATTCCAGAAAGGAGGTAGTCAGAACAGTGCATATTGTTGATATTCTGTTATAACATTCCACATTTCTTTGATGACTCCAAACAGTATTCTCCTTTAAAAGTGCAGTTTTATGAGGTTTATGAGGTTTTCAAAGTGACGAGCACTCGACCACCTCAAAAACCTCACACACTTACTGTACCCAGACTCAGAGCTGGATGATGTTGCATGGACCAGTTGAGATTTTAGAGCTGGTGCTTCTGACTACGTTCCACGCTTTACCATTCGGCCCTGAGATTCAGAATCAAACAGAAACAGACATTTAGACACTGTAAGTTTGAAGGTCCTCCGGAGCATTTGATGACTACAGCCAAGTGTGTTGAACTCTCCAGAGTGGAAGATCTTCAGTACCAGGATTGAGTACTTATGCCCCAGGGGGTCTTAAGCCCCTGCCTTGTTGCCTTCAGACTGTACAAGTGCCTTCTTAGATGGTCTGATGGTCATGGGTGGGTGAGTGGGTTGAGTGGGTGAGTGGGTGGGTGGGTGAGTGGGTGAGTGGGTGGGTGAGTGGGTGGGTGGGTGGGTGGGTTGAGTGGGTGGGTGAGTGGGTGATATGAGGTAGTCTAAACACACAATGAGTATAGACATAACTAGGAGTAGCAGCAGTATTTACAGTGTAAAGTGTGCAGTGAGGATGTCATTACAGTAGCAGTTATGATATATTGTACAGTGTATATTAACAAGAGAATGACATTCTGATTTTAAATACACATCCTCTACAGAGAACACACTCCTGCAAATTTGAAAGCACAATTACTGTTTATTTTTCCATACTAAAAAAATAAAACATAAAATGCGGCCTGTGCAAAAGTTATGGCTAATTTTGTACTGTATGTTTAATTTTTTTTTTTTACAATATGTTAAGCTCAGCAAAGAAATAGAATTAGTGTACTACAATTTGCAGAAAAATGGCATATTTAAAGCTACACCATGTAAGATTTGGATTAGCTGCACGCAAGGCATGGAAGAACATTTTGTAACGTTGGTTGTGCTTGGACTCCCACAAGTGGATGAATCTAATGATTGTGAGCACATTGAAAGAGTACCCCAATACTGTGCCGACCTCAGAAAGTTAAAAATGTACTAAAAGAGACCCAAAAGCTACAGTCAGAACACACACAACTATATTTATAAAAATACTGATAAAAATTACCATTTTTCCAAGACTGGAGATCTTCAGCACATTTCACATTCTGAGTTTTTAATGATCCATTCAATTGCATCCCATCCCTATAGAGAACAAAGAGACAACAAACAATAATCAGGTAACATCACTAGACTGAGGATTAGTGAGCAACTACATTCGGTTACGTAGTTCAAAGAGGAACGCTCAGGGCCGGGGAAGGCCTAACGGCTTGTGTGAAATTTAAAATACATGTCAAATTTTTTTGTTCATTTTTATTCAGCATGATCGTCATGCTTGTTGTATTTAATAGTCTTACTGTATCTAATACTTTCATTTCATAGTCAAATTTTGGATAGAAACAAAAAGGATTACACTCCTGAAATGCCCAACAGAAAATGATCCAGCCAGGAAATGATCCTCTCTGGTATCTAGGTTGATATGGCCAGGCTGGACTCTCCCTTTACTTAGGCCTAACGTATCTGATTAACTACCACCATAATTCATAATTATAAAGTTACAAAGGAATCAAGCAATCACTTTTTTGTTTGTTTTTTGGGTGGAACCAATTTTCTGAGGAAAAAAATGTAACTAGGTCTTCTGGAAGATACATCACTTACTGCGAATACAGGCAGCAGCCTAACCAGGTTTCAGTCAGAAGTTAGATATGGAAAAACAGCCGCAGCAGTTTTGCCAGGTTCCCTAAAAGTCACTGTAAAACTGCTACAAAGTAAAATATATGTTAATTTCTGTTACAAGCTTTAAATAAAACAATGCCTTTTACAAGCTTAAGTATGTGTGTTTAATCTAGAAATGCCAAAAAAAATGTATGTGAACTGCTGTTAGATTAGCAGGGCTTGGCGATTAAACGATAACAATAATTATCACGATATAACTTTCCTCGATAGAAATTTAAGAACTGTTCGATATAAAAGAGCATTCTCACACTTCCACGTTCTAACGACAGCCCTGGTGGCGTTTTCTACTGCAAGGAAAGCTACACTACTCTGCTATTGCACACTTCCGTGTTTTTCGACATTATTAGAGAGGGAGGGGGCGACGAGTAAAATGAGTTGCCAAATATACTTTAGCAACGTCTGAAGTTATACATTCCCTGTTTGAGTGGAGCGGCGATCTGTTCTCCTGTGGGTGTGAGTGACGAGATCAGTGGCGTAACTGTACTGGCCTTAAGTGAACTCACCTCTTTCCTAACATCCTAACCAGCTTTAGCAGCGTTAAATCACGTCTGCTCCTCTCAACTACAGCACTGTTACAGCGCTCAGTCATATTTTAGTATTACTGCATTCCCAAGCAACGAAAGTGAAAGAAACAAGCGGGTTCATACAAATTACAGCCCTGATTTAAACAAAAGTAAACTGAAGATCCTGTATGTGTGGCACTGAAGAGTGGGAGAACGCTAGCTTCCCAGGCTAGCTGTTTTTATCAGCTGGCTAACCTGAAGCAGCGCTCTGTCACTCGCACAGCACAGCGAATTGATGTTACTGTGGATCAAACAAGACAAAAAAAGCACCAATTTCAGTTTAAACGTGAAAGGAGGGCTCTGTTTGTCTGGTGTGAGAGAATCACACTGCAGTTAATGCTTTTACACAGCGAGCGTCAGATATTTTGCAGCTCACCCCTTAAACTACTATGATGGAATAGAGAAATCCAGTTATCTGCTAGCTGGTGTTTGAATACTGGGATAAGCTCTGACTTGGTTGTGGTAGGAGTGATGGCAGTAAGGCGGCGTGATCCATCACTGACCTACTGAGCCGGCTAATGTTTGCTGTTCGTATTAAGATGACGTTGTTGAGCACTTGTAACCAGATAGCCTAGCACTCATCACCAGACAGCTAAAATAATCAGTTTTCTTTCTAAAATTATGACTTTTACAAAAATTACGGCCAATCAGAAACGTCCTCCCACCATCCGCTGACAGATTTGTGAAATGTTCCATTGTTTGGTGAGTGTTTGTCATGTTCTGACCATAAAGGATAGCTTAAAACAGCAATTTATCACTCAGGAGCAAAAATCAGCCTTCAAACTTAAAAGAGATAATGATTTGACAATTATCGTGATATGTATCGATATGGACTGATACATTTTTTATTGTCATAACATTTTTGGCCATATCGCCCAGCCCTAGCACTAACATACTACTAGAATCTCATAGGGACGCTAACAGAAATTAGAATTATTATAGGGCATTATCATGTGTTTTTCTCATTTTTGACCAAGTTTTGACACTTAAGGCCTGAACCAAAGGCCTAGTCACAGTTCACCACTCATTTAGTGTACAAATAAAAAACAGTTGGGCTAAAAATCTAATGTATAAAATTTATGCATTTTGCTAATACGTAACACCAATTTGCACTGCACAATCTACAGATCTAAATCACTACACATTTACTTCACAATATGTTGAGCTGTTAACTAAACCAAACAGACTTATTCTGACACTATATGAAATATTGTTCTATGTAAAAATGGACAAAAGTACAGGTAAAATTCATGCTTAAAGATTGCTACTGTTAATGTTGTTAGCAATCTGATGCACTGCTGTTTATACTTGTCCTCTCTCTACATTAGCATTAGCAGTGTCCACTTGTTTCACACCTTCAAACTGTCATAGCATAGAGACCCCACCTATTGGTAATCCAAATTAGTAATCCAAGGTAACTGTAAATAAATTAAAGCACTTTACCACACAAATGAATGTTTTTCACGAGAGATATAAGTGTAGATTAATGTCCATGACTCGAATTAACTGGTGCTGCTGAAACAAGTGTTGATGGTAAAAACTGGGAGAGCAAAATTCAAGTGACAAGTGTTGGAGTGACTTAAAGACCCAGGCCCAATCCCATTTCTTATTTTTAACCCTACCCCTTGTTTTCGAGTGTCTCCTTGCCCCTTGGAACTGAGTTACAAGGGGCAGAGGTTGAAATCTTGCCCTACAAAATTGGACCCTCAAATAAAAAGAGCATTACTTCATTAACAGCTACTAGCGCTGCTCTGTAGGCGACCCTGCCAGTCTGCAGTGACAGCAGAGGAGGGTAAAGTTCAGCTCCTCACTGCTGGGCTTTAGTTACATTTAGGGAATCACATACCTTTAAAGAGGGGGGAGGATAATTACTTATTATTGCCCACTGCTAATTCTTTGGTGATACAAAGCTGAAGTCAGATATTCGCCAGCTTCTCGTTTGAATTCTCCCGTTCCACCTTAAATGGAGCAGTTACATTCTGGCACTTCAGGCCTCAGTACTGTGGGACTATTTAAGGTGGAATGGGAAATGTAGCTAGCTAACTATCAAAACATTAGCACGCTACTAGCGATTTTTATGCTTGTTATGAAGAAAAGGATCATAATACATTGAAATGATATTAAACCAAGATAATAAAATGGTTATTGTAATTTTTGACAGAGAAAATTATTCTTTTTTTTTATCATAACTCTCTGTTTGGAGTGTCTCTGAAAAACCTCAGTTTGGAGGGCCATGTAGTCCTAACACTTCGCCCTACCCTTCTACTTCAACAAAAATCAGGACACCCTACCCCTAGTAGTGAACGCACAAAACAGAGGGGTAGGACTAAGTGGTAGGGGCGAAATGGGATTGGGCCCAAATCGAACCAGTTTTGGATTGCTTGGGATTGTAGCTTTTTGGCTAACAATAGCTTAGTTAGCAGACCATACATGCCACACACTACAGGCCTGGTTCCAGCTATCAGATGTTAGAATGACACTTCTTAGTGAGCTCCCACACCACCAATCAGTGAGCCCCTCTAAAATATAAGTGCATGGAATGTGTTTATTCGCCCGTTCAGACATGGAATAGAAATTCGACATGTGGAAATTTAGAAACACCATCATCATTTTCAAACACAGCTGTACACCTTAGTCTTATACAGTCTCACAGCTCCAGTTTAAAACTATAGAAGCCAGCCAAACACGTCTTAGCTAATCAAATACATTTGGGTTAAAGGGAGAGTTGTGCAAATTTGATTTTTCGCCAAACTATTCCTTTGAAAGTGAATGGCCATTGACTCAAACATGTAAGAATGACGTAACTGTCTGCCAAATATCAGGAATTTCCTTTGGCTTCTACCAAAAAATGAAAGTTTTCTTCAGAATTAGTGCAACTGTCATTTGTATCTTCTACCTTTTCGATTTTCAGAGAATTGTCAAAACACTGTTTTCACGTTGAGAAGACATTGTTTCTTGGGGACTGAAGAGAGTAACCCAGTTGGGATAGTTGCTGTCTGTTAAAAGTTCCTGTTTCAGAAACTGATCTGGCAGTCCCAAAGTGTGTGAATAAATACTCCAGCAGTTAAGAATAAAAAGATATACCTACACCGATCAGGCAGAACATTATGACCACCTCCTTGTTTCTACGCTCATTGTCCATTTTATCAGCTCCACTTACTATATAGGTGCACTTTGTAGTTCTACAGTTACAGACTGTAGTCCATCTGTTTCTCTGCATACTTTGTTAGCCCCCTTTTACCCTGTTCTTCAGTGGTCAGGACCCCCATGGACCCTCACAGAGCAGGTACTATTTGGGTGGTGGATCATTCTCAGCACTGCAGTAACACTGACGTGATGGTTGTGCGTTAGTGTGTGTTGTGCTGGTACGAGTGGATCAGACACAGCAGATGCTCTTTTTATACGTCTAAATTGCTCCTCCGGCTGTTTATTAGTACCACTTTTCCAGCCTTATGTTGCCCCATTCCAACTTTTTTGAGATGTGTTGCTGCCATCAAGTTATAAATGAGTTATTATTTTTCATGAGATGGTAAAATGTCTCACTTTCAACATCTGATATGTGTTCTATGTTCTATTGTGAATAAAATATGGGTCCGTGAGATTTGCAAATCATTGCGTTCTGTCTTTATTTACATTTATTTACATTTTACACAGCGTCCCTACTTTTTTGGAAGGTTGTATTTCAGTATCTATTGTAAATGATTCTACACTGATAAATGACATAAAATGCTGAAAAAATGTCTTTTCAAACGCTTGAAAAATCACCAAAATCCATGGGAAAATGAAATATAATACAGTTTTGTATGAGTAATAATTTACTTCATTCTCGGATAAACCACACAGGCTTGCTGATCCCTGGATGGCTTTGTGAACGGCATAATGTTTTGATCTATTTTTATTATAGGTGCTCTTGATTTTGAGTGTTTATGCTCACACTCTGAACACAAATGACATGATTTCCCAATAAAGAAAACACATATGCCTAAAAATACCCAGCCATAAAAGCTGACTTTCTGTGCTTTTACTACATATATGTTGATTCAGCTTTTATGACGTATACCGTATTTCGAAATCTCACCATGTCAATATTTTTGGAGGACACTCTGGAACTCCTTCAAGAGTTGTTTACTGAGTAAATTCCTCTGTTGTGGCAATTTTCTAATTGTGTCATCCAGGCAAATGAGGACTATTTTCGAGCTTCCTCTTTATCCGCTGACCAAGTCTCAACTTTCAGCAAGACTTCATTTTGCCATGCTGTCACATGTTGGAGTGGATATTCCAGTGAATGATGAAAGTCAGCTCAGTGACTACTGACAAACAACCTGAAGAGCCCATCCTGGCTGAGAACTATGAAACCAGCCTTCAAATGTGGCCTACACTGTGTGCAGGCATTAAGCCTAAGTTGCTCCAAAAGCACCACAACAATCTTATCTCTGCATTCCCCTTTACCCCAGTGGCATACTGGTAATTGAGAATATATTCCCAAACCACCTTGTTGGAGGACTTCGTTGGAAAGGTGAATTCTTTCATTTGTTCATTTCAACTCCAGAAAGGCTAAAGGGGGTCAGCTGAACCTGCTAGAGTGGTGATTTTAGGCATTTTATCAATAAAAAACATTTAATTCCTTGATAGTCCACATAGTGGTTGGTATAGTGTAGTGGGTAACACTTCTGCCATCTATGCTGTAGACCCCCTCTGTAGACTGGGGTTCAATCCCTGCCTGAGTAAACACCCTACACTATACCAATAAGAGTCCTTGGGCAAGACTCCTAACACTACCATCGCTTATCTGTGTAAAATGATCACATTGTAAGTCGAGTGTCTGCCACAGTGCCATACTCCTCAAGAATCTTGTTTGGGAGCATCACAAATGTTATTTCTAAATTTCTTGGTCAGACATCCTGAAAAAAATAACATAACTATACATATAAATATTTGCAGAGGGGAATAATGATTTCATGTACATGTCTGTAATTTTTCGCTCATTTTTATGTAATAAAATCATGCTTGTACTTAAAGGAGTGCTATATGATTCAGAAGAACAATTGTTGATATTTGAACTCAACAGCAAAACAAACACAGCCCTCCCTTCAGTGCTCCTTTAGAAGTTCCACCACTCGTGGGCGCGTACTGCCGAGGCCAACGCGCTTTTTTTTTCAGATCTTTGTGGCCATAAAACTCTCCGCAAACCTTGTACGGACAAATAACATTTTAACACATGCAAATCTGGGTTAGTTTAGCACCAACAACAGAAATTTGCATATCGATGAGGTGGTTTTCTTCTGAATGTTTTGACTGAACTGTACTATATTCTGATAATACAGAGATTTATCACAGATTAAAACCTGACAATCACGACTCTTTAAAGAGGCTCTGTGACTCTTATGATTCATGGAAACTGGACGGCTGGTCATTTTTTGCAATTCAATGTCCTAATGCTTAAGTGAAAAACCTTGGGGCTATTTTTGAATTGTAAAAGTTGTAAAAAGCAGGTATTTTCATTTAAGAAACATCAATATATTAAAAGCTCTTCTTTTGCTTTCAGATCTGAAAAAGGTGATTCATGTGTTTGTGATATTGTGATGACTGCAATTCACTACAGGTCTCCAGTTCATCTAGTTCAGAATGCTGCTGCATGGCTACATAAAGCGGAAATCATTTCACCCATTGGCTTCCTGTACATCTTAGAGTCCAGTACAAGATGTTAATGTTTGTTTTTAACGCTCTTAATAACCAGGCTCCCTCTTACATCATCGGCCTACTCAATCAACACTGTACCCACAGAAAAACACTACTAAAAGCTTTCATCTCTGAGACAGAGGAGAAAATCAAGCTCCACTCTTGCTTCACACATGAAAATTTCCCACAGGTGTTTCTGTCCATCCTTCCACTGTGAGAAGACGACTCAGCGCTATCGGTCTGAAAGAATGTGCAGCTGTCAAGAAGAACCTCACTGAGAAAAGGAAATAGATTAAAGAAGCTGCTTGTGTCCTCAGAACAATGGACTGGCCACCCCAGAGTCCAGACCTCTACATCAATGAATGTGTTTGGGATTACTTGGATTTTGGGAAGAATAAAATGCAACCAACTTCTAAGACTGAACTTCGGAGGTGTGGAAAAACATCCCTGCAGATTTCTTTGAAAAATTAAAAACAAGCCTCCTGAAAAAAATGAAAGCTGTGATAATGGCAAAGGATGGATGATAAAGAACAGATATTATATTATGTTTCTGAAGCTTCTGTGTAATTTTCTGTTACTTTTATATTTCGCTGCTGTCAGAAGAAAACCTCTCCATTTTGTCATTTTTCAGTTTTTGACATAATTTGAAAGCACCTGTTGCTCTTTACAATGTATGTAAATTTCATGATGAATGGACCAAAAGAAACAGCTCAAAATTACTTGGGAAAAAAGTCTGGTTCTTTTGACTTACATTAAAAGTAAAGTAGGTTTTTTCCTTCTCCTGTAAAGTCACCATTTTGGAGGGAGATACAAGGTTTTCTTCCGACAACAGCGATACACGTGTACACATACATACATATATATATATATATATATATATATATATATATATATATATATATATATATATATATATATTCCTGATGCTGAAAAATGATCAGCCAGTACATAATATTAATAACATAACATTAACGTACATTACATAAATGAAGGGTGGTCTCTGACTTTTGCACTGCTCCTCATCCCAAGTCCAAACTGAAAACCTACTTTTACTCAGCAGCATATGGAAATACCATTCCGCATGTCTTTATTTGTTATGTACACTATATGGACAAAAGTACTGGGACACACCTTTTTAATTATTGAGTCCAGGTGTTCCAGCCACACCCATTGCCGGTGGATAAAATTAAGCACACAGCCTCGCAGTCTCGCTATATAAACACTGGCAGTAGAAAGGGTCGTACTGATGAGCTCAGTGACTTTAAACATTGCACTGTCATAGGATGCCACAAGTCAGTTTGTGAAATTTCTGTCCTGCTAAATCTGCCCCTATGAAATAGAAGCATCTAGGAGCAACAACAGCTCAGCCACAAAGCGACAGACCACACAAACTCACTGAGTGGAGTCACTGAGTGCTGAAGCACACAGTGCCTATCCTCTGTTGAATCACTCACTAAAGAGTTCCAAATTGCTGGTCAACTGTAAATGCTATTATTGCAAGGGGTGGGGTAAATCACTCCACCACCGGACTCTGGAGCAGTGGAAACGCATTCTGTGGAGTGACGAATCGCGCTTCTCTATCTGTCAGTCTGATGGACGAGTCTGGGTTTAGTGAATGCCAGGAGAACGTTACCTGCCTGACTGGATTGTGCCAACTGTGGTGGAGGAGGGATGATGCTATGGGGTTGTTTTTCAGGGGTTGTCTTTGACCCCATAGTTCCAGTGAAAGGAAATCTTAATGCTTCAGCAGACCAAGACATTCTGGACAATTCTATGCTTCCAACTTTGTGGGAACCTTTCCTGTTCCAGCATGACTGAGCCCCAGTGCACAAAGCAAGGTCCATAAAGGCATGACTGGGTGAGTTTGGTGTGGAAGAACTTCACTGGCCCTCACAGAGCCCTGACCTCAACCCCATCAATCACCTTTGGGATGTACTAGAAGAGAGATTGTGAGCCAGGAACACTCGTCCAACATCAGTGTCTGACCTCATAATTGCTCTTCTGGATGAATGGGCACAAATTCCCACAGACACTCTCCAAAATCTAGTAGAAAGCTTCCCAGAAGAGCCTATGGGTTTAGAATGGGACGGCATAAAAGCTCCTGTGGGTATAACGTGTAGGTGTCCCAATACTATTGTCCATATAGTATATATGTTTTTTTGTGTATGAGACAAGTTGTTTTATGGCTGTAGAGTGACTAGAGTGACTTCAGTGGTGACAGTTTACTTGCTTACTTACTTACTAACATAGAAAGCAGAGATCAAGTACCTTTCTTGCGTTAGCTGACATACTAAGAGCCATGAGTCCCTCAAGGTAGCTGCTCAGACTGACTCCTTTCACCGTGATAATGGCCTCCTGGGTTAATATCGTGCTGTTGGGAAGAAGCATGTTATAAGGTGTTTGGTCATCACATAATAAGCACAGTAACAAACCAAACGATATACTGCATCAATACAAAATAACAGTAAGATATAATTGACTTTTCCACTCACACGTCTGGGTTTTCTGGATGTGGCCTGTAAACTAGTCTCTCGTCAACAGATACTAAGTTTGTGAGGGTTATCTAAGAAAGAAAGGCATATGAAATTCTTTATTATATTCCACAGAAGCTTCTCCATATCACCCTATCAAAATATTACAAAAGTTACTCATTTGCATACAACAAATATATAATAAACAACATGTAAGTCAATTATTATTTGACTTGAATTTTATAGCAATACTCACATTTGTCGAGCAAAGCTCCATTTTTTTTTCTTGAGGATCAACGATTGAATGCTCTTTCACATAGGTGATGGTTCGATTCGTCCCCAAAATCTAATGAAAGAAAATTTATTTTCATTTTAGCGTTACTTTTGAATTCATTGGCTACGTTCATATTACCAGGTTGAAGTGGCACAAATCTGATTTTCTGCCCTAATGTGACTCAGATCTGATGTTTTCAAGGCTGTGTGGACAGAAATCTGATCTTTTCAAATCTGACCTGAGTCACTTTCATATGTGGTCCTAGATCGGATACGTATTCAATTTCGGCAATTACTTCTGCAAATAACAAACAGCATGGTAAATTTGGTTTTGTATTGGACATTCACTGGATATTTGACTTTTCCTCCTCAATTTCTCAATAAATATACGTCCAAACAATTACGAAACCTGCATTTTCTCAGTTCTGAGAGACACAGAATAAACTACTTTCAATGTTAGCCATTAGTTCGCTTAATATACTGTTTCAGAAATGCAGATCATAACGCTTTAGTCATTAAAGGACTGACTTAACAGTGCAAAACATTTACCATTTACCCTTTTCAGTAAACAGATTAACTTCTGGAAAATCCCACTGATTTCACAAAATTTCTCAATAATTAAATGATTTAGATGGAAATAAAGAGAGAAAGAGTGGGTTTATGTGAGCCGCTCCATGGCGGTGATAGGAACCCGAGGTCTAAAAAGTTTATTGCATCTAAAAGCTCCTCCACAGAAAGTTATTACATGAAATGGTTATGAATACCCTGCCTGATGCCTGAGACACTGTTTTACAGTAGTTTTGAGATCAGCTTTTGAACTAAAACCATTTTTTTAAATGCATTCATGGTGCAGGGTAGACAAAATAGTGACCAATGAAAACATTCAGATTTATAATTATTTTACAGTTATAAACATTATATATAAAAGCTCATATAGGTTTACTATCCATTTTGGGTAGTAAACAAAATGGCTATATATGTATATGTATATATGTTGTAGCCATCTGGTTTCTATCACCACCGCTGTCGAAATCTAAATGAGTACGTTTCTCTACAGTGAAACTCTCACACCAAACCACTCTGAATGACTGCTTACAAGGCAATGATCAAATTATGCAGAAATTCTGAAAAATCGGTGGAATTTCCCTTCATGCCTACTACAAATCCCAGTTTAGGGAAGCCACTTTCTTTACTTCAAGTGAGTTGATGTGATTTTTGCCTACTTTTAGCTAAACACAGAGAAATTATATCAATTAAAGATGTCAATGTTATGCACTTTTTAGACGGACATTATGACCACCTCCCTGTTTCTATGCTCATTGACCATTTTTGCACTTTGGAGTTCTACAGTTACAGACTGTAGTCCATCTGTTTCTCTGCATACTTTGTTAGCCCCCTTTTACCCTGTTCTTCAGTGGTCAGGACCCCCATGGATCCTCACAGAGCAGGTACTATCTGGGTGGTGGATCATTCTCAGCACCGCAGTAACACAGTGACACTGAGGTGTTTAAAAACACACCACCACCACATCAGTGTTACTGCAGTGCTGAGAATGATCCACCACCCAAATTGTACCTGCTCTGTGAGGGTCTATGGGGGTCCTGACCACTGAAGAACAGGGTAAAAGGGGGCTAACAAAGTATGCAGAGAAACAGATGGACTACAGTCTGTAACTGTAGAACTACAAAGTGCACCTATATAGTAAGTGGAGCAAGGAGGTGGTCATAATGTTATGCCTGATTGGTGTATATGGGTGCTATACATGACATCCCTGCTGTCATGGTGAGCAGTCTAGCCTACTAACCGCTCTGACAACACCTGGCAGACCCCACTCAGTGCTCAGGAGCCGATGGCTGTGTAGACGGCCATTTTTGTCCAAATTCCTGTCCAGGACGTCCACTCCCACTACGCTGGGGTTCATCGGATTGGGGTACTTTCTCATTGCTGCTTTGATCACCGTCTCCCAGGGGTAACTATGAAAGAAGAGGAGAAGGGCAGATTTAAAGGGAATTCAGAGTGGTTTGGTGTGAAACGCTTCGTTCTAGAGAAACTCACATAGTCAGAATTGTTCACAGTGGTGGTGATGGGAACCAGACTCTTTGAGTTTAATGCTTTGTAAAGTTCCCTCACAGAAAGCTATTACATGAATGGTGATGAATACATGACTGACGCCTAAGACATTGTTTTCCAATAGTTTTGAGAGCCTAAAATGTATTATTTATGGCGGAGGAATACATGCAGGACGTTCTGAGGCAACAAAGTCCCCAAAGAAAACTTTTTTGTTTTCATTTTTTCATTTATCACTATTTTGCCATGATCAACATTACATATCGCTGTTGTCGGAACAAAACCTTGTATCTCCAAAATGCTAAATTTACAAGAGAAGAAAAACCTTCTCTACTTTTAATGTACGTCAATGGAACCAGACTTTTTTCCAATCCATTCTGGGCCATTTCTTTTGGTTCATTCATCATGAAATGTGCACACAATGTAAAAGACAACAGGTATTTTCAAACCATGTCAAAAACTGAAAAACTACCAAAATGGAGATACAAGGTTTTCTCCCGACAGCAGCGACAGAAAAACATGGAAGTAGGTCCACTTGTGGTTTTGTACAGTAAATAAAATGGCTATATTTGTGTTGTAGACACTGTGACGCCTGGTTTTTATCACCACTATCATCACCATTTATCACCGTAAAGAAACCTGAGTCAGTACGTTTTTTTTATAATGAACTATTTTAAATCAAACCACTCTGAATGACCTTATTTACACCACAGCCACTGAATTATGGAGAATTTTTGAAAAATAAGTAGAGTTCCCCCTTAAGCTTCAGTGGCAAAATGAAACTACAGTATTTTGCTTTGGCAAAGATTAAAGGAAGTTATGGCCTGGAGAGGCAAATTAGGCCCCAGCAATGAATACGACATGTTAATGCAAAATGGGAAGTAACAGTGGAAAGCTCTTACACAAGAGGCTTGTTTTTAGACCCGGTTTTATCATTATGACATTTCCTAGAGAGCATGGAAGTGATGAAATAAGTCATGACACAGCGGAAAATGACAGAAAGTCACTGACAATCACTGAGAATCGCAGTTCACTCTACTCTTCATTGGCCACTATGCACATTTCATACCAAGAAGCAGACTCTGAATGAAACATCACAGACGGCCGATTTCATATTCCCATAAACACCAAAAACCTTATCACCAAACTATCATAAAACAACGTCCAGACGTCATACAGTGTATTTATCCCCATTTCACGTTATGACTTTCAGTGAGGGAGCTTTTAGCCTTTTCAACTCCTTGGGACCACCAGTGGTTCCAAAACGCACTTCGTCATATTCTTCATAACTTTCATATTTCATAAGCTACATTCAAAAGGTGGGGGTCGTATGAGAGCTGTAACTGTCTTCTTTCCAGTCAAATAGATGGGTGATGTAATTTTAAACCCTTATAATAAAAGAAGCTGAACTCAGTTTTTTGTCTACTGAAAGTTGATCTATTTTTCCACAAATCTGGGCTATAAACTATAAACAGATGGCATCTCTTTTCAATGATCTGCTCTGTAAAAATGATTTTTATAAAATAATACAAAGAGCGTCTAAGATTTTTGGCTTTCAGCAGTAAATTGTAAGAATATAGGAATATGTGTGATCATAAAACACATGTTCTGTTCATTTGAGGGGAACTTTTACAAAAAAATAAATAAATAAATATAACAAAAATGTACATTTATTTCATGCAGTTGCTGAATAATTCGCCTGACGATTTAAGCAATGTAAACTCAGATGGACAAACCAAAATATACCCTGGAGAATAAGAGGTTAAAGGCGTGAGGCTCCTCTGGTTCCCATCACCACCACTGTGAACAACTCAGACTCGTCAAGTTTCACAGCAAACCTCTCTGAATGACTCCGTTTACACCCTAAACATATAATTATGCACACTTTCTTGAAAAGCCGGCGGATTTCCCTCTTTAAGAACCTCTCAGTAGATATGTGGCCTACATACATGACTCTGTCTGCACAGAAAGACCGTCAGCTCCACATAAACGATCAGCGCAGCTGCTCATGTCTCTTTATCGTCTATTCACCGGCTGTCTGCGCTCTGAGGCGAAGAGCCGTTTCACCAACACCCTCACCAGCGCTGCTACCTGAATACATGCTCCGTGCTCCAGAGCTTCATGTCTGCCCGGCTTTGGCTGTTCCCTTTCCCAGAAAGCGAGTCAGAATATAAAAAGCAAAGGAATAAATCCAAAAATTCGCTGTTTTCTCTCGTTGCCGGCCGGTAGCATCTTCTCCAAGGCTTTCCTCCGCTGTAGCGGAATCCTCCCTCGATCCAGCGACGCCAGCCAATCGCGATCCAGCTCCGAGCTGATGACGGTCCTCGGCGACTTGATGAGGATCAATTGTCCGTCGAAAATGCGCACTCTTACAACAGAAGTAGAGCCGATTACTTTCCATTTTACCCTGTTCTTCAGTGGTCAGGACCCCCATAGACCCTCACAGAGCAGGTACTGTTTGTGTGGTGGATCATTCTCAGTACTGCAGTAACACTGACGTGGTGGTGGTGTGTTAGTGTGTGTTGCGCTGGTGTGAGTGGATCAGACACAGCAGTGCTTCTGGAGTTTTTAAACAACTCAGTGTCACTGCTGGACTACGGAGCCCCGCTGGTGACATCCTGTATAAACAAAAATAATGCGTGGCCACGACTTAGTAAGGCTTGGGAATGAGATGGTTAAATCGTGGCCATGACTTAGTAAAGCGTGGGAACGAGATCCTAATGTGTGGCCACAACTTAGTAAGCCATGATCTCGTTCCCACGCCTTACAAAGTCATGACCACGACTTAATCATCTCATTCCCATGCCTTACTAAGTCGTGGCCACAATTTGGATCTCGTTCCCACACATTAATAAGCCACGCATTATTTTTATTTACACAGGATGTCATCATCAGGGCTCCGTACAAAAACATTTGTAGTCTCTTAAAAAATGTTTCACCTTCAAAATCCATCATCAGAAAGGCGGTTTTCACGTCTTCAAACCAGGAAGTCTCGTTCTAGAAACTACTGATGTAAGATTTAAGTAGGCATGTTTACAAAAGATGCAGCGATGGTCAGTTATTTTTCATTGTGGCTGGAGAATCCAAAGAGGTCAGACATCAGATAAGGCTTGGGAATGTCTCAGCTGCTCAACAGCTACCAATAAAGTGCAGACAATTATATAGACATTGTACAACCTGTGCTTATTAGCAATACTCAATAAAGAAACATATCGTACATTAAAAATGGTACATTCGGTATGGTATATTGCCCAAGCCATTCATAAAACTCATCAATTAAACATTAGCTATGTTAATACCATATACCAATATGTTAACTGGTATGTTGGTACCGTCCGGCAGAAGAAAACAGTTTCTAGAAAAATGAATTTACTCTATTATTTTCCAGTGAGACGCTAAACAGGGAACTAACCCTCTACTGTATGATGTTGCCTCAGGGTAACAAACCCATTTTGACTTTCCAGTGACACAATGCATATTTAATAACAGTGAAAGAGTTAATAATGAAGGAAAGACTTAGCAAGAACCAATAAAATGGCTATACTTGTTCACCATATGTCATTTTTGATTGGCATCTTTAAACCTTTTTCAGGCAGGATACAGCTTATGGACGATGCATGTAATCGACAGGTTCCTACAGGAGAGCAATTTTGCATCATTTTTCATTCATGCAAAAACCTGGTCCACATCTATTGGATGGTGAAATTCATTTGTAAACATTCTGAATCATACAAATGATTTTATGCTATAAGAAATTGCTTATGTATATGTATGTTGCCTAGAAGTAACACTAGGCAATGAATATAGCCGGTAACAAGTGAATATAAGCCTGTCATGATCATGACATTTTAGCTGACGGTTTACTGTTGTGTAAATAATGGCGATTAATGATTCAACTGTCTTGTTCGTCTGATGCGTAATAAAATATTAGCCAAAAGTGGCCAAATTGACTGATTAGCTATCTCGCTTCCTAGCAATGTATGTAGTTGCTAACACTCAGTGTACAGTCACACAACACTGTATACACTTACATAGAATTAGGTGTGTATACAGTGTTGTGAGTCGCGCAAGGTTTTTTATTTAAAAAACTTATATGTGGATATAATTAATTTATTAAGAAGGTTGAACTCACCCTGAATGTTTCATTGTTTTTTTTATTGTTATTACTGCAGATTCACACTCGTTGTTATTTTTATTTAGATAAAGAAATCTGTTCTCAATGTTTATTTTTTCAAGAATGACTTCTAGAAAAAAAAATAGTTTTGTTACAATATAATTCTTCTACAACCCTGTTTCCAAAAAAGTTGGGATGCAGTGTAGAATGTAAATAAAAATAGAATGCAATGATATGCAAACCATATTTTTAAAGGAAAATACTACAAAGACAACATATCAAATGTTGAAACTGAGAAACTGTATTGTTTATTGAAAAATATATGCCTCTCTCTGTAACTCTCTGTAACTCTAAGCATTTGGGAAGCATTGGGAGACCAGTTGCTGTAGTTTTGAAAGTGAAATATTTTCCCGTTCTTGTTTGCTATAGGATTTCAGCTTCTCAGTAGTTCTGGATCTCCCTTGTCATATTTTTCATTTGACAGGACACTTTTCCACTTCCCCTCAGTCCATTTTAAATGAGCTCGGGCCCAGAGAAGGCGGCAGCATTTCGGGATCCATTTCATATACGTTTTTCTTGTTTGCGTTTCAGAGTTTTAACTTGCATTTGTGGATGCAGCGACAAACTGTCTTCACAGACAGTGGTTTTCAGAAGTCCATCTGAGCCCATGCAGTGATTTCCAATAGAGAATCATGTCTGTTTTTAACGCTGGTTTTTGGTCTTGTCCCTTGCATACAGAGATTTCTCCAGATTCTCTGAATCTTCTAATGTGATTATGTACAGTAGATGATGAAAAACAAAAGTTCTTTGCTATTTTACGTTTAGAAACGTTGTTCTTGAATTGTTGCACTATTTGTTCATTCACACTGCCCTCCAAACATGTTAGAGCATTGAGGTTTTTTTTTTGTTTTCATAAAACCCATGACATGTCTCAACCAATGTATTTGTCTTTTATTAACATTTAGTTGCCTCAGTCCGACGCATCCAATTCCCATTTCACTTGTTGCAGCATAAAATAATTTATGTGGAAAATATTGCAGTCATCTTAAATAATCATGATCAACTGTAATAATTGTGATTAGACAATTACGTAATGATTGTGACAGGCCTACAAGTGTCACATGTGCCATTATTCTTTTTATTCAGAATTATTTTTGCGTTTTTGTTTAGAAAACCTATTTTTGGTATTAAGTCTGAATATAATATTAGTGGCTAGGGGTCCCTAAACAGCTCCTTAAAGCTCCCCAAGCTCCCCTAAAGCTCCTCAGTCCACATTTTTATGCCTACAACAATCAGCCATAACATTAAAACCACCACACTGTATCTATCATTGAAGCACAAGTGGACCGTCTGAGGGACCTGAGGGCCGGAGTGTAGAAGTCCTCATCCATTGCCGTCTAACAAAGGGTTAACCAGCCCAGAGGCAAACTGTAAACAAGCACCATGACCTCATGTTGGGAGATTCTGCACGGGAAATTACATTCTCCCGCGCGCATGCGCAGTAACACCGAGCCTCTCCGGAGTTTCGTTTTCATGTGGAGAATGAAGGTAATGTAAAGGACTCGGCGCAGTGCGGTCAGTGTTTGTGGCACCTCTTAGATGGACACCACTGTATCTGACCGCTGCATGGCTGCCACACCCGGTAAGTGTTTTCTCGTTCAGTCCATCCCGAAATGTTCTCAGCTTTACTCGCCGGAGCTTTGAAAAAAAGTTTTTTTTTTTTATTATTTTTCCGTTCCACCTTAAATGGCTTAACTGGCGCAGCATTACAGTCAAACTCTACGTTCGCCCGCTGCATTTAAGGTGGAACGGCGAATTCGAATAGGAAGTTAACTTGAGGTTTTGTATAACCGAGGAAGTGGGGGGCTCATGGTGAAGTAGACTTCAGTTTACCTCACAAAAATAAGAAATGCTGCTTGAAACTGACGTAAATGTAAAATTTTAGAACTCCCTTCGGTGTGAGGCATCGCTAGCATTGAAAACGTCCACATTATGCTTCTGTTTTGCCTCCCTCAACAGACAAAACCCTGCGGCGCCAGCTCGGCACCCTCTCGAAGTGCATGTCCGCCAGTTTGGTGGGGAGAATATCGACGTGTTTATGCCGGTCACGTATCCTCACCGAGTATGAGGTCCAGCTGATCCAGACTCAGGGCACGGACACCCAGAAAGCCTCTCAGCTGCTGCTCACGGTCCTCCGCAAAGGGTCCAGAGCCTGTCAGCTTTTCTTCAAATGTCTGGCCGTGTGTAGCCCCTCGCTGTTCGAGACGGTCACTGGCTGCACAGGTAGGTGCTAAACAGACCACAAAATTCAGTAAACAAGATGTAAACAAAGTCATTCAGAGTGGCTTGATGTGGTGCAGTGGTGGTAACAGGAACCAGAAGTCCTGATATCTACAGCGCAAATCTAGCCATTTTATTTACTGTTCAAAATGAGCAGAGAACCTATAGCTGCATTCCTTTCTGAGTTATTATACGTTAATAATGGTAAAATAGTGGTGAATCTGAATGAGGTAGTTTTCCTTCCTATGTTGCCTTAGAACAGGAGTGTCAAACCCAACCAGTAAAAGGGCCATATTAAAAAAATCTTATCAAATCCGTAGGCCAGAGAAAAAAATGTTTTATTTCATTTTTAATCAATGTTGTGCTATAACCCTAACTGGCCATGGTTTATTCAAAATATGCAAAATCAAATTAAACACAGAGCAGCGCAATACATTTCAATTAGTGTAGTAAAAAACATTACAATAAGATTAAGTGACCCTTATTAGTCCCACAACGGGTAAAACTTCACCTCCGCATTTAACCCATCCATGCAGTGAAACACCACATACACACTAGTGAACACGCACACTAGGGGGCAGTGAGCACACTCGCCCAGAGTGGTAGACAGCCCTATCCACGGCACCCAGGGAGCAGTTGGGGGTTAGGTGCCTTGGTCAAGGGCACTTCATTCACGTACTGTCGGCTCAGGGGATCGAACCGGCCACCTGCCGGTCACAAGGCTGGTTCCCTAACCCTCCAGCCCACGACCGTCCCCTGAATAATAAGTACTTAACTCAGTGCTCACTTAAGTGCTGTATAAAGAGACGCGTCTTCAGTCTTCAGTCAGCCAGTGGGAGTTCGTTCCACCACCTGGGTGGAAGGACAGAGAAAACTTTTATAAGCATTAGAAGTTTAAAAAAAATCAGATTCCTGTCACCAGCATTGTAAATCATTTTGACTTGGTAAATGTGTGTCGTGTCATTTAGACATATAGGTGCACTGCAATGAGAATTCCTGTCTGAAACGGAAACTGAAATTCAGGACGCACCTGACCGAAAACCAAAACTGAAAATAGTTTTGACTGTGTGGGTTTTCGTTTGTTTATGCTTTTGAATAAACATAGTATACATAAAAACTAGAAGGTGAGAAAGAAAATACATTTTTATTATTGGTAAAATCGGCTTTCAGTAGGACAAAACTGAGCGAACTGTAAATAAAAAGCAGTTTACATAAGATAAACCGACTAAAATGATTGCAGTATTATTATGGCTGCAGAATGTCCTTCTATCCACAAAATCCAACGTCTTTCACTACTAACAGTCATCTGAGGCAGTGAACCACTGATATGGTGCTTTCAAGTGGTATCAAACCTCTAATGGAGAAGTCGCTCTGTGTTGTACTTCCTTTTGACCTGGCATGAACAGAGGATATGAAACACATGTCTAATGTTACTTGTAGGGACTGGGGCATAGCGCTACGTGGCCAACTTTCTTCCCACTTTAAACGAGTCTGTTCTGACAGAAGGACAGTATTTTTAATACACATTATTTGTAAAGTTTTTTTTGTAAAGATTTTGATATTTTGTTGTAGTCCTGTTAATATTTTGGAGTGTTTTTTGGCCAAAACTGAGCCTTTTCTTCAACTTTGATCCAAAATCCGAAGTGCCGTATTTTACGTAAGTGTTTCTTTGTCCAAATTTTGGTGCATCCTTAATATATTTCGAGGGCAGAACTCTTGTTTTTAGTCAGATGCATTTTGTGCATCCTTGTTTAATTTGTAATTCCTTTTTTGAGTTGAATTTGATTTACCTGGTCTGCTTTGCTGTGTCTTCTCACTTCCAAAAGGATCCCCAAAGACTTCACTGCTTATGTTAATAGGTGCCTGATTTACTAACAAGCTCTATGAGCTTGAGCAGTTAGTTATTATATAACTTTTTTACTTGTATTTTTTCTTGGCTACTTTTACTTCTGCTTGAGCTGTTACTTCACAGAAGTAACAATGCTTGCATTTGGTTTTAGGCCACTATGCCTACTTCTGCTTGTTGGTCTATAAACTTGTTTTGTGTGCGTCTCTGTGTTGCAGTGAGGGCAGCGGACGTAGACCACTATCATTTTGAAGATGACAACTGTTCAGGTATACAAAACCCCTGATTGTGTTCTTTTGGCCTGCCAGTTGTACAGATGTACAGGTGTAGATGATCCATTAAATAGCATTTAAAACAGGGTGAAAAGTGGATAATCTCACAACATGCCTACTTATAAGATTAAGATAACTTAAAAAAATGCATGTTTTTGTTCTTATCTTAAATAAAAATTGGCATGATGGTGCAAAACAAAATCCCATTTTCCTTCATATGGAACACAAATAGTATGCCTCCTTTCCCACTTCACCTTTTGTTAGTATTTCCACTGTATGCCTCCTTCCTCATTCCTTTGAACTGAGTGCTGAATACCTCTTGATTATGGTCTCTCATTGCATGCGCTTTATTCCATTTTTTTTGTTCTCACAGAGACAAATGGAGCAGTTCCACCATATATCATAAATATACACAATTCCTCATTAACCAACTGCATCATCGGAAACAACAATGACTTGTGCTGTCTCCTCTCTCGGACTGATGTTACTAATGGTAAGAAGAGCAGAAAATATCTGACCAATATACAGTGTGTTCTGTCCTAGATTATGAGCTGGCTGTGTCTACAATATATCGCTGCTGTCGGAAGAAAATCTCCATTTTTGTCGTTTTTCAGTTTTTGACATAATTTGAAAATGCCTGTGGCTCTTTACCTTGCGTGTAAATGTCATGAAAAATGGACCAAAAAAATGGCCTGAGATTACTTGGAAAAAAGTCTGGTTCCATTGACTTACATTAAAAGTAGAGTAGGTTTTTTCCTTCTCCTGTAAAGTCACAATTTTGGAGACAACAGCGATATACTTGGTTGGAACATTACGTTTTTGTTTGAAAATGGTTGCAGTTCCCACACCGTTCACACGATTTGGATGTAAATACTGTCAAAGCTTGAAAAACTGCACCAATAACAATAACTTTGGCTCTCATTCACTAATATCTTCCTAATTTTTCTTACATTTGTTCTCGAAAAAGGTCCTAAGAAAAAGTCTACGTCAGATTCATGACATGATATTAAACCACAGATTTGTTCGCCCCTCTGTGCTCTTGAGGGTGTGAAGATTCTGTTCTTACCTAAGAAAAAATCCCAAATAAGAAAACACTGGCGAATGTCAGAAGCTTCGTGAAAACTGCATGAGAGGGTTTTAGGAAGAAGGTGAATGGTGAATGAGGCCCTTTGTCGACATCCAAACATTGATGGGCTTTTATGGACCAGTACTGGGAGACACTCATATAAGGCCCCTCAACCATTCACACTGGGAAGTCAGAAATAATTTTGGTGCAGTTTTTAAATTGATCACTATGTTTCTTTCTTCTTCAAAGATAAGTTGGAAGACATGCAGAGGCCTGACCAGCAAATGGTAGCGCAGGACCCCACGGAGGCTCCCAGCATCCAGGTGCAAAGCTCACATGTAGAGTACGTCATCATAGGGGACAACAACTACATGAGCATTGGGAGCAACGAGGAGTCAGGAGAGCAAGAACAAAGAGAGAGCGAGCTTGAAGATTCTGAAGGGTGAAATGGATTAAATATTGAGGATGGACTGTAATGAGTTGTTATCCACCATTTCTCTAAATGAGAACGGTGTCTCTGTAGTAGAGAATGGATCACGGTCACAGGGAGAGAGAGAGAGAGAGAGAGAGAGAACCGCATTGCTTAGGATGTCACCATATACACAAGAAAGTGACGCCGCTGACATAACATAATGCCAAATTTGGGCTGTTTGATCCGTTATTTTACTGGGACGGATGTAGTTATTCTAATGTATATATACCTGAACTAAACTCACATAGCTTACTTTGGGATCTGGTAATGGCATGTGTGGTTTGGAAGTAAACAAATAATGATGCATTATTGATTATGATGTAATTTTTAAATAGGATTTTGACAGAGCTGGAATTGTGGTGAATGCAGTCACAAATGATCTGTATATGAAGTAAAAAGCATCTGAAACTATTCTAAACCAGTCCTATGTAACTCTGCATTCACACCGGCAGCAACGCGATGCGACAAAGTGGCCGGACGTCATTCATTTTCAATGGGAGCTGTCGATTTCCGGCGAACCGTTCCGCGAACGTTGGCGACGCGAAGTGGGTGGAGTGAGCGATGCGACAAACAGTGTGTCCCAATTTAGGGACTGGATCCTTCGAAGGACGCAGTCTGCGAGGAGGTGTCCTTCGAAGGCTGCTTAGACCCGCGAAGGCTGAACCGAAAAGAGACGGTCTGCATTACAGCAGATTTTCTGTTTGTGTCACAGCCCCGCTGTTCCTGCCCTCACCGCTGCGCCACGAGACGCTGCTCTTATCAAGTTCTTTTAACGTTCTTTAGCGATGGAGCCAGAAACTTTGATTTTAGTTGTTTATTTTTTCATTTATTAGAGCTGGAGATGCTTCACCACCGGCTACTGATGAGATTGTTTTGTATTTTGTTGTTTTTGTTTTTTTGTTTTTTTTTACTTTTAAATGAACTTTTAAATTTGTATCGTTAGCTATTCGCCTCAGTTGAAACCCAATACTTACATTTATATATTTTTAGCATTTATTTAAAAGTGTACTTCTCAGTTCGCCTTAGCTCAGACAGCTAACAGACAAAAAGCTTCCTCAGAGTAAGGCTTGAAATTGAAGTATTTCACTAAAAACCACAAATCAGTAAACAAGTAAATAACATGTCTTACCAGCTCAAAATGTTCATGTAGAATTGTAGTATCAGTAACAGTTTACAGTGAAAATAAACTTTAGTTAGCTTGATGCTAACTTGTTATAGTTCCCATAGAGAAGCTCACGTAAATTAGCATTTTTACAGCGATGGAAATTGAAGAAAAATGCATTATGTTACGAAAGAACTATGCAAGAAATTGTGATGCATCAGAGTCATATGGTAAAAAATACATACTTCTGGGGAGTATGCGGCACTAGAGTGGTGACTTCGGTAGTGTGCCCCAATCTCTCTCTCTCTCTCTCTCCATATATATATATATATACATATATATAAAAACTGTGTGTGTGTGTATGTTGTCACTGTTCAAGAACAGTGTCGAAATTCCCGAACCCTTTAATGTGCATATTTGCGTTTAAACTACCTTTTAAAAACCAGTTCTCTGTTTTGCTATGATCGGTACCTCAACATTGATATAAGGACACAACTGTTATACAGTATTTCAATAAGCTACGTATCACTGCTAAGCAAACTATGTTTATTGATATTGAGTGTTTTTTATAATATTCCTATGGTATTTATAAAGAGATGTGCATATTGTTAAAGAGTATTGCTAATAAACATGTATATATTGCTTAAAGATGCACTATGTGCAGATGTTTTGTCTCTTTTTTTTAATTATTTGGAGCATTTAAAATGCTAGCTTTCTTTGAGGAATCTAAATGGCTGAATTTAACTACTAGTGAAGATGACCAAGTTCTGGACTACATTCAAGTATATTCATGTTGTGGTACATCTAGGAGTTGAGAAAGCAAGACTTCAGTGGCATTTTCATTCTCACAGTTCAATTCACCATAACTAAACCACCTGTGTTTTTTTAATGCTGGTTACAGTAACCTATTTCTATTATGTCTACTGTGTAATGTTTACGCACATTTTACAGCTTGTTTATATTAGATGACGACGAATGAAGTAAGCAACTCGTGCATGGCTACGTTCACATTACCAGGTTGAAGTGGCACAGATCTGATTTTTTGCCCTAATGTGACTCAGATCTGTTGTTTTCAGGGCTGTGCGGACACAAATCTGATCTTTTCAAATCTGACCTGAGCCGCTTTCATATGTGGTCCTAGATCAGATACGTATCCGTTTTGTGGCCATGCGACCTTAATGTGACGCTCAGATCGGAATTCATGTCCTTTTTTTCCACTGCGCGTGCGCCATCATTCAGCGTTACCATGGCAGCAGCGCTGAACAAAGGTTAAAGCCTGTAAACGGTGGAAAAGAAACACATCTCAGGTTTTTTCTCCTTCGTCTCGCTCTAATAATGAAGCTGAGAGTTGATCAGAGTTAATTATCTTCAGCGAAGCTCGTTCTGCTCGTTAGTCTGTGCTGATGCACGTGATTCATTCACGTGACGTTACTAAGTAGGATGTGCTCATGTGGGTCATTTCAGGACGCCAGTTTGTTCACATTAATGACAGATTTGAATCACTTACCTAAACGTGTGTGAACCATCGAGTCAGAGAGATCAGATTTGAGCAAAAAATCGGATTTGAGCAACGAGCCTTGTAATGTGAACGTAGCTTATGTTTGAATTGAAAACAGCGATGAAGTGTACAATGGTTGTACTGAGTAGTGTACTTATTAGTGTGCACTAGATAGTGCACCAGTATGCAGAACAGTTTTAAATATGTACTGGTGGACAAAGTTCTTACTAGTGTGCACCAGCATTATACAAGACAGTTTTAAATGTATTAAGTACTGATGGACTCATTTGCACTCATTTGGACTAGCCAGTGTTCTTTCTAGTGTGCACTAGTGTACCAGTATATAGAACACGGTTCTTTAGGCAAGGTTCTATGCTATTGCTCAGAGAACCATTTGTGGCACATTTTGAAGAGCGAGCTAGTGTTCTAACTTGTGTGCACTAGCTAGTGCACCATTGTACAGAAGAGCTGTGCCACAAATGGAAGTGTATATTAAATACTGGCAGCTGCTAGATTTACATTACCTCAGTGCTCAGTGTTCTTAGTAGTGTGCATAACTAGCAAACTAGCAGTGGTGAACAGAAACTAAGTACATGTAATTCGTTACTGTACTTAAGTAGTTCTTTCCTGTATCTGTACTTTATCTGTATCTGTATTTCCATTTTGGGCAACGTTTTACTTTTACTCCACTACATTTTGCGAAATCTGTCATTCCTTTTGGCTTATATGTGTAGAAAAATGTAACATTTCAAAACAAAAGAAGCACAAAGCAAACACACCAATCCACAGCGCGCACTTTGTTTTGAGCTTGTTTTGACCTGTTTGTCATACCGACCCAGTGCAGCACACGGTTCAACATCAGTGCAGCAGCGTAACATTTTGGGAGAGTCTATTCAACATAAATGATGAACTAACCTAACTTTGTGTAAATAGGCCACAATACAGAAATATGTACACATATGCAGTTGTGACTGACGTGTCTTTTTTCTGAATTTATACGAACACTTTCATTTTATAGTAAATTAGTTTTGGCTGGTTTATGTTTATGAACAGAGACCTACAGATGCAGTTTAGTAAAGAAAAACTCATTTGTGAATCTGAGTTTAAAGCAAGTTTTTATCAAACTTAAACTTGTAACTAAGTTGCAAATAAATCTTAAACTGAAACTTTGCTTGTTTGCAAAAGGTCATTTCAGAGCCACTCAGTTCTACCTAATGGAAACGGTTTGCCTTCAGTGTTTTGTGCTTATGATAATTTTAATAGACATCAGCGTCGCTAATTAATGACCTTCTATTAAAAGACTGGTTTACCAAGAGAGACACTGGAGTATTTTCACCTAAAATGAGTTAATGAAGTTAATGAGTCTTCTTACAAAAATCATAATAGGACATCAGAGCCATAATTAATCTCTTAGTACTTTTCCTTTTGATACTTAAGTACATTTGAAGGCAAGTACTTTTGTACTTTTACTCAAGTGGAGGTCTAAAGGGAGGAACCTCTACTTTTACTGCAGTAATATTTTACCTTGGGTATCTCTACTTTAACTCAAGTTCATGGTTTGTGTACTTCGTCCACCACTGCAAACTAGTATACTAGTAGAAGAGTTTTAAAGGTATTGAGTACTAACGGACTGCTGCTGCTGCTGTTGCTGACCGGCGTAAACCGAACAGTCCTAATGCATACATTTTAAGGACTGGAGGAGTTACACCAGCCACCGTCCTTACTAGTGTGCACTACTTAGTGGACTAGTATGCAGGGCGCTTGTGCGCCAATTGGAACTCGAAAGACAACAACATCCGGCGTACACTTCCGCTGAGCAGTGTTTCAAATGCAGCGATTCTCCGGTCTCAGAATGAGCCTGTACTAACGCCTAACTTTAGTTTTAACATGTTTTAAAATAGTTATGGAGCCCGGCCTACATTGTCCTTATTTAGTAACTCCCCGCTTCAGCTATATAACATCATAGTCTGGAGGTTTCCGTGCTAGTCAGCCTGGCTAAAGCTCGTTTCTACCGTTAGTCGCTTCTGTTGTTGTTGGCTGGCAACAGGTGTGGAGGTGTGGCGTCGTGTTTACTTCACCGTTTTCATGCTTTAAGCTCAAAACATGCAAACCACAGATATTGGCAGTAAAGAAGACGGAAAATTGTGGCACCGCAAACCAGTGCCATCAAATAATGGGTAAGTTTTGGGCTGGTGTTGCTCAAACTGCAGATGCTTTTAGCTAAATGAAGCTGAATAGAAAGAGATGTAGCTAGCTAACCTAGTTAGCTAGCACGCGTGAACCTAAAGGGGAATTCCACCGATTTTTCAACATTTCATTCTGCATGAATACATCCTTAAGGTGTAAACAAGGTCATTCAGCGTGGTTTGATGTAAATGCTTCGTTCTAGACAGACTTACAGAACCAGAATTGGTAGTTACCAGACGTCTGGAGAATTGAATGCCTCTAAAAGCACATTATGACTGCGCTGACTGATTGGTTTACTGTAGTTTTGGGAAGATTTGGGCTTAAAATGTATTGTAAAATGGATTCATGGCAGAGACGAACTTGCAGGGCTTGGAGGTTCACTGTTAGTAACTTATAGTAAACTATATTTGTGTTGCAATTTCAGCCCCTGGTTCCTCTCACCACCACTGTAAAGAAACACTCTGAATGACTGTTTAAATCTCGACCATTAAATCCCAGTCAGAATGACCAGTAGTATCATTGACGTCCCGTATGAGATTTCATAGTGCTTTTCATTCGTACCCTAATCTGTGATTTTGCGTTTATTGGCTAACTATAAAACTAGAATGGAAAAGGGACGCACTGAGTGCCTTGGGTTTTGTTAAAGGGTGCGCTGGTACGAGTGGATCAGACACAGCAGTGCTGCTGGAGTTTTTAAACACCTCAATGTCACTGCTGGACATCCTGTGGCCACTGATGAAGGACTAGAGGATGACCAACACAAACTGTGCAGCAGCAGATGAGCTATCGTCTCTGACTTTACATCTAAAAGATGGACTGACAAGGTAGGAGTGTCTAATAGAGTGGACAGTGAGTGGACGCAGTGTTTACAAACTCCAGCAGCACTGCTGTGTCTGATCCAATCAGACCAGCACAACACACACTAACACACCACCACCACATCAGTGTTACTGCAGTGCTGAGAATGATCCACCACCCAAATAGGACCTGCTCTGTGAGGGTCCATGGGGGTCCTGACCACTGAAGAACAGGGTAAAAGGGGTTTAACAAAGTATGCAGAGAAACAGATGGACTACAGTCTGTAACTGTAGAACTAAGTGCACCTATATAGTAAGTGGAGCTGATAAAATGGATGATGAGCGTAGAAACAGGGACATAATGTTATGCCTGATCGGTGTATATATATATATATATATATATATATATATATATATATATATATATATATATATATATTACACACACATACACACACACCTATTCAGCCTACAGCACTTTAGCCCCACCCATTCACACTAGAGTGTTTAAGGAGTGTTTCAGTCCTGACTGCTTTTTTGAACAAGGCACAATACAGTGAAGCCAATCAGAACAGACCTTATTTACATATCAATTATGAAGGCAGAGCAACAAAAACTGTCTTTTTAATTCTAAGGGAAGAAGAAAGGTAGGAAAAAGAATTACAGCTGCTTATTTTACATAGACTGCCACCACTGTTATAAACCTCCGGGGGAAAAAACTAAAAATCCAAGAAATACAAGAGAAATGTAGTATGTACACCCTAAAAACAGAAATGTGAGCCAAGTTTTTGAAGCCTGACAAAGTAATCTGAATTGAACAGGCCATATTGAAACAGCAGAAGTGACATTAGGTCACATTGATTTGCTATATTTGAAATTCCATTCTCATATTAATTCACATTAACAACGTGAACAGCATCTTTTGCTGCTTATCTGTTTTAAGGTGCAAAATGTTGAATATGGAAGCATAATTGCCCCAGAGGTCTGTTTAGGTGTTCTTACTCATGATGCTCAGAATAACCTTAACCTTGTCTTCTGTTTGCTCTCCCTCCCACTCTCAGCATCTTGGTGACTGTGATTCGCAGCGCGTCCGCTTACCAAAGCAAGACAGTCCGTTTCCTCCAGGTAGCGTTTGACACTACTGGGGAGTCGTTCCTTGCTGGTGATCACCATGGGAATATTTATGTAATTGACATTAGCAGAAACAGGTAGGTAAACCGCCAAAGTGCTACTCACTTTATTTCTATAGCTGGGCCAGCCATGTAACATCCGCTGTCATTCGGCAGGTTCAAGCTGGTTCAGAAAACGGGGCAAGCATGCACTGCCTTAGCTTTCAACCTGCGCAGAACAACCGAGTACCTGGTAGCCCTTTCCGATTATTCCATCAAATGCTTCGACCAAGGTATGTGCTAGTAGGCAGCCTCTTTCAGGTTCCCAGAGAGCTGTGCTGAAGAAACAGACTGAATAATCAGAAATGTACTTAAATTCCACCTTATCCCAAATATCAGTGATTAGCTTAACATGAAAAAAGCTTAATGTGGCTAAATGTACAAAAAACTACTAAGAGGAAATTTCTCTCATGGATTACTGGTCATGAGCGATCTCTGCTGCCAAAAATGTGAGAATTTATAAATGTTTTAAAATCGATTGTTCAAAATTCCTGCTAATTAAATCTTTAAAGTGTAGACAAAGTCATTCAGAATGGTTTGATGTGAAATGCTGTCTCACGGAAAGCCATTACATGACATGGCTATGAATGCACTGCCTGATGCCAGAGACTTTGCTTTCTGATAGTTTTGAGATGAGATTTTGGTCGAAAACTATTAAATTTTTAGCACCTATTAATAGCAGAACAACACACGAAGGGAGTTGTAAGTCAAAGTAGTCCCCAAAGAATGCTTATACAACATTTAAAAATGAAGAACACCCATGTGGGTTCATTGATTGTTGTGAATAGCAAATAAAATGGCTATATTTAGTTGTACACATCATAACTTCTGGTTCGTGTTCAAGAAAAAATTGTGAAGTCAGAATTTTTCACAGTCATGATAGGAACCAGGCGTCTGAAGAGTTTCCTGCTCCTGAAAGCAGCCTCACTTAAAGACATTGCATGCAGTGGTTATGAATGTTTTATTGTTTTATGGTAGTTTTGACATAAACCTTTAGGCAAAAATGGAATTTTTTAATCCGTTCATGTCAGAGAGGTACATGCAAGTCTGTAAATTTCTCCACAGTTGACCAGTTTAACTTAAAAATTATTGCTTTATTTTTGTAGCACAAATTTTTTCGGTAGTAGAAAGCATACATTGCCATGTAATAACGTAAAAGTTATTACATAATAGTTAAAGCACTCATGACCAGTAATTTGACCAGGAATTTGTGAGAGAAATTGAAGGTCTCTGCTTTAGTATATTAAACCATGTTAAGCATTTTAAAACATCCCATAAGACGTGCTCTAAAGTTTCCTTCTTTAGCTTTGCCCTGGAGCTATGATCCCAATGTAGCTAACAAGTAATGGAGGCTTATACCCCACCAATGGACATTATGGATTTCACATACTTAAAAAATAATTATATTAAGAAGTTAAGCAATTTCAAACCGACTTACATGATTTCTGACACTGTATGGCTGTTCTCTGTAAAAATAGACCAATGGACATGGCATAGCTAAAAAACATTAGTAGCAACCAGCTGGAAATGGAAGATTTTTGGTCTACTACTTTTGTCCATTTTAATAGATAACAGTGTTTCATACAGGGTCAGAAACCACCAGCATGTCTACAGTCTTATGCAAAAGTTTGGGCACCCGTGGTGAAATTGCATGTTTTATAATTATTATTATTATTATAGAGAATGTGATTTATTGTAGATAACTTATTGAAGTGTAAATAAGTTGACATTCTCTGTTTTAAACAAACTGCATTTAAACAAACTAAAATTTAGTGAACACATTGTATTAATTTGTTGACTCTAACATATTAAAAAAAAAATTAAACATAAAACATTAAACATCTTACATTTTTTATTCAGTTGATTTTTTTTCCCTTGGGGTCAACTTATAACATTTTTGTTCCTGAGACTTAAATAGACTGTTTTTGTTACTGTGCCTTTAAGACTGATATAAGCTACATGAGCTCTGTTATGCTTGGCAACAAGAATTGTGCCTCTTTCAAAAGCCCTCCCAGCTGAAACACTTTTTAGAACCTCAGTGTGAATGGGGGGCTAAACTGTTGCCGGCGGAATAGGTTGGTATATGTAAATTTGTTGGATCGCAGAAACAGTGAATTCCAAATGTACTGTTTACACAGCATAGTTTTCATGTATGAAACTTCAACAATGTTGTCATATTACTTTAAACTCCTTCATGTCCTTCCATGCCCTTTCAAAACTTTTGCACAGGCCACAATTTTGTATTTATTTTTAATGCAATATGTTACATACGGCAAATAAATAGTGATGTGCACTGAAATCTGTATAAGTGTCCCTGTTAAAAAATGTGTAGTTCTCACTTAGGAAATCAGCAAACATCATTTGACTGGGGTGCACAAACTGTATTAGAGTATACTTATCTCTGTGTGGTTTGAGGTGAGCATGCAATGATTTAGGCATGCAGTTAGCACAATGCTAAGCTTGCAGTCATGAGCTCCCATTACCTGTTAGATACATTAGCCTTGTAGCTCCAGTTTAAAACTAAACAAAACTGCAGGCAGATTTGTGTTGAGGAGAAATTGTGTATGTTGTATGTTTCTTTAAATGATGACCTTCAGTGCCTCACAAAAGTGATGCTTTTCTGTGCTTCAGACACCAAGCAGCTGGTGAGCTGGATGAGGGGCCACGAGGGCGCTGTGTCCTCCCTGTCGGTCCACAGCTCCGGACGCTATGCTATCAGCACCTCCTCGGACACGGCTCAGCTGTGGGACCTGGACACCTTTCAGAGGAAGAGGAAACTGAACGTGCGCCAGTCAGTGGGCATACAAAAGGTGAAAATCCACATCTTTTGGAAGTTCAGTTCTTGTGCATGCTGTACAGTTTCATAGTTTAACACGATAGCTCTGCGAAAAGTGTAATTGAGACATTTTCTCCTTTGAATGTTGTCGATCAGCCAAGACATGTTTGGAGTCAGAAGTTTGCTTCTTTAGTTTTGCACTGGAGTAGATTTGGATGGTATATTTAATAGAAAAGGGGTACCACAAAGGCTACGTTTACACAGCAGGTAAAAGTGGCCCAAATCCGATCTTTTTCTTCATATGTGACACAGATGTGTCATCTGTGTGTCTGTGTGAACAGCAAAAACCACATTGAATCTGACATTTTTGATTCCGATTTGAGACGCTTTTATATGTGGTACTGAAATCCGATATCTGATCTGCGGCAATGCGACTCAGTCTGAACAGCCAGATCGGAATTCATGCGACTTTCACGTCACTCCAATTCGACATTTGTCATAATTTCGTGCTGCTGAGACTCATAACCATTTAGGCTGATATTTCTGTACAAAAAAATTAGAAGAGACTTATTGCAACTGCTCAGTGTTCGAAGAAGTTTCGAATGAAACGGCCGAACGCGGCCGGAGGAGACCGAGGCTGCAGCGTCAGAGAACAGTTTAAAGAATCCGAGGACACAAACCAAAGAAGTGGCCGTGGCTGAATATGAGCCCTTTTATGGCGAACTCGAACACATTGTGGGTGATGAGCCCAGGTGTCAACCATTGGAAGTTTATAATTGCTCCTGTGATGCTGGCGAAGACGAAACTGAAGCTCCGGGAGCGACAGGCGTTCGCTGGCTGTCATGATTGTTTACCACTGGAAGAGCCACGTCAAGCTCTGTTCTTTTGCGCATGTTGATCAGTTTAGGAGCTGATCTGTTCAGACTAATGTCGCATACAGGTCACATTTAAAAGATAATCTGAACAGCCAAACAAAAAAAATCTGATTTGGTAAGAAAATCAGATTTGGGCCACTTTTACCTGCTGTGTAAACGTAGCCAAAGAGAGCCGGGAAAAACCTCAAACTAATCAAACTAATCTTGATAGCAGCTCAGCGATGGCTAAAAGCTACAACAGGGAGGTTAGAAAAAAGGAGACCAGTCACTGGTTAAAATATGAATAGGAACGCTCAACATGGCGTTGTTCAACTTGCTGGTTATGCCACAAATGAAAAAAGGGTTGATGATATCATGGTGCTAGCAGGGGATGAGTACTTTGGTCTCTCCCCATTTAGGGAGATAGGAGCCTGGTTTCAAAATATAAGGTTTAAAAAATATCAATGAATAAAAAAGTCAAATATACGGCTCAAAATAACTGCCTGGCAGCAAAGATGTCTGCCAAGTGAACAGACTTTCCTATAAACACTTCGGCTACACACACACCGTGAGATATCCTCTAAACGGGTGTCGTTTTAGCTGGAACCAAGCCTGTGCTGTGGTGTGTAGCATGTGTGGCCTGTTAACTAAGCAGTTGTTAGCTACAGTCCCAAACACCACAGAAAGAGTTCGATTTCGGCTTTCTGTCACTGCAACACCAGTCGCTCGACTTTTATCATCTAAACTTCTTTCAGCAGAACACCAGTCTGTCAGAATCAAACCTGTACTGTGGTGTGTGGCACTGTTTGGTTCTGTAGCCAAACACCACAGAACAGGTTTGTTTTCGCCTTTCCGTCTCTTCGGCGCCGACTTCACTCCCTCAGTTTTGAATCAAGTAAACTGTGTTGGTGTTTTAGTTAGCTAGGATCAAACATGTTCTGTGGCGGAGCTGTTATCATGCTAGCTAAGCTAATGCTAACCAGCTCCTCTCTCCTAGTTAGCAGCACTGTTTAACAGGTATTAATTGTTAGACAGATGGTTTGACGTTTGTTGAATGATGGCTTGAAAATCGAGCATGTTTTTGGTAACCATGTAAGTGAAGTAAACTTTCGGATTATTTTAATTTTGAAATGCTGGACGAGACGTTGCTTACAATGCATTTACCCGCCTCTACACTTAATTAAGCTGTGCTAGTTCCTATATGCTACTTATATAGATAACAAATACTGGAAGTAGCAGTAAAGGTCAGAGTTCAGTACGGTGAAAACTATGTGCCCCCCATGTCTACACCTAATGGTTTCAAGGTGGTTAGCCAGTACCTGCCATGGTATGGTGATATTTGGTTAAATATGACGTAAGCATTTGTTTCTTGCGTTTAATATTTAAAAATCCGCCTGATCGTTGTACGGCGTAATGACTTAGCTATAACGAAGTTGGCTAGTTGGTGGTCATCATCCTCATTATAGCAATGGGACGTAAAGCTTGCTAGCTGCTCCTTCCTTAAAATTCGGGCCACCAATTCTTTTATTTTGTTCATACATTGTTCAGTATGTTATAATTAAGCCATGTCAAATATTCTTGCTTATGTGTTTTCTGGCAGTTTATGACACACAGAAGAATAGCTAGAAGTAGGGATGGACAAAATGGCTAAAGTGTCATATCAGGACTGATCATGTTCTTTTTTTTAATTAATTAATTAGTTTTGTAAGATCTGCTAATGCTGCTAACAAACAATGGAAGCTTATACCCCTCTAATTAGCATTGTACAAACTTCCTTTCCTTCCTAAATCACTTGCCACAAATTGCATTGAGTTGTTAAGAAATCTCTAAAAGACTTTCTTACATGGATTCTGACACTGTACAACATACTGTTATCTATAAAGTGGACAAAAGTACGGACAAAGTTCAGACTTTAGGATGCTTATTTTTAGCTGTGCAATTTATATTTGTCCATTTTTACAGATATCACCATGCAACTGGTGGATAAATGCAAATATATTTGTTATTACAAAGCAAACTGTTGCTTTTCGAATTCCTCGGTTTGCCTCATTCAGGTATGTTACTGTTGTATTTGTGTTTGATTTGTTTAGGTGTTCTTCCTGCCGCTGAGTAACGCCATTCTAAGCTGCTTTACTGATGACTCCATCTTTGCATGGGAGAGTGACACACTGTTCAGCAAATATCAGCTGCCTGTCCCACAGGATGGACCCAGGATACACTACAAAGCATTTGCAGTCACACAGTAAGTGACGTAATGACCATTAACTCTCCTACGTCCCCCCCTCTTGTTACCCTGTTGTAATTGTAGCTCATCAAAACAAGAAGAGATGTTTTACATACATACATCATCTAAACCGCTTATCCTTCTGGGTCGCGGTGGGTTGCTGGAGCCTATCCCAGCTGTCATTAGGCGGAAGGCAGGATACACCCTGGACAGGTCGCCGGTCCACCACAGGGCAGACAGACAGACATACATACACAATCACATACACATTCACACCTAGGGGCAATTTAGGATGTCCAATTGGCCTGACTGCATGTCTTTGGACCGTGGGGTTTTACATACAGTACTGTGCAAATGTAAGCACACGCTTCATTCAATTTCCAGTTGAAAAGGCCACTAAACACGAGTTCACTTTTCAGGTGATGTGTCTGTGGAAATATTAGAATAAAATCCATTTGCATGGAAGGAAAAAGGCAAAGAAAAATATGTGAAAACATGAGTTTCCAGAAATGGAAAATTCCTAACAACCATGCAAGACCACCAAACGGTTACTATTCGAGATCTATTCTCTATTCTTAAGTGCTTGATCTAAAAAAATCCACAGGTGTGAAAGGAAGCTGTAAAAAATGTAGAGTGTCACAATAAATACTAAAAAATGTGATATTCTGCTTATTTGGAGGATGGAGTTTTTTCACAGACCTGCTTTACCTGTGTAACTACAGTTACATATTAAAACTTATGTAATGTAAATTGAATGTATAGCAAAATGGGTTAATTTAACCAGTTGATGATTTATCTGCTTCTGCAGAGACGGAAAGATGCTGGCTGCAGGTGGACGCTCAAACTTGATCCACTTGTGGTGTCTGGACAGCCAACAGCTTTTCAGAGTTATACAAATGCCACCAAAAGTGAGGACCGTGAGACACCTTGATTTCTTGCCAGACAGCTTTGACGGAGGATCGAGCCAGGTACTGAGAGCATGTGTTAGTGAATAACAACATTGACAGTGCAAAGAAAATGAAGAAACATCATATATGAGGCAAATATATTTCTGCTTTTGTCAAAGAATATTATTTACTGTTATCCTTCCACGTTTCACTTGGAAATATGTTACCAGCTGCTACTCTTTTCCAGTTCGATTTGTGACATATTTTATTATTTTTATATTATTTTGCCCAGTGAGTTAATCAAAATTCAGAAGATGTTATCTAGGTGGACAAGAGCCACTACATTTCAATTCATTTTAAAGATTCTTCTGCTAAATGAATTCCCGTCTGAGTGTATTTTCCTTTTAGGTCCTGGGTGTCTTGAGCCAGGATGGCATCATGCGCTTCATCAACATCCACACATGCAAGCAGCTCTTTGACATCGGGTCTTATGACGATGCCATCACCTCAGCTGCCGTTTGTCCTAAAGGAAGGCACATTGCTGCTGTAATGGACAATGGCTCCCTGAGAATCTACAACGTCCAGTCTCTCACTCAGGAGACCAATAAGGTAGTTTAAAACTTAGTGATAGTTTGGCAAAAAAAACTAATTTACTTATCTTCTTACTCTAAATTCGGCCTATCAGCCGAAACACGTCTGGTATCAGAAGTTTGGATGATTAGTTTAGTTTAGTTTGGAGTGATGAGGCTAATGTAGCTAGCAAGTAATAGAGTGGATGTGATATGAGGCAAGTTTATGATGATTTAGACATGCAGTTAGTAGACTTAGGCCCAATCCCATTTCACCCCTACCACTTTTGTTGAGATAGAGGTGCAGGGTGAAGTGTTAGGGCTGCATGGCCCTCCAAACGGAGGTGTTTCAGAGGCTCACTCCAAACAGTGTTATGAGAGAAAAAGAAAAACCGGTAAGATGGCTGAACAAGAGACTAAAGAAACACACAAATGTGAGAATTTTTTTCTGTAAAAAAAATTGCGATAATCATTGTATTATCTTAGTTTAATGTCATTTCAGTGTATTATGGTCCTTTTCTACATAACAAGCATAAAAAATCGCTAGTAGTATGCTAATGTCTCAGTAGCTTGCTAAATTTCCTGTTCCACCTTAAATGGTGCGGCAGTTACATTCTGGCGCCTGACGCGTCAGAACTGCTGTTCCATTTAAGGTGGAATGGGAAAATTCAAACAAGAATCTGGTGAATATCTGACTTCAGCTTCATATCACTGAAGAATTAGAGGTGGGTGATAATAAATAATCGTCCCTCTTTGATTCCCTAAATGTAACTAAAGCCCAGCAGGGAGGAGCTGAACTTTACCCTCCTCTGCTGTCACTGCAGACTGGCAGGGTCGCCTACAGAGCAGCGCTAGTAGCTGTTAATGAAGTAGTGTTCTTCTTTATTTGAGGGTCCCATTTCATAGGGAAGATTTCAACCACTACACCTTGTAACTCGGTTCCAAGGGGCAAAGTGACACTGGAAAACAATGAGTAGGGGTAAAAATAAGAAATGGGATTTGGCCTTAGTGCCTCATAATTATGACTTGCTATCTTATAGATCTCATAATATGGACAAAGTTTTTCATAATTGCAAGTCAGTATCTCATAATTACGACTTAGTATCTCAAAATTACATATTTGTATAAATAATAGACTAAGTGTGTCATTATTATAACTTAGTATCTCATAATTCTGACTTTCTCGTAAATAAGACCTAGTATTTCATAATCATAACCTGGCATCTCATGAGATTCTATCATTATTATGAGATAGTAAGTCATTATTATGAGATCTTAGGTCATAATTGTGAGAAACTTTTTTATACTATATGATATTATGATACTATATATATATCTTTTTTAAGTGGCAGTACAGGCTTAATCTCCCATCTCCAGTGCAAAACTAAAAAAAGCAAATCTGTCTTGGGTGATTGTCTGTACTTTAATTCATGGAACCATTGCCTTAAGTGTAATTTAAAACTATGCTTTCACAAAACCTTTGCTTAGCCTCCTCAACCCCTGGTGAAAGTGGTGACTACAAACAAGCGAGGTGACAGTTCCTGCTTGAAGATGAAGGTGCATACGGGAGCAGTGCAACGTCCAGCCAAAACGTCCGGTCGCAGAATACAGACCAAACGTCTACGAACCCCGGCTGTTTCCACACTTGAGGACAAAGAGGTTCTCTCCTGTTCTACTTTATTTGCTGTTGCTGATAGGCTGATAGGTGCTTTATGTTAATAGAAGCCTCCAGTGTTTTCAACGCATGTTGCCGCATCTATTGATAACCACATATTTTATTTAGAAAAGAACACAAAATCCATTTAACCCTAACAAAGGCTGTTTTTTCATTGGAAAGTGTGAACTTTGCACTGTGCCAGCACATTTGAAGCAGATAGCAATGTAGAACCATGATCCAAAACATCATGACCACTCACAGGTGAAGTGAATAATGTTGAATATTTCATGACACAGCATGTCAAAGTTTGGAATCTGTTAGATAAGCGAACAATCAATTCTCATAGTCAAAGTATTGGAGAAATGGGCAGGCGTGAGGACCGGATCAGCTTTGACAAAGGCCAAATTGTTATGGCAGATGATTGGGTTGGAGCATCTCTGCAAGGTTTGTGGGGCACTTCTGGTCAGCAGTGGTGAGTACCTACCAACAGTGGTCAAAAAAGGGGCAAACCACAAACTGGAAACAGGGTATTGGATGGCCAATGCAAATCAATGCACAGGGTCCCAACTGACAGAAGGGCTCCTGTAGCACAAAAAAATGTCACAAACACTTGCTGCATGTGGGACTGCATAGCCGCAGACTGGTCAGAGTGCCCATGCTAACACCTGTCCGGTCAAAAGCACAAAATTGATGTCACCAGGATGCACTATAGGAAGAAGACAAGATTGTGGAGGAAATGTGATGCTCTGGTCATTATTCTGCTGGGAAACCCTGTGTCTGGGCTTTTATTTGGACATTAGTTTGACGTGTGCCAACCACCTAAACATTGGTGTGGACACCCCTTATGGCACTCGTATTCCCTGATGGCAGTGGCCTTTTTCAGCAGAATATGTGCCCTGCCACACCACACACATTGTTTCGAAATGATTTGAGGAACATGAGTGTTGAACAAGTGTTCAAGGCCTGTGCAAGGGATGTGCTGGAACAACATGTCCAATCTACAGTGGCTCCACCTCTCAACTAACAGGGATTAAAGGATCTGCTGCTAACATCTTGGTGCCAAGATAACACATGGCCCTTCAAGGGTCTTGTAGAGTCCATGCCTTGGCAGGTTGGAGCTGTTTTGGTGGCACATAGGCCTGTTAGGCGGGTCATGATGTTTTGGCATAGGTGTATATAATTATAATAAGCCATCCAAGAGGAGTTAGCCATTTACAACATGCATTTTGGTCTATAAGCGGCTACAAAGCACAATAAGGCTACAAAGACCAACCCTAATTTAGACTTTCTCAATCCAGAATGGTTCAAACGGTCCACGTTTTTCTTTGTCTTTGCTTCCAGCACAGCTATACTTGGTAGTGATTGTTCTTGATTCACTGCCTTAGGTGTGCTGGGAGCTGGGATACAACAAAGCAGTGATTGTAAATTTTGTTTTTTTTTTCTCTTTGTCGTGCAGAATGATATGCCAGATGCGCTTAGTAAGAAGCGATTACGGACTTTGCTGAGAACGTTTGGCGAGTATCCAGAAAAATACAGGTATTTATAAAAGTTTTGGGATATTTATTGTATGATTTGTAGATTATTACATGCATTATATTTGTATATTATTATATACATTGTATAACTTGTCTGTTTGGTTGTGTAGGATGTTTATTTGGCGCTCTTTGCTGCAGCTGCCTCAGAATCATGCTGCTTTCAGCAGTCTGACCGACAAAGGCGTTCACTCGGCCTACCTCTGCCTCCACGAGCGCTACCCCATTAAGAGTCACAGACTACAGAGAGGACTACAGAGGTAGGTCTACAGTACAAATCTGGCCTGCAGAGCCTGGTATTTTAAACACTTAAAACCTATTAAGTTTAGGGTGAGTAAAATGGCAAAAGGTGAAGACATTTTTCCCAAATGAACTGCAGTGTTTAGACGGAATGCATCAGTAAAACTGTAAAGCCAAATTTAAAAAAAGGTTATGAAAAACTAAATTCTCTACAATTAACATTAAAACATCACGAGAAAATATTGTAGCTGGTGATATAGGGGACAAATGTCATTCAGAAAGGATATTTCAGTTTTACCAGTCTTTGCCATGATTTCCATGATTTCCTACTGCATTGTCACCCGCCAAACCCCTGAATGCCACAGCAGCAAACAGTGCTGATGGATTCAGTACTAATAGTTTATTATCATCGTTTATTCACATTTCTCTTTTATAGACAAACCCATTTTTCCACCGTATCCAAGTGTTTTCCACACTATCCATGCTTTTTTTTTTTGTTTTGTTTTGTTTTTTTGCAATATCTTGCCATTTTTTTTTAAATATCTGGCTTTTCCATTCAGGTGGTTTTTATGCACATTTTCAAAATCTACAAAAAACGTAGAGAAAAAGGGCTCGACAATATTTACATAAAAATGCAGTGCTCGATAAGCTGTCGGATATCGCAATGACTATATGAGAAGCAATAAATTATTAATAAAATTGTGTGCCTCTGATTGCATGTGACGCAAGTACCATTGTGCAAGATAAAAAATTATACTAACAGCTACTTACATCAGAACTGGGAGCTGAGAAAAAGTCAGCATTTCCTTAACAGTTTTTTCTTCAGAAAACAAATGTGTGTGAGTGTGGGTGGGTGGGTGGGTGTGAGTGTGGGTGGGTGGGTGTGAGTGTGGGTGGGTGGGTGGGTGGGTGTGAGTGTGTGTGTGTGTGTGTGTGTGAGTGTGTGTGAGTGTTTATTTATTTTTATTTTTGCATAGCTACTAAATATAGTTGTTGCGACAGTATTCATAACTGCCTTGCACAATTAAAACACAGTACTCGATATGAGAACAATCCTAATGTTTAATGCATTTTTTACAGGCTTGTAGTTCCTAAAGGAGTGTTTTTTCAGCTGTGCATGTTTTGTAATTGGCCGTTTAGTCTAATTTAGTCTAATTAAGTTACATGTACCCCCCATATGGGAGAGCAGGGATCTATCTCAGCACAGAGAAGCGCTCATATATTCTGTCATCACTGGTCTAACAATGTTCACAGAAACAGAAACAAAATTCACAAACTCATATCACAAAAATGATAAAACCATGATTTACTGTACAGCCCTAAATGAAAACACACTGCGGATGAGATTGTTCTAGAAGTGCAGCTGCGCTGGTTAACGCTCTGTGTTGCAAGCTGCTTTCATTCCTGTACAAACGTCACCTCTATTGTACGGTTTGTATTTTAAGACAACCTCAAACCACAGTGTCAGCTTTCAGAATTAAAACATGTCTGCAGTCTCAGTAAAAACAAATGAACAAAGACATGTCTCAGCTCTCGTTTATCAGGCTAAAGAGGTTGTTTCAAAAACAGCTGCAGGTGAAATGGCTTCAGAGAAGAAGGCAGCAAGCTAAGCTAAGCTAAGTGGGCACAAACTGTCAGACACCCTTTTAGAATTCTGTTCTTTGGAATTAGATTAATCACAGTTTTGGGCAAATTAAAGATTTAACCCCACCCGCCACCCCCCAGTCCAGTGTAACTGTTTAACACAGTTATTTTCCACACAGTTATCTGAATAAGTGGACTGACCCAGACCTAGGCACAGACCTATTATTAAGTCTTCTTTTTAAATCCTAACCAATAGGAGCGATCACTCGGCTACATCTACCTAGAGGGCTCTGGGGGTTTCATCTGGCATCTTGCTCATCCCTATGTACAACATTATTTAATTCCCTTCTTTTAATAAACGTAAAATATATGGATTTGTTTATTTTATTTTATTGTTTGCTTTTATTTATAAATAAACATTTGTGAGCAAAATTCATGGTATTCATGGTTTGTGCCGTTTTGCAGGTTCTACACTTGAGCAAAGTGCTATTTTTTGCTCTCTGAGAGGAGGTTGTAACAACATGAAGACTCTGTGTGTAACAGATATCTCCTTCTCCTCGTTCACTCCCAGGGTTCTCTCTGCTCTGGCGCACTGGTCAGCCATTTTTGGTGAGGCTGAGTATCTCCCCCTTGTGGCATTTCCATTTGTCAAGCTCTTTCAAAACAACCCCCTCATATGCTTCGAAGTGGTGGCCACTGTCATCAGTAAGTACACGCAACAAATTATTTTGCTCTGTGTGCTGGTTTTCTTTAGACTTTTTCAGTGGGTCCATTTCACTTAACATTGGGTTCAATATCGGCTTATGGTTATCATTCTGACCACCTCCTTGTTTCTACACTCATTGTCCATTTTATCAGCTCCACTTACTATATAGGTGCACTTTGTAGTTCTACAATTACAGAATGTAGTCCATCTGGATATGTTTGGTTGGTGGACTATTCTCAGTCCAGCAGCGACACTGAGGTGTTTAAAAACTCCAGCAGCACTGCTGTGTCTGATCCACTCAGACCAGCACAACACACACTAACACACCACCACGTCAGTGTTACTGCAGTGCTGAGAATGATCCACCACCCAAATACCTGCTCTGTGAGGGTCCATGGGGGTCCTGACCACTGAAGAACAGGGTAAAAGTTGGCTAACAAAGTATGCAGAGAAACAGATGGACTACAGTCTGTAACTGTAGAACTACAAAGTGCACCTATATAGTAAGTGGAGCTGATAAAATGGACAATGAGCGTAGAAACAAGGATCATAATGTTATGCCTGATCGGTGTATATTTGAATAATTACCTCCTGCCCAACCCCAAAGTCCTCTGTATTTATGAGTCTTTATTAATGTTTTCAGTGAACTGGTGCCAGCATTGGTTTGAGTACTTCCCAAACCCTCCACTCAATATTCTAAGCATGACAGAGAATGTGTTGGCTCATCATGACAAGGAACTGCTGCAACATTTTGTCGACTGTGGTGTGACTTCCCAGGTAAGTAAGCTTATTTATTTTTAAGGACTACAGAAAGCAAAGTGCTTATTCTTTTGTCTGTGATGCAACCATAGCTACATATTAGTGATGCACCAAAATGAAAATTCCTGGCCAAGACCAAAATTTAAGACACATCTAGCAGAAACAGAAAGACTATATATGTCTGAATATAGCAAAAAATGCATGTGAGAAGATTGCTTCCTAGCTAGATAACTTTTTTAAAGCCCTCACATTGGTGATGCCAACAACATGCGAGCGTAGAGTGCAAGAGAGTTTGAAGCGTTAGGTTTAAAAGGTTTACTAGGGTTCAAATAAGAATACTCACTGTTGCCAGTGAATGGCTAGACTTCTTATACCTTACATAAGGTGCACATTATATGCACCTTATATAAAGTGTATTGAAGTGGCAGTTGTTCAAGCCTTTGCTACTAATTACTGAATTGAGGAACATAACAGCATGATTTATCATTTTATCTTCAGTTGTTTTTGGAAAAGACGGTTGATTTTGATCATTTTTGTCATTATTTTATCGCTCAGAACTAGGTTGATGTTTCTGTCGCAAAGACATTGCTAATCCTTTAGAACAATTTGATATGCAGTTGATGACTAAACTGTTTTTTGTTATGACTTTTGTGCTCCCGTCTCCTTCAGCTTTATGCGTGGCCCCTGCTGGAAACCCTGTTTTCTGAGGTGCTGACAAGAGAAGAGTGGTTAAAGCTGTTTGACAACATCTTCACCAACCATCCTTCTTTCCTCCTGATGGCCGTAGTGGCCTATGTGACCTGCTGCAGAGCACCGTTACTCCTCTGCACTCACAGAGAGGACTTTGAGGTATGACCTTTGAGGCTGCACTTTCATTTTATTTAAAAGAATGGTGTAATCATTCACTTTCACACAGTCACGTAGACTGTTTTGGCTTTTACCCTAAATATAGTCTATCAGCCAAGACCTTTATTATCCAAAGTAATAATGTAGATATGTTTAGCTTTGTATCGGGGCTACAGGGCTAATGTAACTAACAAGTAATAGAAACTTGCATCAAACATGTTCACAGTGGTGGAGGTAGGAAACAGATGTTCGAAGAGTTTAATGCCTTTTTAAAAGATGCCTCTCAGATAGTCGTTGCACAAAATAGTTACTAGTAGGTTACCTGATGCATGACTCACGCGGGTTGCCAGGTTGAGGACACTGAACCTACACGAACTAGCGCAACATTAAACGTTGACAGGACTCTCGATGAGTCCTACACTGTAAGTTGGTCAGCTAATGTATACCTTTGCTATGTTTTTTATTGTTTGAAAATTAGAAACCAGCTTTTTCTATCACTGTCAGTGTTAGGCTGGCTATGTACAGTAAAGCAAAGCTTGTTATCCCGAAAAGAAATGCCTTGAAGGACGCTGAAGTCAGCATATTGTTCAGATTTTCCCGTTCCACCTTAAATGGTACAGCAGTTACATTGTGGCACCGGTTGCACCATTTAAAATTAAACAGAAAATTTTAAGCTGGCAAATAGGAAGCCAACTTCAGTCTCATCTGCCTTGATACCCCAGTTGCACACGGGGTATCAAGTATGAATGCGGGTACTCGAATGTTGAAGTTACTTAAAATGCCCATCCCTGCTAGTGGCCATGATAATTTATTTAAGGTTAACCAACCTTAGCTGAAGCTCATTGCTTACCCATTCAGGAGAAAAACAGTAAACTCAGCATCTGTCTTAAAGTCCTTCTGGGCTCCAAGCTGTCTCCATCTTTCAAATGCATCGCCAGTATTTACTCGCCTTATACTATGTCTCTTCATGGAGGTTTTTAGAAGGATGCTGAAGCTTTTTAGATCGGGATCCAATTAGTTTGCTTGCCTCCATGGCTGCGGCTTGTTGTTTTTTGCCTGCCAGTTTGTTTCATATCTGGCAACCCACGGTATCGAAATGGGTAGTGGGAAATGGGCAGAGGGCAGGACAAACAGACTTTCTGGTCCAGAACAGAAATTTCAAAGGAGAACAATACTGGCTGTGGCATCTGTCATTGGAAAAGCTAGTATTTCAACTTAGCATGTTTCCTCAGTCTCTGAGGACACATCATGGTCATTTTATGATTTAGTACAGTAATATATTACGTATCGTTCCTTTAACAGTACAAACTATTAATTTACACAGTGTTATTTCTGACACTGTATGACCCACATTAGCCTCATTGCTACAGTGCAAAACTAAAGAAGCAAACTTCAGACTCCAACATATCTTGGCTGATCGACTATATTTGATGATGAGGAGAAAAACAGCGTTCGTTTGATTTCAGTCATCGCTTAAACACTGCTGAGACCTTTCGAAAATACTGCAATGCCACAAAACTTCAAGCCTCTAATAGACTCACTCCCTGTTCTGTGCTGCCTCTGCCTCCCCTGCAGTACTTTTTCCATCATCGCAACACCCTGGACATAAGTGCCATGCTGAAGGAGGCGTATCGTTTGATGGAGACCACCCCTGCAGACCTGCACCCGAGCTCCATGCTGAGTGACTTTGAGCCCCTGACGCACGGACAGTACCCCATCTTCAACAAGTACCCCACCTTCATAGTGGAGTACCAGAGCCAGGAGCGCGAACGCATCCGCCAGCAAGAGGTGGAATACCTCAGAGAGAGGTGGGAACTGTAGGACAGTGTGCAAGATGTCACACTAGACTAGTGGCTTCTTAAAGGGGAATTCTCTTTAATCAATAATAAACTCAATAATAATTTTGGTGCAACCGTCTAAGCGTTGGCCCTATCATCAGGGGATCATGAGTTCAATCCCTGGTGATGCTACAGCCATCCGTGGCCGGGAGTCCTAAAGAGCACAGTTGGCCTTGCTCTCTTTGGGTGGGTAGGATGGCCCCCCTTTCTCCCCCAATCTCTCAGCGCGATGCTAGTCAGCGCAGGGGTCTGTTAGCTGACATAACAGATCTGGTGGTTGGCGCTTTCCTCCAAAAGCGTTCAGCTGTCCAGTGACGTTGCACTAGCGGCAGTTCAGACAGATGCGGCTGCTAGCTTCACAGCTCTCGGGGGAAGCCTGTGCTGCCTTTGCCCTCCTAGCGTTGATAGTATCGTGTGACTGGGGGAGTCCTAACTAACAGGTGGAATTGGAGATGACTAAATTGGGGAGAAAATTTGGAATAAAATCCAAAAAAATAATTTTGATGAAATTATTGAGAGTGGTTTAATGTGAAATGCTCCATTCTAAACAAACTCACAGAGTCAGAATTATCCACAGTGGTGGTGATAGGAACCAGAAGTGTTAACTGCCTTTAACAGCTATCTTTAAGAAAGCTATTTCAAAATGGCTACACATTTGTTACCTGGTGACTGAGACTTTGTTTAATTGTAGTTTTGAGAAGCTTTTGTCATTATTTTTTTCAGAAGCTTTTAAAAACCCACTCATTGTGGACTGGTACATGCAGGGTAAGGCAAAAATAGAAGAAAGCTATCTGTTTTGCATAGTAAACAGAATGGCCATCTTCTGTTGTAGACGTTGCGAGCTCTGGTTTCTGTCACCACCACTGTAAAGAAATCTAAGTCACTAATTTTCTTTGCAATGCACCACTAGACATCAAACCACTCTGAATGACTGATAATCACCCTCTGAATGATGTCAGTGAATGCATTGAATGAGTCTTCCAGACACAAATTAGAAGCTGGATAGAAGCTCCACAGCACATTCTGGCTAGGAGGACTAGATCTGTAGTTTATTTTTTGGCATTCTGTGATACCAGTCATTTAAGAGATGATTCGACAATGAAGCAATCATTTAATATGTTGTCATTTGATGTAGTGAGTAATTTGGTGCATCGTTGTATGTTGCAGCCTTATTGGTATTGATTGAGATTATTGGAGATTATGTATTTCGGCCATTAGTGTTCTCTCACAGCACCACCCAGCATACGTTATGCAGATGCGTCATACAGCCCTATCACACTTAATAAATCTTGACTGCTAGCCTAGCCACTGATGTGTAGGCTAATAAATACATGTGTGACAAGCAAAGAGACAAAGGCCAAAGTTGTTGGATAGTGTAGTGGATAACACCTTTGCCCCCAAACATGGGAGACCAAGGATTTATTCCTATCAGAGCGCTTAGGCCGGGTTCCTAACACTATGTTCTACTGCTGTTCTAAGTTGATCTGGATAAGAGTGTCTGGTAAATATGGAACAATGTTGTTTTTCACCATTTTCCTGGAACTTTGAAAAAAGAAATTAGTGGCTATAGTGAAGGCACAGCAAAAAAATGATGTATTTAAAGATGGGTAGCCAGCACTTCAGTCTGGAGGACTATGAAAAAGATTCGAAAGCTCAATTATTGGAATATCAAACTTTATTCAGCACAAAATGAGCACAAGAGACTAGTTCCTTGCCTTTTCAGTTGTCAAACAGAAGCTAAACTGAGGTACGTGGCTCTGGCTAGCTGGGTAGATGACTAGCTGAATTTCCTTTAAGGTTCTCATCCGCCTCAACTCATTTCAGCCACAGTAATCCATTTTCAGTTAGTTATACGATTGGAATAATATTCAGCTATTCCTTACAGTTTTTCTAACTTTACATCCAACTTCAGGATGTGTCCTCAGAAAGGCTTTTTCAGAATTCAGCCTGGGAAATTTGCTGTAACAGCATCGCTCTTACGGCTTCGTCAGACGTATTAAAATGTACAATTTTGAATTTGCTCTATTGGGGGTCCATTTAAATGTTAGCAAAAGCATTTACATTCTCTTGCTGTTTTGTACTCATATTTTTTCAGGCAGGCTCTTCAGGATTTGCGTGCAGAGGCTGTGAGGCAGCAGGCTGAGGATGAGGCCTGGTACACACAGCAGGAGCTGCTGCAGGAAGCTGAGGAACAGCGCAGGAGAATCTTACAGCAAGAGGAGAACAAACTCGCTGAGCAAAGAGCTAGGTCTGTCTCTCTCTCGTTATATAAAATACCATAACCCTGATCCTCAAGTATCTGCGTATAGTGTGTTAGTGTGTGTTGTGCTAGTACGAGTGGATTAGACACAGCAGTTCTGCTGGAGTTCTGAAACACCTTGCTGTACTGAAAATAGTCCACCAACCAAAGGATTAGAGGATGACCAACACAAACTGTGCAGCAACAGATGAACTACAGTCTCTGAGTTCACATCTACTAGGTGGACCAACGAGGTAGGTGTATCTAATAGAGTGGACAGTGAGTGGACAGTATTTAAAAACTCCAGCAGCACTGCTGTGTACCAGCGCAACACACACCAACACGCCTACACCACGTCAGTGTCACTGACTGCTGAGAATGATCCACTACCTGAGTAATACCTGCCTGTGGTGGTCCTGTGGGGGTCCTGACCATTAAAAACAAATGGACTACAGTCTGTAATTGTAAAACTACAAAGTGCACCTACATGGGAAGTGGAGCTGATAAAATAGACAAAGAGGGTACAAGGAGGTGTACTACCTCTATTTTACGTGCTTCAAAAAAACCCATGTTTGTAAGTTAACAATGGCTTCCAAGGTAAGAACCATATTACACAACTGAAGTAAATTTCAAATATTTTTATTGTTCAAAATCAGTAGCAGCTGTTGAGCTGCAGATGATTGGCTTTATGCGAAGACCAGGCCCTGAGACCATGGCATTGTCTAGTGTGGGCAGTGCTAGAAAAACACTACTGAACTGCTATGCTAAAGGCCATCATTAGCCAAAGAGACTGGCTTTTCCTTCCAATACCTCTAATTTTCACTCCACCAATAACAGCCTGGACTAACATTACCTCTGACTGTAACTGACTACACAGCGGGAGATGAGTGATTACTGAAAGATTCCTGAATGGTACTTAATCGTTCAGCTAAAAAGGATAACATTAGCATGTTTTACACTGTTATGTAGTTTATCACCCACTGCTGCTGCCTCCCATTGAACTACTGGCTTTACAGATTTTACAATGAGCATTTTTACTGCTGTTTGTCATCCCGCATGCCTGACATTTTGCCTGCTTCAGTTAAGCTCTGTTTACTGTCAGAAATTGCTTTATTGTATTGATAGATTGATGGATACTGTATTTACGTGCCGGTATCAGTATCAGGGCAACACTACACACCACTTGATTGTTTTGTGCCCTGCTCAGGTTGGGTGCTATGAAACGCGAGTTGAAGGTGAAGGAGCTCACGCTGCTCGATGCTGCCAGGAGACGCTTCCTCAAACACCAGCAGAACCAGCACAAGATCGAGCTCAACCGACTGGACGATGAAATCCAGAGAAAGGTTCCGTCCTTTTTACATTTCTGCCTTTTTTCCCATTTTTTTTTTTTAAATTTTACAACCGTACAGCCTGTACTCAGCATGATCGTGTGTGTTTGTGCTGTGTTTAGATGACTTTGCGAGCGCAGGAGACTGCTGCGGCCGTGCAGGATATGGAAGTCAGACAAATGGAGCTGGACGCTCAGAGAAGGTTGTTTGAGCAGGTAAGTACCTGTCACAGCCAGTCATTCTCTCAGCAGAGTTATAATATAATGTTTTTATTGCCACATGAAATTATTTACTGTCAGAATTCTGAGCATGTCAGCATGCAATATAACATGTACACTGCAAAAATATTATTTTGGCAGGTAAAATGATCTAAATCCATTCAATAATGCTAACATTAAAGCAGTAAGCCACGAGAGGCCATGCGTTACTGCGATTTTATCATGGGGTGTTCTTAGGAACAACATAAAGCGGCCAACATAAAATATGACTTTTCAGAAAACAATTTAAGTTATTATTAATAATAATCGACATAAACAAATATTCCGCCAAGAAATGTAGTTTCTTTAGAGTATGGTATCATTGCCAAGAAACCATGGACCGCTGCATGAGGAGAACATTCGGTCACCCATTGCTGTATACTGCAGTCTTTTCATGATTTTTTAAGATTTTGTTGTATAACAATGAACATATGATAACACAGCACTGTTTAATACAAAAACTTTCGCTTTATAAATATTTTTGGTCATATATTGGATATAACCTGAGGGAAACTTGATGGAAAAGAATATAGAATAAAAATAGAATGAAAGTTTATACTTTCATAGATAACATTTTTGCTTATAAAAAAGAAATGCAATAAATTACTATAGAAACACATTTGCAGGTGTTTCTGCTCAGCAAAAATTTGCCTGGTTATTTATATGTTTAATGTTATTTTTCAATTAAGTAAGAAATTATGGAGTAATAAAAGAGAATACATATGCAGGGTATGGCATTAATCATGAAGGTAGCACTGTCATAAATATTGTTACAAAAATGTATACATCTTTTCTCTATAAACCTGGTTGGTCTCTAATATACAGCCAGATGCAGAAGTTTGGGCCCTGATTTGTTTGATCTGATTGAAAATGACACATCCTCTACAGAGAGCACACTTCTGCACATTTGAAAGCACAATTACTGTTTATTTAGTTAATTACAATTACTGTAATTTAACATATTGGGAAAATAATAAATACATAAAATTTGGCCTGTGCAAAAGTTATGGCACATTTTATATTTTAAGTATATTGTTTTCCTAATATGTTTTTACCAATAAGCAAAATAAGGTATTCAAACTGTAGTAAATTTTTGCAAACTATCCAAGAAAACATTGCTCCATTCAAGAAAACAAACATTTATGTTCATGTGTATTAAAGCCATGAAAATCTTGAAAAACCAAATTCTTGAAATTCCTGACATGTAATAACTGTTTACCTAGAGGTGAGAGATACAGCTTCAAATTACAATATTTTCCAAACTTCTGTGACATGTTGTATCTCTCACTCTTATGTAAATAAAGATATTTCCTTTCTGGTAGTGAGACAGGAATTAGCTTTAAGCATTTCGTCGGTATTCAGCCTGATAAAGGAATTTTTGTGCATCTTCCCAGCAACTGGCAAAAGAGCAAGAGCGCATGAGACAGGAGGTGAGAGCTGAGGTGGACGCCCGGCAGCGAAGGGCAGAGGCAGAGGACTCCACTTTTCAGAACCTCCTTCAGACAGACAGCGACATCAGCCAGGAAACCAAACGGGTACGTCTACCCTCACCTTTAACAGCAGCTGTTCAAACCCAGATATAAGAGACTGACAAAGTCCAGTTAGAAAACACTATATATTTTAGTAATACATTTTGAGAAGCCCACTTAGAAAATTCTGTATATTTTTATAATTAATTTTGATACGCCCAATTAGAAAATACCATGTTTTTATAATACCTTTTGAGTAGACAAATAAAAAATATATATTTTTATTATAGATTTTGAGTATCCCAATTAGAAAATAATATATATTTTCATAATAAATTTGCAGTAGCTCAATTAGGAAATGTAAATGTGTATATATAACAGCATGGCGTTCCACCTCTTTGTTGTCCGTCCTCTCTGGGCATGCATGCAATAATGTCACTGTAAAAACCTGGGTTTAGGACGCAACCAATGTGAGCCTCCTTTATTTCAGGTGCTGGAGGAATCTCTGGCAGAGGCGGGGCAACTGGAAGTGGATGCTGAATGGCAGACAGAAGTGATCAGGCGGTTGGAGAAGGCGGATGAGGAGCAGGAGAGGCAGAGACAGCACCTGGCTGAGCTCAGTAGAGAAACACATGCCAAGGAGGAGCAGCTTGTACAGCTGATGATGGAAGTAGAGGGCAAGCGTGTAAGAGGCTTCTATGAATGGTGACTGTAAACAATACATTCATTTCATTCATAGATTTGGCTTTCATTATCTGTGTGATGCTTGTGTGTTCTTAGTGGAATGACGTGGTGGCAAAGCGAGGCCAGTTGGAGGAGGATAAGCAAGCAGCTGCAGAATCCCAGTGGAGATCACGGCGCTCCCAGCAGGCAGACACCACCACGCAGAACAAACTGAGGAGGAGCCAAGAGGAGTCCGTCAGTGAGTTCAGCTTAAAAACTGCACCTAAACTCATCAAAGTTGCATACAGTCAAATCTGACTGTTATACATCAGTTTTGTTTTTGGTGTATTTTAATGATTAGACATGTTTCCAGGGGTTAAACTGGCCCAGAGCAAAGCACTAGCACCTTTGGTTAATGCAAAAAGCAAACAGAGCTAGAATTGGATGTAACTGGAAAAAGTTTAATTAATTAATAAAGTGACCCTTATTAGTCCCACAATGGGGAAATTTCACCTCCACATTTAACCCATCCATACAGTGACACACCACATACACACTAGTGAATGCACACACACTAGGGGGCATTGAGCCCACTTGCCCAGAGCGATGGGCAGCCCTATCCACAGCGCCCAGGGAGCAGTTGGGGGTTAGGTGCCTTGCTCAAAGACACTTCAGTCATGTCCTGTCGGCTCAGGGGATCAAACCACCCCATAAATAAATGTACAATACAATATTTGTACAGTATAATCCTTATATTTACATATACACTGATCAGGCATAACATGACCACCTCCTTGTTTCTATGCTCATTGTCCATTTTATCAGCTCCACTTACTATATAGGAGCACTTTGTAGTTCTACAGTTACAGACTGTAGTCCATCTGTTTCTCTGCATACTCTGTTAGCCCCCTTTTACCCTGTTCTTCAGTGGTCAGGACCCCCATGGACCCTCACAGAGCAGGTACTATTTGGGTGGTGGATCATTCTCAGCACTGCAGTAACACTGACGTGGTGGTGGTGTGTTAGTATGTGTTGCGCTGGTACGAGTGGATCAGACACAGCAGTGCTGCTGGAGTTTTTAAACACTGTGTCCACTCACTGTCCACTCTATTAGACACTCCTACCTTGTCAGTCCACCTTGTAGATGTAAAGTCAGAGACGATAGCTCATCTGCTGCTGCACAGTTTGTGTTGGTCATCCTCTAGTCCTTCATCAGTGCTCACATGATGCTGTTGGCTGGATATTTTTGGTTGGTGGACTATTCTCAGTCCAGCAGTGACACTGAGGTGTTTAAAAACTCCAGCAGCACTGCTGTGTCTGATCCACTCGTACCAGCACAACACAAGTCTGTAATTGTAGAACTACAAAGTGCACGTATATAGTAAGTGGAGCTGATAAAATGGACGATGAGCGTAGAAACAAGGAGGTGGTCATAATGTTATGCCTGATCGGTGTATATATATGTATATGTATTGATTTAGGTCATTGTATTTGCTGAGTAGTGGACTTTCTGCAAACTGCCGGAGTGACAGTGAGTGTTTTCTGTAGATCAGCTGGTGGAGAAGAAGCTCCAGTCTCCCTGCTCAACAAGAGGACTTTTGCACAAGCCTGACAGTCTGCAGGCCGATACCACCAATATCTGTCTGAACAACCAGTCTTCTACAGAGGACTCCACATGCTGTGAGTAAAAATGTGTGATAGACGCGTAAACTACACATTTAATGTGCCCGTATGACTTCAAGTTCAGGCTCTGAAGGGATGTTTCCCTACAGGTGAAATTCATATATGAAAGCATCTGCTTTATGAAATTGCATTTGAAATGTCAATATAAAGCTCATACACTGAATCGCATGTTTATTAGAAAACATTTACAGTATAGGTGCACGTTGAAGGTTCACTGAAAAACAGTTCGTGACGCAGATTAAGTTCTAGTGTTGATGGCAGTTGTAGTCCATCAAGTAGTTTAATCACTATAGAGCAAAAGATCTCACAAAGAACAAAAGGCCCAATAGTTGATTAGTTTTGGAGCTGTAATGTTGTGTGTAAAGCCATCAGCGATTTCTTGTGATGCTGTTAGTTTGCCGACAAAAAAAAAGACACAATTATTACCTAATCATCTAATTGCAGTTATTTGAGATGATTGCAGTTATTTAAGCGTATTACAGTCATTCTTCACAGTCATATTATGCTGCAACAGACAAAAGGTGATTTGTGTACAATAAGTTGAGGCAAAAAAATGTAAATAAAAGAAAGCAGTAAATGCATTTATTGAGACATCAATAATTCTTATGTTCTTAGCGTGTATGCTGGCAGAATGATTGTTTTCCTGATTACATTTTCACTCTTGTGAAGAACTCTACATTTAATTCTGTTTAACCGTACATATTTGTGCGAGTTGATTTGACAGTACAACCCAGTATTGGCTACTAAGTAAACATAGCTAGTAAGTAACGTGGCTTTAGGCTTATATTTTAATACTTGCCAAAAACGAAGAAGAAAAGACAATTAAATCATTAATTGCAGTCATTTAAATGACAATTAATCGTCAACTAAAATTTCAAGATCAGCCCTGCCAGCTCAAAGACATGGATCTGGAATAGGCTTGTGCCAATGAACAACAGTATCAGGAATCGCAGATAGATTGGCTGTCAAAAGCTTCAAGTAAAACATGGAAAGCTTTTAGAAGCTTCAAATGTCTGTACTTTAATTAGAACAGCCAAAAAGTATTCATGCAAATAGCTGTTAGCTTAGCACTAACAAACTAGTACAGTCTGGGCTGCCAGCAGAAATTAACATTATCATAGATGTGTTTTTTCCCTCATTTTGACGGAGTTTTGACATTTAGGCCCAGTCCCATTTCTTCTTTTTACCCCTACCCCTTGTTTTCTAGTGTTACCCTACGGATGTTACAAGGGGTAGTGGTTACAATCTTGCCCTACGAAATGGGACAAAAACAAACATTACTTCATTAACAGCCACTAGCGCTGTTCTGTAGGCGACCAGGACCGTCTTCAGTGATAACAGAGGAGGGTAAAGTTCAGCTCCTCACTGCTGGGCTTTAGTTACATTTAGAGCATCACATGCCATCAAAGAGGGGGGCAATTATTTATTATCACCCACCCCTAATTCTTCAGTGATATGAAGCTGAAGTCAGATATTCACCAGATTCTTGTTTGAATTTTCTCGTTCCACCTTAAATGAAGCAGCAGTTACATTCTGGCGCTTCAGGCGTCAGAACTGCTGCACTATTTAAGGTGGAACAGGAAAGTTAGCTAGCTAGCTAGCTAGCTAGCTACCGAGACATTAGCATGCTATTAGCAATTTTTTAAGGCTTGTTTTGAAGAAAAGGACCATAATACACTGAAACGACATCAAACTAAGATAATACAGTGGTTATCGTAATTTTTTAATGGAGAAAATTCTCACATTTGTGTGTTTCTTTGGTCTTTTGTTCAGCCATCTTGCTGGTTTTTCTTTTTTTCTCATAACTCTTTGTTTGGGGTCTCTGAAAAACCTCTGTTTGGAGGACCATGTAGCCCTAACACTTCACCCTACCCCTCTATCTCAACAACAGCTGGGACAACCTGACCCTAGACGTGAACGTGCAAAACAGAGGGCTAAGGGAAATGGGATTGGGCCTTAGTGTCTGAATTAAACATCTAGAAGTCTAGCTCTAATAGTTATGGTTCACCACTGACAATAAATTTTGCAGAAAATCCCATATTTCCAATCAAGCTGATTGGTTGAGCGGTGTTCTTACCATGCTGTTATGGCGTTTTTCACAAACACTGTGTCACTTCGCTGAGACGCCGTTGCTAAGCAATGACTTTGACAGCTGTAGGTGACACTCAAGCCAAAGTAAGACAGGAATTAGTGCAGCGAAAGTATCAATCATATAATGAACCAAGAAGTAAGGTAGAATAGAAATAGAAGAAAACAAGAAGAACAGAACAGAAGAAAACAAGTGGAAAACAAGTTTAATGTGGTTGGTGTAGTATAGAGGGCAACACCTCTGCCTTCTACTCTGTAGACTGGGGTTCAATCCCCACCTGGGTAAGCACCCTACACTATACCAATAAGACACTGCCTTCACCTACCTGTGTAAAATCAACACATTGTAAGTTGCTCTGGATAAGAGCGTCTGCCAAATGCCATTAATATAAATATAAATATAAAATAAATATAAATATGGTCAGTGTGGAGCTGGAGAGCGAACTGCTGGCTGTGCAGCGAGTGAGCGGAGTTCATTACTCTGACGTAGCAACGAGCTGCTTGTTAAGGAACTATAATTTGGTGAAGGAACTGCCAACATTAAAACATATTAAACGCCGCGTTCACAGCCCAGTTTATTAATTTATTACTTTATTTATTTAACTGATTAAACATATCATCTGACCGGGGGTCTTCAAACTTTTGCATAGGACAGTACATGGTGGGTGTTTCTGATGAAATGGCGAACGAGTGCCCAAAGCAGTACAGGATGAAACTTCATGTACGTCGTGGTTTTGATTTGCAGTTTCTCTGGACCGCGGTCGAGGAACACTGGACCGTGAGGAGCAGGAGCTGCTGCAGGAGGTGAGAGAGCTCCGGCAGAAACTGGCCACCAGAGCACGAGCCGCAGACTGGACCTCACAATCGGTCAGCTCGCAGCACTCTTAGTAAACAGAACCAAACGAGGATACCTTCTTTTTAAGAGTGAATTCATCCACAGTGGGAATATCTCTTGAAGTTTACTGGACTCTACATGCTGCACAGCTGAGTCATTGCACCCAACCTGTATTTTATTCGTTTTTTAACTTGTTTTTTGTGTACATTGGTCCATGTTGGATCTCTTAGATTAGTTTAACTATGAACTACAGTAAACCTTTTCGTTATTGTGCTATTAAAGTGCAGATCACCAATCACAGCAGCCTAAACCGTGTCTAATTTTTCATCTCTAATGCTCATTATTTTGACTAAATTCTATGCTTCTGAGCATTTTATAGGTTCAGTAATAATACAGTTTTAAAGTTGCAGGATTGTGATGTTTTTAATGGTAAACTTTGTGTCAGCTCTGTGATCCAAGATCCATGAATTCTGAGTCATTCAAAGTAATTAAATGTGAAACTTTAATTTAACTAAGTCACAGTGATGGTGATGGGATCGTTCTTCAGTTTTTGACAGAATTTGAAAATGCCTATTGCCCTTGACATTGTATCAAAATTTCATGATGAATGGACCAATAGAAACGGCCCAAAATGACTTGAAAAAGACGTCTGCTTCCATTGACTTACATTAAAAGTAAAGTGTGTTTTTTCCTTTTCCTGTAAAGTTACCATTTTGGAGATCCAAGCTTTTGTTCCAACAACAGCGACATGCTGCCTAATGCTTGACACATTGTTTTACAATGGTTTAGAGAAGTTTTTGGCCTGAAATGTAGATGTTTTTAAATGCATTAAGGCAAAATACCACTCAAATGGATTTACCACGGGTTACCTTTATCAACATGACATAAAAGATCAGAAGACCGGTGTAGGTGCCCTTCTCATTTTGGATAGCAGTTATGGTGGCTAGACAAAGCGACCCCTGGTTTATATCCCCACCGTTAAAAGGAAAACTGAGTCTGTAAGACTCTCGACGACGAACCATTTCACATCAAACCTCTCTGAATGACTTTGTTTACATCTGAATTCCCCTTTAATTCTCCTAACTGTATATTGCGAGACCAACTGCTGCATGTGTCCTAGTTTACTCAGATTGCTTGAAGGAATACATTAAAGGAATTTGACATGTTTTGCGATACTTTGAAAGAAACAGCAAACCTTTTGACTTGAAACACGTAGTAGAAGCTATTGGGTAGTTAGGCGAATAACTGGATTACATGAATCAATGCGATACCCACAGCACATTCATCCTGGTAAACCAGCTCCATCTCTGAAAGGGCTAATTAAACAAACTGACAGCTTAATTTGCCAATAGCTTTGACTGAAGACGTCAAAGTGTTCAACCAAATTCTGTATTTTACATAAACATTCACTCAGAGTTCAACAACTGCCCAGTGGCTTCTATTAGAAGTGTGTTTTGAGTCGGTGGTTAATCTGATTTGAAAATCCCAGTGTAGCCTCTAGTCTTTCATCAGTGGTCACAGGATGCTGGTTGCTGGATTATCCAACAACAAACTGTGCAGCAAAGATGAACTACTGTCTCTGAGTTTACCAACAGGGTAGGTGTGTCTATGAGATTGGACAGGAAGTGGATCCACTCATACCAGCGCAACACACACTAACACACCACCACCACGTCAGTGTTACTGCAGTGCTGAGAATGATCCACCACCCAAACACTACCTGTTCTGTGAGGGTCCATGGGGGTCCTGACCACTGAAGAACAAGGTAAAAGGGGGCTAACAAAGTATGTAGAGAAACAGATGGACTACAGTCTGTAACTGTAGAACTACAAAGTGCACCTATATAGTAAGTGGAGCTGATAAAATGGACAATGAGCGTAGAAACAAGGAGGTGGTCATAATGTTACTCCTGATCGGTGTTTGTAATAGTATGTTTTGCTTGTTGTAGTTATCCATCACATGGTGCGCTTTTGAAATGTAGAGAAGAAAACAGAAGATTAGTTCAGTAGTTAAGCATCTCTCTCCCATCCAATCACGTCACTGTACAGAATGCTGTAATCTAATTGGCTGGTGCCTGCAGCGCAACCCAACCAGGAGGCCTAATTTGCAGCAGATACAGCAGCGTGATTGGTTTTGATGCTACATGCCATCCTAGGATCAGGTTAGCCAGGGAGGAGAGGAAATGACCACCAACAGAAGAAGCAGTAAAGCTTAAATATGTAGTTTTTTAATAAGGCAGATAAATGAGATATTATGAAATGTGTACATGCTGTTAATGAATATTCAGAAGTGCTTCTCTACCTAATGCATACTATTTGGTTTATGTTCCAGGTCATGATATTTTTGGAGGAGGGCAGTAAAAGTTTTTCATGATTTTTCTGCAAAACTTAATCAGTAAAACGTAAACAAAGTCATTTAGAGTGGTTTGATGTGAAATGCTTGGTTTTAGAGCAACTGATCGACTCGCAGTGGTGCTGATGGGAACCAGACGTCTGGTGTGCCTCTTTAGTGCCTCTAAAAGCTGGCCCACAGAAAGTTATCACACAAAAGCGTTATGAGACATTCTACCAGAAACACACATTTCCACTTCTACAAATCGTGTTGGAAAAAAATTCCTGAATCTGAACACTGGGTCCTATGGCGTACCTATATATTTCCTTTTTCTATAGCGAACGGGTTTTGGGCAGTACAATGCTAGCATTACTGCTACTGCGTGCTGATTTGTTGGCGAGCGGAGCAGCTCACTGGCTGGACGTACATAAGGTGCCGTTGTAAACTCGAGTTTAAAAGCTCTTAAAACTATAACAGCGGTGTTAAAATGTTTTACACTGTTCTGTGTTCAGGAAATTAATGTATTATTACCTTAAAAACGTTTAACAATTTATAAACTATGATTTTGCTCAAATGCTCCATATCAACCCATTCATTTTGGACTCGCTCAGGAGCGCCCTCTAGCGTCTGAGACACCTGGAAGACATTGCAGAGTAGTGTTTCTCCTCTCTACAAGTTCTCTGGCAATACTTCGCAAATATCCTATGCTAAAGCCCGGGTTTATATACTAAATTAACAAGCACTAGAAACAAAGAACAGGGGAGGTGAATCAATAGTCAGGCAAAGCAGACCAGTGGAGAGTCATGTAAGGGCGATCAGAGGTCATGTGATCAGGTGAGGTGTTCTGGGAGATGGAGTCCGGAGGCTGGGATGTAGTGACAGCAGGAACGGAGGGAGGCGTGACAAAAACATTTTTTATCGTAACAAAACTATGAAAGATGTAGCTCAAAGTTGGCCGTCAATACGTTTATCCATCTTTATAGAGACTGAGACAAGTGTGTGATGAATTAGGCCTGCAGTTTGAATGAAGCTAACTGGTGTGAACCTCCTTTAAAAGTGAATTAGCTCACAGCTTTAGTCCAAAACTAAACAAGCAAACTTAAGGCATCAAACATGGCTTGGCCGATCTACTTAATTTGAGGTAAGAATGGTCAGGAAACTGAGTAAATTTGTTTTTTTGACGTACAAGAGACATGGGAAAGGTTCTCGGGGGTTGAAGAGATTTATAATGGTCAGTCACATATGCACAGCCCAAAAAAAACAGTAGTGCCATCTCAGCTACAAAACCATCACTAAACCCATCATACTCTCCCAACACGCACACATCATAACTAAAAGTGAGCTTAAAAGATCTCACATTATGTACAGTCATCCAGTAGGGGGCACTGGAACTCTCACTTTGAGGAAAGTTACTAAGCATTAAAACTATTATGGTCTCAGTTTTTTTCTTTTTCTTGTATTTCGATGCTTCCAGTCATTTACTGTGTGTTATATTTCACAGTTCTACCTCTTGGACAAGTCTTACAGTCTTTTTACATCTTCTCCCAGACGACACTGATGGAGGGATGCTGAGCTTGTTGGCAGTGACTTTTCCCAAATATGCAACACTGACAGATAAACAGCATTTTAAGTAGCACATTAACACTAGAAAACAGGCTCACTTTTATATTGTCTCCCAAAGCAGAGCTTTTAGATGCTCATTGTTCTTCTCTCATCCCATTCTGAAGCTTTATAGTCATTTATAGATGCTTTGGAACAGTCCAGGCAGTCGACACTGTAACGAGCAGTGAGGCTTCAGCAGTCTCAAGACGGTTCTCGCTCTACATCATACCACTCACTGCCGTTTCACACTGCGGCAAATGGACGGTCCCCTCAAGCCGTTTCTCCCTGAAACCTTTGTCCTTTTTCAGTCTTTGTGTTCATGTTTGGCTCCACTGTTTCTACAGGGTGACTTCTACAGGGTGCTCTCCAGGGTGTTGTAGTTGTCCTTGAAGTTTTTGAGCTCCAGGAAGTGCTTGGGCCTCTTGCTGCGCTGGCCAGAAGAGGGCAGGTACGTGACCTGGATGGTGGAGGCTGACGACGGCCCGGGGGAGCTGGTCAGATCTTTAGCTGCTGACTGGTGCTGCTGGTTCAGGCTGGTGGAGCTGGAGTGGACCTTTATACTGGGGTCAGGAGAAAGGTAGAGTGGTAAAAGGAGGTGGAGGGGATGAGAGAGAATATAAGGATGAGTGGAATTTACACTCAAGATGCAAAATCTTGGCTTTTTCTGCTGTTTAATCTTCTGCTTTTTTATGCAATATCTGAAAGCTGGTGTTGACTGTATTCAATATTTTGTGACATACAAAATCAAATAAATAGGAATACATGCAATTGAGCCAAAACATTATGACCTCTCAGAGATGAAGCGAATAACGTTACGTCATAACAATGGGACATGTCAAGTTCTGGGGTATATCAGACGGTGAACGAACAGTCAGTTCTCATAGTAAACATGTTACCTACTAAGAGTCTGAGGAGGGACAAATCACAAACTAGCCATAGGTTGCTGGGCGCCCAAGACTTATTGATGCAATGATGGCTATCCTGTCTAGTCCGAACCGACAGAAGGTCTACTGTGGCCACTTTTACATCATGGGGAGGGCCGGGTATGTATGTGACATTTACCTGGGGGAAATGATGGCACCAGGAGACAAGCCAGTGGAGGTAGTGTAATACTGTGGGCAATGTTTTGCTGGGAAACCCTGGGTCTGGGCATTCATTTGGACATCAATTTGACACGTCACCTACCTAAACATAGTTGCAGACCAGGTACACCCCCTTAATTGCAATGGTGTTCCTCAATGGCAGAGGCCTCTTTCAGCAGTATTATGCCCAATGCCAAACTGCACACACTGTTTGGGAATAGTTTGAGTGCAAGGTGCTGACCGCCAAGTGCCCCAGATCTCAATCCGATCGAGCGTCTGTGGAATGTGCTGGAACAAGTCTGATAGGCGGTGGTTTGCAGCTTACAGGACTTAAGGATGTAATGCTAATGTCTCGGTGCCAGATACCACAGGGCACCTTTAGAGGTCTCATAGAGCGCATGCCTTGGTCTTGTTTTTGTTGGGCCAACAGCATATTAGGCATATCAGTTGACCATAAGGTTTTGGCTCATTTTGGTGTAAGGCACAAAGTTATACTTTTTTGTTTTGTCAAATTTGTTGAATTCTGTTTTGAATTAAAAGCTGGAAAAAAGGAAAACAAGTCCACTTACAGAGCAGCCAGCTCAGTCAGGTCTTCTTTGTATTTAAGAAATTCAGCTTCCCCAAAAACCTGCAGAAGAGAAAACAACATCTGTCGCTGATATTTTTCAAAATACTGAGTTTTTATCTACATGCATTCTGCTCACTTTATTAGAGAAACCTGCCTTGTACTTCCACTCACTGGCCACTTTATTAGAAACCCCTACCTTGTACTTTGACCCACTGGCCACATCAGTAGATACTTCTACCATCTCCCACTCACTGGCCATTCTGAGAAACCCTACCTTGTACCTCTACTGAGTGACCACTTTATGAGAAACTCCTGCCTTCTTCCACTCCAGGGTGAACTCCACCTACCTTAAGGGTCCAGTCCACTCTATAAGTGTACTATTACAGTACAAATACAGCTGCTGCACAGTTTATCTGGCCCACTGTATCCCATTCATCATGGGTCAGTTACTGACCACTGGAGCACTGTTTACGTACCATTTGGGTACAAGATCCTTCTCAGTTGTGCTGGGGTTTTGCACACACGTCAAAGTCACTTGTAGATTGTGAGTCACCCAAAAATATCCAGCCAAGAGTGGCTCTGTGGTCAGACACTGACTTACTGATAAAGGAGGATGGCTGCATTAATAGATAAGCTACAGTCTCTGTAGCAAGTGCTACAAAGGAGAGGTTTCTCCTATATATAATGATATGTACCATGTATTTTTTTTAAACATATATATGTAAATCACAAACTATTTTTATACATATAAGTTTACATACATCTGTTTGTATTTCTATTTACATATGAATCTATATGTAATAATAACAACAAAACAAAGTGTCACATTACCTATGTGTAATATTTTTTTATATGTATTATATATGCATGTCTACGTTATATATCGTAGCTGCTCTTGATATAGACACCACCTGCACTTGAAAATTTGACCACGAATAGACCTAAAAAAATGGTCCAAAACAATTTTTAATTTATTTATTTAGTAAATGAAGAATTTTTTTCCTTCTGAAAAAGTTACCATTTTTTTGATGCAACGTTTTGCTCCAACAGCAACAATATGAAAGAACATATATGTTTAATGCCCTATATGCATTATACCTGTATCTATTTGCAATAAGAATTCTGAGCCTAACCCTAATTCTAACATCACCAACCAAAAGAAACCTTTTTCTTTTACAGTTTAAAAAAATGAACCATGGAGCTTTTATTAAAAACACTTTAGAAAGTCAGGGGCATTGAGTTGGTACTGTAGGTTAGAGGGGTTGTACAAATGAAAAAACACACCCCAGTCCCGTGGCGAACGTTGTCGTAGCCCTCCAGGAGGCGATCGACGAGGCTGCTGTGGCTGCTCTTGAACAGCGAGTGCGAGTTCCGCAGGCCCAGTAGCCATTTCCTGTAGTGGCGGCCGGTCAGAGCACTGCCAGTGCAGCCCAGATCGTGAGCTGAGATGTCTACGTGAGAGACAGACACAGTGCTGATCACACCACACAGGAGAGCGGATACGAAGGTAAGAGCAGCACTGCACACAGCCCAGTTTTAAAGCTCCAATCAGGAGTCCCTGCAAGTTTTTAACTAAGCACATTATGGTCTTATATCTGGACATCCAAACTCAGCACAGCATTCATTTATTCAATCAGGTATTGAAATGAAACTAATTCACACAGTTTTACTTCTGAGAACCATAAAAGTATGTAGTAAACTCAAAAGCTAATCTTTGGCTGCCAGAGCTGGTGGCAGGACACTCCTGACTGGGGCATCACATCAGAAAATAATAGTTCTGACAACAAATTGTATCTAGATATGTGGATATTTAATTATTTGTGTGGAAAAAATATACCAATTAATCGTTTTAATTGTGGGCTGTAAATGTGAAGAGATGTTTTGGCAAACTGAGGAGAGAAAGCATGGAGAGAGAGAGCTACCAGTTACTGACTGTTCTGGTGCTTCAGTATCTTTTCTTTCCCGGTGGCTGAAGGTAACATGATTCCGTGGAACAAGCCAGACTTGCTGCACGTGTTGTATGTGACAACTGTATTCTTCATTTTAAGAAAATGCCCCAGACTTTGTGTCTTTTTCAAACTATTAGCCACAATCTGCTCGCATAGGTACCACAGTATAGGTGAACTGCTGCCTAATATAACAGAATTGCCGATTCAGCTCAATCTGGAAATGTGCATCCCAGTTGTTTGCCATTGAAAAAGAATTCTGATGATGGATTCTTACCAGTGTCTCTAATAGCATCCAGAGCTTGCATTCTGAACAGGTAGTTATAACAGCCTGTAAACAGACATATCAGGTATTCAAATTTTCCTTTGAGAAAAAAAAAAACTTCCATCATGTTTCTACCTGATTTACATAGGATAAAAAATCTTGGTTGAAGTTTTAAGAAATGAGCATGGCTACTTTATTATACATTGCCTTTACTCCAAAAAACTGACTCCAAAAAAAAATCCATTTGCAATTAATTTGGCTGCTCACAAGTCCTCATTTCGTTAATGCTAACCATCTTCTTAGCTGTCTTAAACGAATGCAGTGTATGATTAGCAGTTGTCATTAGCCTGAATTTACAGCAGTCATTTTACATTTTACATGTTTGTCACTGAGAAATACTGCTAATAACTACATCACCTCACATCCATAATGCTGTCCAAATAATAGTTAAGAACGTGATGACTACAGACGACTACAGGGCAGTGAAAAGGAATCCTGAGCAAGAACTCTTGTCTAAGCGGCTGGTACTGGAACCCACCGTCTGTCCATGTCTAGTGAGGCTGACCAGTTCAGGCAAAACACAAAGACGTGTGTTCTCTCACCATTCTGGCCACGATGCCTCAGCCTGTCGTCGTCCTCTGAGAGCAGCCGTGGCTCGTAACGGATGTCGTTCACTTTAGACAGATGAGAATCAATCTTCTCTCTAAGACCCTGTGAAACACAAAAGGGAAAGAGTCAGTGCAGTACGCTGTTTTGTAAGATGCCCGGTTGACCTTAACCACATAGGAGAAAAATCACAAGAGGTGTAAAAATGCATCTGAAAGTTAGGGATTTGAAATTTTAGTTGATGATTAATTGTCATATAAATAACAGCAATCGACAGTTGAACTGTCTTTTTTGTTCACTGTAAACTATTAAATGTAATTTTTTTTTAAATAATCTGAATCACAGGAGAATAATCAATGCAAATCATGATGTAATCTTGAGATTTTATGATGCACTGGATGTAACTGAATTTACCAGATTACAGATTCAAGCACCTGGCAACGACTCCATTAAAAGATGTCAGGTTACCTTCGGAGCATTATGACCCAGTGGGACGTGGGGTCCTCGGCGGGATTTCATGGCAAAGCGCATGATCTGCCTCTTCACAAATATGAACAGCAATACAAAAACCTGGAAACGATAAAAAGCACAAAGATTAACAAGAGCAGCATCATTATAGAATTACAGAATTCCCTGAGACCTCCGTCCGTTTCACCAAGTGATTAGTAGCATCCTGACTATTCACATCACCAAACAAACAAATAATATGGACAACACATTGCAAGGTCATTTCTAAACCATGCTAGTATTTAGTCAACCAGATATCTTTAGGCAGAAGTGCTAAAGGACATTCCTATTGGACAAGCCTCACCGTTCGGTTTAAATATACAGCTTAGTGAAAAATTCTCCTTCGTGGAGTACCCCCAGGTCACATCACAGGGCATCAAATGTGTTCCATAACATACATTTCCTTGTATTTTATTTCCCCCGTGTGGTCCACGTATAACATTTGTGTGATTTATGTACCAAAAACACTCCCAATTCATTTTTACATGTCCATGGCTGTTACTGTGCCTTTAAGACTGATATAAGAGACCCTTACTAGTACCACAACAAGGAAATTTCACCTCCGCATTTAACCAGTTAGTGCACCCTGTTACCACCATAGACCTGCTAGTGCACCCTGTAAATACCATAGACCTGTTAGTGCATCCTGTTACCACCATAGACCTGTTAGTGCACCCTGTAAATACCATAGACCTGTTAGTGCACCCTGTAAATACCATAGACCTGTTAGTGCACCCTGTAAGCACCATATAGCCGTTAGTACTTTTTATTACCACCAACGAACTGTTAGCACCATAAAGAAGTCAGTACATCTCGTTACCACCATAGACCTGTTAATACACCCTGTTACCACCACAGACCTGTTAATACACCCTGTTACCACCACAGACCTGTTAATGCACCCTGATAGAACTGAAAGCGGAGCAGAACCTCATCTGAATTATTTGAAAAAAGTCCAGGCCTGTATATAACAGTCATTTAGCATCTTAGCATAGCAATGAACGCAAATGGAAACATCGTAAAGCGTTTTATTCCACAAACAGCAGCCTATTAAACTGTGACCAGGTATCAAACTCCCAGAAAAGCGGATTCAGAGACATGAGTCTGTGGAAGTGGTTTGTTTTGAGGAAGTTACTCTATGTTAGCTTAGCCGTTAGCTGCTCTCTCACCAGACTGCCGTAGGCCATAACGAGCACCACATTCACCCCCGACAGGGGCGGGTCCGCTCCCATTTCAGCCACCAGTGACCAGCGTTCATACGACGGTCATATAAAATCATCTATTTTGACCGTCAGCGGTCAAATAAATGCGTCGCTATGCACGGAAACCGCCCCGCAGTGTTGACAAACGCTCCGGTCATGTGACCAGAGCCCGCTTCCTTCCCCCTCTAATGAAGTTTTATGGCGGTTGGCTAATTTCGCGCATTGCTGCCACCACCTGTACTGGACGAGTATCGAGGTTTGAATACTACAGGGAATAAAAACTATACAATCCAACTCCTGTTATCCCTCTATGGCACGATGTTGCTTCAGGGCAACAAACTCATTTTCCTCACTTTATAATATCATTACACATATTTAAAGACAATATTAGGGTTAACAGTAAAGGGAAGGCTTTCAGTAAGTCAATAAAAAGCATGTAGGTGGTCATACTATCTCTTAGTGGCCATCTTTAAACCTCTTTTTAAACATTGAGTATCAATTTTTTTGTTATGAGAACTTGCAGAAATATATATGTTGCCTAGAAGCAACACTGTGCGACAGTGGAATGAATTTAGCCAGTCACAAGCCAGGTCCCACCACTTCAGGAAACATGGCTCTACATCATTTCTTCCCATTGTCACACAATGTTGCCTTAAGACAACATACTGCAAAAGGACCCCTGCACACATTATTATTAATATTATTATTATTATTATTTTAATGTTCTTGAATTTAATAATCGGGTCTGAAAAAATAAATCAAGGACCATTTTATGCAAGAAAAGTGAATTGAGTTTTTTTTTTAATTGCTCTCATAATGCGTGCAGTAGAGGGTTCATCAAACGTGTGTGTTTAAAATCTCAGGCTGTCTGTTTCCTGTCTGTCCAGAGAAATGCTGCTATAAACTCTTTGGCAACCTTAATATTTTGAAAGTTAGACAAATGGTTGGCAATTTTAAGGTGTTTCTGGGACCCGTCAGTGCACAACATTTGAGGCCTTATATTAGAGAAGGAAACCTTAAGTAAATATATGAATTCAGAGATCACCATTAATATAGTTTATTTTTTATTGCAAGCGAAAAAGATATGGTTTTTAAAAATTTATCTTAGGAATACAGATATTTTGATGGTCACTGAAGTTTGATTTCAGATATTACTAAGTAAAAGTAGACCTGTTAGTACACACTGTTACCACCATAGACCTGCTAGTGCACACTGGTACAATCATAGACCTGTTAGTACACGCTGTTACCACCATAGACCTGCTAGTGCACAATGGTACAATCATAGACCTGTTAGTACACGCTGTTACCACCATAGACCTGCTAGTGCACAATGGTACAATCATAGACCTGTTAGTACTTTTTATTACCACCAATGAACTGTTCGCTCTGTTAGCACCATAAAGAAGTCAGTACATCCTGTTGCCACCATAGACCTGTTAATACACCCTTTAACAACCACAGACCTGTTAATGCACCCTGATAGAACTGATAGCGGAGTAGAACATGTGGACTGGCAGAAAGTTGAGAACCTCATCTGAACTATTTGAAGAAAGTCCAGGCCTGTATCAGGCTTAATAACAGTCATTTAGCAGTTTGCTCATTTCTGGGCCACAGAAAGATGTTTGGTTGATGAACAGCTAAATATTCTTAAACCTTTTCTTGAGAGTGTTTTGTACTTTCTACTGATTCTCATAAGAAGACATGCAACTACCTCAGTATTTGCAATATCCTCAGACTTCGGATGTCTCTACTTAATGTGTTGCTGGAGTCTCATTTCAGTTATAAATCGCTCAGATCGGACCACTTTCGTTTTCTCTAAAACCTCAAACTAGCTTCCGCTGCTCCAGATGGCAGGGGTACAATAGAAGAAGTCTGATGCAACGACAAAGCACCAAACTGATTTGACTGTTTCAAAGCGACGCTGCTGGCCTTCTTAGTGCTGCATTTCATCTCAAACAAAGGGTGTGTATGTATGTATGCCATTGCAATAAATGGTCACCATGTATCTAGGTTGTATGTTAGGAAATTTAGCCTCTGTCTCTGTCTCTCTCTGTCTCTCTCTGTCTCTCTCTCTCTCTCTCTCTCTCTCTCTCTCTCTCTCTCTCTCTCTCTCTCTCTGCAGCTGCCTGTTTTCTTATGTTTGTGGTAGAGCTATTCTGCAACTCCAGGAAGCTGATATGTGAGTTTTCGTCTTCACTTCATGTTTTCTGCCACAGACAACCACCCAAGGTAATTCATCTTAAAATGTTTTGCCAATTTTTTTGCAGAATCACTGTATATTAAAAAATAATCAGCACTCCAATAATGCCAGATAATCACTGTGCCAAAAAAGCTAGGCAGTTTTTATTTGACATAAAGGGTCACACTTTGGCTCAGTGGTTTGCAAGTCTAAGTAAATCACAGAGAACTTCTAGCATCAACATATTACAAAGAAACCCAATGCAAAAATGCTATGTAATTATTATTAGCATGTTGTTGCTCAGTAAATTTGACACCTGCGTAAAAGAAAGTTGGCTCAGTGAACCTTAATAGAAGTAATCTTCAATGGAAGTGATATACTACAATTTTTACCACGTAAGTTTTACATTTAGAATTTGAATTCTTTGTTGTTTTGGTGCAGTTTTGTGCTGCTTTTGATTTTCAGTTTGCGCTATGCTAATTAGCTGTGGCTTAGCCGCATTGGCCTTGCAGCTCCTGTGGTAATGTACTGTTTTGGTTTATGCACCACATTTTAACAGAAGAAATGAGTTTTTTTGTAACAGCTGTTCTGGTTGTTTAGTTGTTGTTGTTCAAAACCTTCCTTTATCTGTAAACTGTTTCATTTTCTTCTGCTGATACCATGTTTTTTTCAGGGGTGTTAGCAACACAGAGTTGTACAGTCAACCTGAAATCAAAACTGACTATCTTGTTTTACAGTAATCAACCATCACAACATAACTTTGCTGAACGGTCGTACTGAGGGCAGAACTGTCAGAGAACTTTTAGCCTTTAAAACGTCTTTTGGTTTTTTTTAATGTGCCACCGCGCACCAGCGGGCACCGCCGCGCACCAGCAGGCGGGAAAATTATACCATCCTATGCAAAGTGAAGCAGTTCACCAAGAAATGTAGTTTAGAGTCCCATGGGGAAATCTGAAATATGGTAATATGTGGATTTCAAATATATGACATATATTAGCATATCGCTGCTGTCGGGACAAAACCTTGCATCTCCAATTTTGTCTTTGTTTTTCAGTTTTTGACATAATTTGAAAATACATGTTGCCCTTTACATTGTGTGTAAATTTCATGACGAATGGACCAAAAGAAATGGCCAAAAATGACTTGGAAAAAAGTCTGGTTCCATTGACTTACATTAAAGGTAAAGAAGGTTTTTTCCTTCTCCTGTAAAGTTACATTTTGGAGATACAAGGTTTTGTTCTGACAACAGCGACATATGGATTCAGATAAAATAATAAAATCCACAAGCAAAATATTAAGTATTAAAATGTCCAAAATATGTTACAAATACTAATAATGAGAGTCAAACTTAATTTCTTGAATAGATTACTACTCATTTTCTCTCATTCTGATATCAATTTATTACTCTTTTTGCCCGTTACTGCTTTCATTTCTTTCTACTTGCTTATTTTGCTGATATATTTTTCTGGAATCTCTGGTTTGTTTGTGAAATTTTTCTTTCACTTCTGAGTTTTTGTCGCTTTTTAACAGGGGGCGGGTCTTAGAGGAGGGCGTTCACCTGCACTCTCTATTGGGTATGTTTGCTAGTGTTTTGGGCCACTTACTTCACATAACATGCTGCCCAGTCCCATGGTCAGTGGTCCATGCGAGCAAAAAAATGGTGTATTAATGCAGAATTGTGTCAGTTGTTGTGAGGAGGTCAGATTTTTAGACAAGAACTCTCCTTTTTACAGCTCGAAATTGATCATAATTACCTAAAGGTTTCCCCAAACGGCACAAAATTTAAAGACATTTGAACATTGTTGTATTGTTATACACTAATTGACCAGAAGGAGGAGCTGTTGCCAAAAAAAGGACTTAAAATGATCACAGTTCCACTGTGAAGGTTAGCTGAGTAGGCTAAAACCACACTCAAGTGTGAAATAATTGAAAGTACCTCATAAAACCCTAAAAATATTAGGTCCAAATGGTCCTCTAGTACCAAGTTCCCCACAGAACTGCACTGGAACGTGGAACATCCATCATCTATGAATTTTTACTACATAACATATACTCTGTACTATGTAAGTGCATCTTAGTCAATGTTTATTAGCAATTCCTCTGTCACCACAAACCACAGCAACTGGTACTACTACTACTTCTACTACTACTGCTGCTAATCCAACTACTACTACTACTACTACTAGTCCTACTACTACTACTGCTACTAGTAGTCCTACTACTACTACTGCTACTACTAGTCCTACCACTACTACTGCTACTACTAGTCCTACTACTACTAATCCCACTAATATTACTGCTACGACTAGTCCTACTACTACTACTGCTACTACTAGTCCTACTACTACTATTAATCCCACTAATATTACTGCTACTACTAGTCCTACTACTACTATTAATCCCACTAATATTACTGCTACTACTAGTCCTACTACTACTATTAATCCCACTAATATTACTGCTACTACTAGTCCTTCTACTACTACTAATCCCACTAATATCACTGCTACTACTAGTCCTACTACTGCTACTACTAGTCCTACTACTACTATTAATCCCACTAATATTACTGCTACTACTAGTCCTTCTACTACTACTAATCCCACTAATATCACTGCTACTACTAGTCCTACTACTACTACTGCTACTACTACTAGTCCTACTACTACTAGTAGTCCCACTAATACTACTGCTACTATTAGTACTAGTCATACTACTACTACTGCTACTATTAGTCCTACTACTATTACTAGTCCTACTACTACTACTACTAGTCATATTACTACTACTGCTACTACCAGTCCTACTACTACTCCCACTACTACTACTGCTACTACTAGTCCCACTAATTCTACTGCTACTACTAGTCCTACTACTACCAGTCCTACTACTATTACTACTACTAGTCCTACTACTAGTAGTCCAACTACTTCTACTACTAATAGTCCTACTTCTACAGCTACTACTAGCCCTCCCACTACTAGTTCTACTACCACTAGTCCTACTATTACTACTATTACAAGATTTGCAGGCCAGATTTAAGGATAAATTGTAAATATGCTACTAGCCCTACTTCTACTTCTAGTCCTACTACTATTGCTACTACTAGTCCTACTACTAGTAGTCCTTCTACTACTACTATTACAAGACTTTCAGGCCAGATTTAAGGATAAATTATAAATATGTGACGGGCCATATGAAGCTGTCTCATCCAGCCTACTGAAGTTTGAGACCCCTGGTTTAATGGTTTCCTTACTTTCTTGTATGAGTCATTTAAGAGCAAATCCTATTCACTGTCTCTAAATATACGGTGCATGTGACATTTTGACCCTTGTGTAGCTGCAAAGAAAGGCTTTACATGCTTGAGTGTCACAAAACACATGTCCACACAAAGAAGCAATTCACCTACAGTACCGAGTGAGTGAGAACATGTGTAAAGAATGCTGCTGTGATATGCTGAAGACTGACTGGTGTATATGTGTGGAAAACAGATATAAACGTCCTTTCAGTTTTTGCTCATGTTTAGTGTCAAAGGAAACTGAGCCTATGGTGCTCCACCCACAAATACATTCTTTTAAAGCTTTACAGGCTGCTGGCAGTAATCCCTCTGCACCAAAGTTGTGCAACCGCCTAGGCGCTGACCCTATTGTTTATAGATCATAAGCTCAGTCCTCAGTGATGCCACAGCCATCTGGAAGTTCAAGAGAGCACAATTGTCACCTATTAGGCCATTACAAAGCTGTGTCTGGGCTTTGTGTCTACCTGAAGTCAAAGAAATTGTGCTTTTGTACACAGTGCATACAGTCGTCTGCAAAAGTCTGGGCACTCCTGGTCAAATTACACGTGAAAATAAGCGAACACATCCTCTACTGAGAACACACTTCTGTGCATTTTAATGCACAATTACTGTTTGTTTGTCGAAATTAACAATAAATCATAAAATGTGGCTTGTGCAAAAGTTATATTTTATGATATATATCAAAGTTATCAGAGCAAAACCTTGTATCTCCAAAATGTGAAGTTTAAAGGAGAAGGAAAAACGTACTCTACTTTTAATGCAAGTCAATGGAACCAGACTTTTTTCCAAGTAATTTTGAGTCATTTCTGTTGGTCCGTTCGTCATGAAATTTACACACCACGTAAGGCACAACGGGCATTTTCAAATTATGCCAAAAACTGAAAAACGACAAAAATGTACATACGAGGTTTTGTTCTGACAGCAGCGATATGTTAAACTCAGCAAATGCATAGAAGCTGTGTAGTAAAATGTGCAGAAAAAATGACATTTGCTCCCTCTAGAGGACATGTTCACTTATTTTCACTTAGGACATCAAAAAGAATAAAAAAAAAAAACGTCATTTGACGAGGACGCCCAAACTTTTGCATATGACTGTACATACAGGGCACACGTCAAAAAGTCCTGTTTAGACTTTCTAGGCTGCTGTTCAGTTTGAAGTGCTATAGTAAAATCACTTTATTGTGTGCATGGTGTGACACTCTAATGTCATTTATTTTTTTGGTCTGCTTCACAAACAAAGATCAGAATTGTCCAGAATGGTCATCTCTGCAGTTCTTTATGGATGTGAAAGCTGGACAATAAACGAGCGAAGCAGGAACTTTATAGATGCCTTTGAACTTTGGTGTTGGCGAAGACTTTTGAGAGTACCTTCAGTGGCAAAGATCCCCAAACCAATCGAGCCTCAGCTCTCAACTGAAGCCCAGATAACCAAACTGGCCCGATCACTGGACAAGACCATTATGCGTAGAAGAGCTGAAGGTAAAAGAGGAAGAGGACGACCAAGTTGGATGGATACAATCAGAGGAATTTGAAGCCAGAAGACCCAAACAGAAGACTGGACATTCTGGAGAAGCACTCTCCGTATGGTCACCAGGAGTCAGAAGCGCTTCATAATAATAAAATTACGTGTAATGATCATTTTATAGTGTAGTGAATACGCTGCAGTTTCGTTTGGCTCTAACATGCATGCAGTTGCCTGCTCCTTTCTCTCGATTTTGAGTGCTGTTACTAACGAAGGCTTTCTGCTTTCCACATTGTTGCGTGGCTTAATGTTGTTTTATACCAGAAGTGGTCAAAACTGGATCAGGCTTAACTGATACCATTAAAATGTGCTGGGATCAGCTCTGACACAGATGTAGACACTCCAAATATTTTCACTTTGAGAAGTGTAAAAACATTGTTTTCCACTGTAATGAGTAATGAGCTTGGCTGCCCCCTAGTGGTTGGGCCTCTAAAAGCCTTCCCCATTCCCCGCCTTATGGTTGGCCCTGTCTCCCATCACTCAGCACGATGATGGCTGAGGTAACAGAATTGGCACTCATGCTGCTTTAAAGTGCATGTAGCGTTCTCAGAAGAAGAACCCGTTTATCCAACATGTGCTTTATACAGGTAAACAAACGTGGAGGATGTGAAATGGCTGTGGTAGTTTATTCGCTGGAATCTACGGCCTGTTTTTTGGATGCTTTTAAACACAACAAAGCAGAAATAAGATGTGGATTAACTGCATGTTTAAAATGTTTCTTCTCATTAGCTTTTGTTACTCTGTGTTGATGGACTCACTTTTCTCCTCCAACACAGTGAAAATAGAGTTGACCTCACAACGTGGCCAATTTGTGGTTCATTGAAAGTTTTGATGTACCCCACTTTATCATCCGACTTTGAAGGCCGTTCGTGAGGCGCTTCCTGTTGGGACGCTCGTTTTTCCCGATAAAACTGAGACCACTTGAAAGCAGCATTAGCATTTTCTTCCAAGCTTGCTGAGCTGTCCAATGACGTTGTGTTAGCTGCAGTTTGACACGTGGCTTAGAGGAGGCAAATGCTAACCTTCACCCTCCCAGCTTGGTAGCATCGTGGGATTTCGGGAGACCTACATTCTTAAAAAGGATGGTTCTTCAAGGGTTCTTTGGTAAAGGGAATGCTTCCATTTAGACCCATTGTGCCTAAATGCTTAAATGGTTCTCTGCATGGTGAGATAGTTCTTCAGATTGATAGAGAATGTGTTGTACATGCTTCTATATAGAACCTTTTGGAATTGTTCTATATAACACCAAAAAGGATTCTTGTTACAAGCTTGACATCGTAACGATAGAAGAACCCTTTTTGGTGCTATATTTAACACATTTGCCATCAATCTGAAAAACAATTTTACCAGAGAACCATTTAAGCATGAAATGGTTCTAGATAGAACCACTGCCTTTACTAAAGAACCCTTGAAAGAGCTTCTATTTACGGGTGTAGCTAGCAGAGTTAGCAGTGACTAAATTGGATAAGAAAAAATAGGTAAATCCAAAAGAAACCCATTCAAATTATGATCAAATGTCTTTTTGTAGAAATACTTAAATGTAGAGTGTGTTATTAGTTCCAGATGGACTTTTTTTGTGCTTGTGAAAGCTTTGAATAGAACAGGTGTCGTTTTTTTCATTGTCTAATCAAGCTAAGGTTAGCAGGGCGACAGATTTATTGCTATTTCCATCCTGCCTAGTTTCAGTTAGCTACAACAACATTGTTCAGCTCAGTAGCGTAGCGTGGTCACCAACCCTGGTCCTGGAGTGTGAACTGCAACACCTTCTTCAGAAGTTCTTGATTGGCTGGTTCAGATGTATTAGCATTAGCCAAGTAGGGGTCAGTGTGTTAGATGAAGGTTGGAGCTACACTCTCCAGAAAGAAGGTTGGCCCTGGAGTGGTGCCAAACTAGGGGTCATCGATCTTATCCACAAAGGGCAGCAGGTTTTCATTCCAGTCAAGCAGAAGCACACTGGATACCACTTGTTTAATCAGTTGGTCTCAGTCTTCAAACAATTGGTTTGTTATATGAGATGTGCTCCTTGGTTGGAATGACCTACAGCCACGCTGACTCTTTGAGGATAAGATTGGTGACCCCTGATCTAAGCGCTGACCCAGAAGGTTGTGTCAGTGACCACTGATGTAGACACTCTAAGCAAAGATCACTACAAGCTCTCATGAGGTCAAAAGAGATTTTTGCCAGTGCTTTGCAAGGTTTGTCCGATTAGCCAACAGTCGCTAATGAAGAATGTGTTGAAATGTACTGAAAACATGGGACGGCACCATGGTGCTGTTGCCTCACAGCAAGAAGGCCCTGGGTTCAATTCCCCAGCCAGGCGACCAGTTTGCTTGGTAGCATTGTGGGATTTAGGGAGACCCACATTCTTAAAAAAGATGGTTCTTCAAGGGTTCTTTAGTAAAAGGAATGGTTCTTAAATGATTAGATTGTTCTTTGCATGGTGAAATAGTTCTTCAGATTGATGGGGAATGTGTTATACATGGTTCTATACAGAACATTTTCGAAACAGCAAGAAGGCCCTGGCTTCGATTCCCTGGCAGGGTGACCTGTTTGCTTGGTAGCTTTGTGGGATTTAGGGACACCTACATTCTTTAAAAAGATGGTTCCTTAAGGTTTCATTGCACTGTTGTCGGAAAAAAACCTTGTATCTGTATTTTTGTTGTTTTTCAGTTCTTGACATAGTTTGAAAATGCCTGTTGCCCTTTACATTGTCTATAAATTTCATGAAGAATGGACCAAAAGAAACGGCTCAAAATGACTTGAAAAAAAGTCTGGTTCCATTGACTTACATTAAAAGTAAAGTATGTTTTTTCCTTCTCCTGTAAAGTTATAATTTTGGAGAAACAGGGTTTTCTTCCGACAACAGCGATTGGTAAAGGGAATGGTCCTATTTAGAACCATTATGCTTAAATGATGAAATGGTTCTTTGCATGGTGAAACAGTTCTTCAGATTGATGGAGAATGTGCTGTACATGGTTCTATATTGAACATTTTTAAAACAACAAGAAGGCCCTGGGTTCGATTCCCCAGCCGGGCAACCAGTTTCCATGTTCTATGTTCTCTGTGTGGGTTTCTTCCCACAGTCCTAAGACGGTCAGGCCAATCGGAGATGCTAAATTGTCCCTAAGTGTGTGTGTGAACGTGTATGTCTGCCCTGTGATGGACTGGTGACCTGTCTAGGGTGTAACCTGCCTTCTGTCCAATGACGGCTGGGATAGGCTCCCTGCGACCCAGGAGGATAAGCGGCTTAGAAACTATGCGTGTGTGTGTATTGAAAATAGAGAACCGAAAGGGCAGACAGAAAAGCATTGCTTGGTCACAGAGATGGTCATTTGTCCATGCTAGAGAACCACGCATTTGTCTTATGGGAGAAATACTGGCCTACAAAGCAAAGACGGAAGGCATGTCCAGATTGTTTTTATCACACCAGCTTGTTATTTTGCAGTGGACCTTTTCCTGGTCATGAGCAAACTATTTTACTGTGCCCTTTAACTGTGAAGATAAAAAACCCATTTGAACCACAGAGGCCATGGCCAGGTGCCTGTGCCACTTGTGGACCTTTTCCTGGTCAGGCTGGTGCTTACTTTTCCCCTTCACATAAATAAAAGTTGAGAGAGAGAGAGACAGAGTTGAGTCTAAAAGCCCTTTATTTAAGCATTATGTACGAAGGCGGTGCGTGAAGACGTATCATTATGACCGAGAGAGGGAGGGAGAGAGAGAGCGAGCGAGAGAGAGAGAAGGAATGGAAGTTAAAGGGAAGGTGTAACAATGAGAGTGGGTGGGTGAGGGTGAAGATGAAGAACCAGTCAGGCGAGTTCACATTACAGATGCATAATAGTAAAATCGAGAAGGAATGAGAGAGCGAGGGAAGGAGAGGACCTGCTGAAACCAGCCAGTCTTCCAAGGTAGGTCATTTTCCTGGTGAATTCAAGGCAGAACTCGAATGTTTGGTTGCTTGACGTTCGCTCGGGTGAATTAGACAGTTGTATCTGTTTGTTTTCTGTAATTCAGCACTCACCTGTTCTCCCACTTCAGCGGCTCAGTCACTCAGGTGAGCTGACCACGCATCTACTTATCTTTCCTCTCCTGTTCTAATCAGATTCTTGCTTTATTCGGCGCTCACTTTATTTCCCAATCAGTCAAGTTTCAGTCATCTTTACCTGCTGAGGTGTTGGCTTCCATGAATGGTTGCAGCGCAACACGCCCCTTTTTGTATGCGTCCCTCCCTTAACCTGCACCTGCTGCTTCTATTTGATTTGGCAATACAAAACTTCTGACCTATATCAGCTGGACTGGACGCGTGGACTCCTTTCGCGACCTGGACATATATGCATTTTGAACCTAAGGTGAGTTTTCTACTGACTCATTGTCCTCAGATGCGGACGGACTCGCTTCCGTAAGTCTGTGGCTTGATTGGAGAGCTACTGTCTGATCTTATCTGATCCCATACAGAGGCTTTAAGTGTCTGTGCATGAGCTGATTTGAATGTGAGTATCAGTCTGGGGCTATCTGATGCGGTTGTTGACTCACAGTAGGCTTCAAAAGTAGTTGGACTCTTTAAGGCTCTTGAGGTTAATTCATAAAAATGTTGAACATTTCTGAGAAAAGCACTTTTAGCACATCAAACCGATGGAGAACCTGGAGAAGAACACCAGCTAGCCAGTACTGAGGGTACCAACGGTGTTGGTGAGCTTGTATTCATTGATTATATGATTGTAGTCTAATAATACAGCCTAATAAATGACATTTCGTTTCCTATCAGAATCAACTTAATACGTTTTTAAGGATGGCACAAAGGCCCAAATACTTTTTGGAGCCACTGTAGCTGTTTTAGTGTTATAGTTCCTAATGTTCAGTGTAGAGAGGAGAGTGGGGCCTGACGCAGGGTTAAGTCTCACATGGATAAATTATGTAACTAAACAGGTTCAGGTAGGATGTGCTTTCGGTCATCTTGTATTCCCCTAGCAACGTTATCTGTGCATTTTCGCAGATATTTCTCAAGATTCACCCTGAAGGCCCTGTTTACTTAGAAAGAGAATCACTAGATTGCTAATATAGCAGCGTTTGAAGCATGAAAACAACTCACAGAAAGAGCTAAAGTGCAACTTCCACACATATATGGAAAAAATATATGGACTTTTTGTATATTGGAAATGCATGTCAAATACATTGCAATCCAAGCCGAAATCCATTCCAAACAGTAAAATGTACTTCCGAATAAATTCCTGTATTAAATATATTTAAAAATACATTTATTTTAAAATGTATGGGGAAATATGACACATAGAAATGGACCATAGATAAATAAATGTATGTAAATGTATTTATCAGAAACATTTGAAAATGTATGAAAATAACCAAAATACTTGTTAATGCACTTTACTCTTTGGATACCTTTTGAAATGAATTTGTATTCCACTAATTTTAAATATTAGCCAGTGAACCTTTAATATGGCAAAAACAAGTGTTGTAAATATTGATACATTGTGAAAATGCAGTTATGATTTGATATCCTGTTTATTTGAAATACATTTACACATATATCTTACTGCATATGTACAAAGGTTAATGCAAAGTATAATGCAGTACACAGTAGTCAGTACCAGTTAGTTATGTCTGTAAACTTTATTGGAACTACATGTTAGAAAAATGGTAACACTTTATTTGGAGTGGTCCTTTGTAGATGATTAATAAACACTTAACAGATTATCAGTAACATGTCAACAGTGTTATCAGTGAAGCAGCAGCAGTGACGCATCTGAATACACTGAAGTAAATATCTTGTAGATGTTCTGTTGATACATTACTTACATTAAGTAGATGGAAGTACGTTACCTCCATTAAGCAAAACCTAACCTTACCCAAACTTACGAAAACCTAATCATAATCCTGGTCCTAATCTTAACAATAACCTTAACCTCAACCCAAAACCTAATCCTAACCCTGTTCCTAATCCTAAACCCAACCTTAACCTCAACCCAAATCCTAATCCTAACCTTTACCCTGGGCGTAATCCTAACCATAACCTTAACCTCAACCCAAAACCTAATCCTAACCCTAGTCCTAATCCTAAACCTAACCTTACCCTCAACCCAAAACCTAATCCTAACCCTCTCCCTGGCCCTAATCCTAACCCTCATATGTTTTTGACATGTTACTGAGAGTCTGTTGAGTGTTTGTTTAATCTAAAATGCCCACTCAGAATAAAGTGTGACCAAAAATATAGTAACAAATACAAATAAATGCATTTTTAAAATGTATTTAACAAATACATTTTGGCCATTTTCATGTTTTGCAAAAACATATTTGATAAATACATTTGGATTATATATATATTTCCCTATGGACACAGAGGGGCTTGTTTTAAGGCCTCCCAAAGTGAACATTGTGGGAAGTCTAATTCAAAACAGGTGATCTTTTTGGAAGCTTTCATGCATCAGATAACGTAAACAAAATCTATTTCAATTTTATCACGTTCATATTTGCTGTTCTACTTTGTGGTCAGTAATAAGTTTGCCAATTCTTGCCGCAGCCTCTTTTCACTAAGCACACTGTGAATCACTGTGTAGAGTAAAACACAGGAGAAAAAAAAGCACTAATTATTTTGATGCATATATTTTCATGTATTTAGGTTAAAGAGCTTCAAGCAGCACAGAACTAGATTAACCCGACTGGACTGTTAAAACTAGCCCTCAGTCTGTTAGTTAACCCTGTAGTAAGTTTATATTTTACATTATATTTTATAATTTACATTAAGTTTATATTTACATGTGTAGCAGAGGTGTATAGAGATGCGCTGCTTGTACTAAATAATATTAGTCTGGCTCAGTTACTTTAAAATGATATAGCAGATTTCTTAACGCATAGTCAACAGCAGGCATCAGTGTTTGGCATGGTTTTCTGATTCTCAGGGAATGGAATCTGAATCCCCTCCATCATTTAAAACCTTGCTTTCTGAAATGGTTTCTTCTATACATTTGGGAGATTATGATATATTAATACAGGCTCAGGAAATATTAGGATATATGGTACCAAGAAATGCCTCTTGTTCTTTACATTGTGTGTAAATTTCCCAAAGAAATGGTCTAAAATTATTTATATATATATATAAAATTACTGCTATATATACACACATGTTGGTTGTGCTGTGCTCTGCCCTGTGTTCCCTATGTCCACACTCTGCTTATGTATTTTCACCATGCCTACAGTGTGTGGTGTTAGTGTGGATTGTGGTCCGGTGGGTTTGACCTGTTATCTGCCCGTTGATCAGGTTTGCTGTACAGAGTGACAAAGATCTGAAAGAATGTTAGCAGTATAAACAAAACAGGATAAACAGATTCTCTTAACAACTGGGTGCCATAAATAAGACAATGAACAAATGAGTGTTTGTGTTGCTTCTTGAGGTGTTCAGAATGTTTAAGTTATTAACTTCTCTGTTGTTTAACCCCATAAATCCTTATAAGTCGTACAGATTTTTTGCATTTTTATACTAAAAAAAGCCTGATTTGGTCCGATTTTAGTTTTTTGATCATTTATTTTTTTAATGGATCATCTGTGATACAGTAGGCTTTTATATCTGCTTACACAGAAACATTTGGTTTAACGTTTAGTTCACTGTGTCAGCTAGGACTTAAGTATTGTTAGCAAAATGAGGACTCAATCTGATTAAATGAAGTAATTAGCTGATTAGCTGTTAAAGGTGGATTAGGTGATTTATTTTGGAAACATTTTTTGGTAAATTTCTTGAAATACTCTTTACATCCCGATAACAATCCATAAATCAAATGATCTGACTGAAAGAAATTGTTATCTGTGGAGGCTACAGGACTGTAAAACCCTGTCCAGTCATTCTATTCAGACCGAATGAAATGACTGGATGGCCTCCCTGCCTGTCTACCTACCTACGTCATGACCTGCCCGCATGCGCGCCTGCACATGCACTCATTTGTGCATGTGCGGATTCCGTCATACGTCTCTATACAAACACACACACGCGCACACAGAGCTGAAAAGTAGCGAGCTAGGTTCACTAAAAAGTAGTACAGGTACCTTGACTGCTAAAGAAAGAAAGAAAGAAAAGGAAGACAGAAGTAGAAAAGGCTTCAAACAAAACAAGGTTGGATTAAGCATGAGGTCAAACCACGAGGCAGAAGTTTGCTTCATATTCGACAGCTTCTTGTTCGAATTATACCGTTCCACCTTAAATGGTGCAGCAGTTACATTCAGGCGCCAGAATGTAACTGCTGCACCATTTAAGGTGGAACGGTATAATTCAAACAAGAAGCTGGCGAATAAAAAGCTGAATTTAACTAAATTTAGTTGTGGCTTTCCAATAGTGGCAAAACCTGAGGGAGCTGAAAGGCCTGGAAAGCGACACAGCTTTCATTGCGTTCTGGGGCCGTCTTAAGTCCGAAATCTGTTTGGTCCCCATGACAACTTCAGTTAGGACTGAATTCAGGACCGAAGCTATTACCGAACAACAGCTCATAATCTTATCTATTCACTATCCAAACAGTATTACAGAAACATCCTAACTAGACTAAATTTCCTAAACACCGTCCTAACTTTAAGATGAACCCCAGAAGTGTCTTAATGTCTGTTTTAACCGTCTGCTTCTATTGATTAATGCAGTGACAGGCAGCACAGTGACAGCCAATCAGAAAAGAGCACACTGATATTTATCAGTCTTAACCGGCATAATGATGCTACATTTATCTACACTGAAAACGGTGCTTTGACTTGTGAGGATTTTTTTCCGAATAGTGTTTTAAAAGCCCTAGACGCTACAGACACGATCTCCACCATCCCCTCTTATCATCTTTGTATATTAATGTTTGATAAAAACTGGTCAGAGAAAATATTACAGTGATGGTGGTGAATAATGAGGAGGCGGAGCTGAACGTGTGTCTGTTTATTAGGAGGAATAATAGTTTTATTTGATCTTCTTTACGTCAGTAACGGTAGCTAACAGTAGCTGTCCGGCTAAGTAACTTCATGACGTGTTTACGCTTTAGCTGTGTGCGTATGATTGGTTGCTAGGCAACAGATATGACATGTGATTGTCGACTTCCATGGAGTAGGTTCAGATGTCCTGACTTGAGATAAGATGCTGTAAGACAAGAGAAAATTCCTACATTAAGATAAGATTTTTTTTTCTGTAATAAGAATTTGTGAAAAATCTTGACCTGTGAAATAGTTCAGTTTCTGTAATACGCCCCCTGTTGTACAGGTAATCAGCTGGTTTGTTTTGTTTATGGGGGAATTTGTTATTTTCCTGAATTGCGTAACCTACTAAGCTGTAGGTGTAAGCTAGCTAGCTATGTTTATGTGTGTGTATATGTTCGTAGGCTGTGTGCATTCATGTGTTTTGGGGGAGTGGCTTTGAAAGGAGGGCTGAAAGTAGGTGGTTGGGATATTTTTGGTTGTATTTTTTTAATAAGTCGCTGGTTTCTAAAAAAAATCACCTATTTCAGCTTTAAACAGAACATGAGAATCAAACAAAAAGCCCCAGAATTTGTAAGCAATGCAATCAAAATATGAAAGTATAGCCTTTTACACATAATACCTGCAGATTCAAATTAAATACACGCAGTGGTGGACAGTAACTAAGTACATGTAATTCGTTACTGTACTTAGGTAGTTTTTTGTGTGTCTGTACTTTACTGAAGTATTTCCACTTTGGGTGACTTTTTACTTTCACTCCACTACATTTCAAAGTAAAATATCTTACTTTTTACTCCACTACATTATGAGAAATCTGTCGTTCCTTTTGGTTTATGTGTGTATAAAAACGTAACATGTCAAAATGAAAGAAGCATGAATCAAAAACACCAATCAGGGCACAGCGCGCACTTAGTTTTGAGCTTGTTTTGACCTGTTGGACATACCGACCCAGTGCAAGCATACTTTTTTTGTTTTTGCTAGTTTACGTTTATGAACAGAGACCTACAGATGCAGTTTAGTAAAGGAAAACTCATTTGTGAATCTGAGTTTAAAGCAAGTTTTTCTTAAACTTAAACTTGTAACTAAGTTGCAAATAAATCTTAAACTGAAACTTTGCTTGTTTGCAGAAAGTTATTTCAGAGCCTCTCAGTTCTACCTGATGGAAACTGTTTGCCTTCAGTGTTTTGTGCTCATGATAACTTTAATAGACATCAGCGTCGCTAATTAATGACATTCTATTAAAAGACTGGTTTACCAAGAGTGACACTGGAGTATTTCCACCTAAAATGAGTTAATGAAGCAGAGACTTGTTATAAAAACAGTAATAGGACATCAGAGCCATAATTAATCTTTTAGTACTTTTCCTTTTGATACTTAAGTACATTTGAAGGCAAGTACTTTTGTACTTTTACTCAAGTGGAGGTCTGAAGGGAGGAACTTCTACTTTTACTGGAGTAATATTTTACCTTGCGTATCTCTACTTTAACTCAAGTACATGGTTTGTGTACTTCGTCCACCACTGGATACACGTTCTCAGCCCAAAATTGCAATATTACAAATATTACGCACAGGTTTATACACTCTTATGATTAATTGCTTCCTTTTAGCAACTCTGCCTTGATCTGTTTTCTTGTGTTTCTACCAGGCAAACAAGCATTTTGTAATTTGTTTGGTAAATACAGTCGTATGCAAAAGTGTTATATTTTTGTATAAGTTTTGTATTTTGTGTTTTGTTGATTTTATAAGTGAAAATAACACATTATCTACAGGGAGCATACATAAAAAATGTTTCTGCAAATTTTAGTGCACAATTTCTCTTTATTTTGTATTTTTATTATTAAAAATGTTATTATTAAATTAAATATTATTATAAAATTATCACATTATTATAAAATGCCATTTTTAAAAAATATTGTGGTTTATGTTTTTCCCCAGTATGTTAAATTCAGCAAGTAAACAGTAACTGTGCATCACTCTGTAGAGGATGTGTTATTTACATCAACAAAACATCTAACAGAAATATCTGATTGGGTCCAACTTGAATTCATTAGCTAATCTAAAGACTTGTTAGGTATGTTGTTTTAGGGTTAATATCCCCTTGAATTTCTCTATATGCTTCCTTCTCTTTTCTGTCTCCGACTGTTCCATGCGAATGCAGTCTAGTTGCCATTTACGTTGAAATCTCCCCCGTTTACAGTGTACCATAAATAGGTTTAACCTTAGTATGGCCTGGATGCAGTTATCACAGCATTATAGGGAATTACTGCATCACGTAAAAGAAGAAAAAAAACTATGTCTGACATTTTTGTAGGAATTTGGAGGTCAGGAGCATCTGACAGAGCCTGTGGCAGAAAAAGGGAGGCAGAGAGTCAAGAGACCAACCACTGGAATCCAGTGACCACAGCGCAGCGTTTCAGTGGAAGAAAAAGACAGCAAAAAGGAACGTAGGCTGGAGTTAACCAGTCTTCTGAGTCCAAAAGAAAACACAGTGTCCCAACAATTGAACTGCCAAGTGTGAGTGCAAGCAGATATAAACATTTGTGAGTGCTAAGGCCACGAGGGGAGTTGCCTTTTTTTCTGCTGAGTGCTCTGTGTTTTTGTTTATGGTTTAAGTTTCTTTGCAGGACATCTTTCGCTTAGATCTGGACGTTAAACTACACCTGCGGATCTCTTTTGCTTGTTTTGTTTTAGGGTTCTTTTTGTATGGATTTCTTCGGAAAATCGCCACGTCGACTCTGGACGCGTACCCGTGATTACACCGTGTGGTGTGAATTACATAGTTGACAACCTACCCGCATTTGGAATGGATATCAAAGACCATGTATGTGGCAGAAACATGGAACGTGACCATTTCATGAGACAAAGTGGGGAAAAAATATTTTGGGATTCAAAGGAGTGTTTTACTTGCCTGCTGATTGCACAGTAATCCATCTCATTCTAAGAAAATGGAGATGTCTGCTGGATCTACTGTTGTGCCTGAATACTCTGCATCAGCCTCGGGACACAATGGACCTGGAAATGCAGAACTATCAAATGGTTCTGAAGAAGGCCAGGGTAAGTCATCGGTAGCCCAGATGCGCTCCACTTCTGCTAGGTTCCGTATCCGCTCGGCTAAAGACCGAATGCTGGAGCCCACCAAGGGCCTGAAAACAGGCAGTAGATTTGAAGGTGAGGCGATTGTGAGTAGAGGCAGCAACAACAGTGGGAAGGAGGTGCCCAGAGTTTGCCCACATTCTCCACCATCTCCAGACTCTGTAATCAACGAAAGGACACCTAGAGCTCTGAATCAGGTCAGTGTTGCAAAGGACCCAGAATTGCCCTCTGAGCTAAGCGATGCGACTCAAGGGAAACCAGATTGTGCTGGCAGCCTGACAACCACAGTGAGGGGAAGAACAGAATGGAGAGGAGCGAATCTAACAAACAGAAGCAAGAGCTTAGACTGGAGGGGAAGTGACAGAGGAATGATAAGGAACACTAGTGACTTTAAAAGGAGCCCCAGAATACGTTCGGAGAGCTTTGAAGAAACAGGCAACAGTCCAAATTCAAAAGAACCGCCAAGCCCATCAAGTAGAGTATCATTAAGAATTCAAGCATTCAACGCAATCGGTCAAGGAAAGCAGGATAGCACTGATAACTTTTCCCCAGTGGTATCCGGATCTTCGTCTGTTAGAACGGGCCGGGTAGCTCTTGCCCTGGAACGGGCAACTGGTGGCCAGTCTCTCCCATCCAGACTAAAACTTAAAGAAAGCCAGGACATCACCGAGGACAGGAAAAGTCCCTGGTGGAATTCTGGACAGAGTAGTCCCAAGCCAGATCAGGCAGAGGTCCAACTAAGGTCTCAAGTCAGTGGATCAAAAGTTAGCGAAATAACTGGAAACAAATCTATCCAGGACAGAATTGGGAAGCTCTATGGTTTGAATGCATCTGAGGAAAGAATTGATGCAAACTCGAGAGACTCTATCGCTGCAAAACGCTACTCTGCTCCTGTTGGTGATTGGTTTTCCAGCTTAGATGCTACCGATTCAAATTCAGTTCACAAGAGGTCAACTAATGATACCATGGTTAGGGTGCCATCCTCTTCTTCTTTCAGTCAGTGGAGGAGGGCTTCATATGACACAGAAAAGGGGGCTACCTTCCCGAGAAAGTCCAAAAAGGATGGAATTGATTTCATGTCTTCAACAGACACTCCATCTGTTTCACCCAACTGGAACGTGAGAAAGGACCCCTTATCTAACACACCAGTACCTCCAGGGTCAGCATCGTCTAAAGAAAGGCCCCTTGATGAACATTCAACTCATTTGCTGAGTGGAAGCAGTGAATGGAAAGGAGAATCCATGGTTCTAGGAACAAATTCTCTAGATAGAGCAAGGGGCAGGAAAAGTGTACCTGCACGTTTAAGTGTCCTCACGACTGAGTCTTCATTTTTGGGTTGTGAACTAAGCCCACCTAGCGAAGCTGCCCATCCTACTAGACATGAAACCATCGGGAAAGAGATGGAGAAAGACAGGCATGGAGAGAAAACAACTGATAATTTAACACATGTCAAAGCTGCAGAGACAAGTCAAAGAAATGAAGAAATTCATTTATTTGGTCAGTCCAAACCTCAGTTCTCCCGAAGTATGACGGTAGATGGTGAAAAATATAAAGGAAGTGAGGATGAATTCAAATTTGGCTCATTAACAATTCCAAGAATGAAGAAGGAAGGCTCGCAGGAGAAAGCCCAAGTACCGTCCTTTGATTCAGTGCGAAACACAATTCACAAATTTGAAGCTCTTGCTCAACAAAACAAGACTCCGTCCAAGACACTTGGTCCCAGAAGAACCTTTTCAGTTCCAGAAAAGCCTAAATTTGTGCCATTAGTGACCAAGAGCAGCTCAGATAAATCTCTAGATAATTGGAAGGGTTTCTGGAACACAAGAAGCCTGAAAGAGAAGGTCCAAGGAGAGGTTGTGAGTCCCCCTGTTCTGTCCAGACCTGCCCAGACCACAGCAATTAATACCGAAGGCTTGACAATGAAAACCCAGAGTACAGTTGGTTCCAGACAGGAACTACTGGATACATTTGCATCTGAACAAAGTAACGAGGCCAAGGACGATGTTAAAGATGATATGAAAATAAATGTCATGAACAGGCATATGGATGAGCCAGATTTTTCCAAAGCTGGTCAACAAAATATGAAAAATGTTGACTCAACTGAAGAAAAGGTTAGAAATAATCTCAACGCTGCAGCTTCCCAAAAGTCCAGTGGAGCCACTGATGCATCCCACCCAGACTTGTCACAGAGCAAATGTTCATTAGATGCCAATGACAGAGCCAATCTCCAAACCCAAGAGCTTCCTCCAAGCAATGCAAGGACGAAAGATGCTAAAGCATTTCAAACATCAGAAAGCACCAATGACTCAGTGTCATCCACCTCCGTCAAGCCAGCATTGTTACTGACCAACAATACACATTCAAAAGCAGCGTCCAGCAATGGTGGGTCTACAGAACCAGCTCCTGTCGAGGTCATCTCCTCAGCTCCAAGTGCTCTTAATAATATCTGTAGAGATGAAAAGGTAGCTGCCAAAATTTCTAGGTGGATTTCATATGAAGGAGATGATGTTAAAGCTTCTGCTGCTGATGATGACGATGATGATGACGATGACGAAGATGACGAGGGAACAGAGAAAGCAGATGACTCTGATTCAGGAGAATCATCAGTAACCATCACCAGCAACATGAGCCAGTCAGATAACAGGAGTTTTTCTGTAAGGTATGGTGCATAAAGAATGATACATGCAATTCTGTCAAATGATTTTTCAAAATTTCTGTATAATTCAGTTTTGGTGGTGAATGGAACCAGGGGTCACAGTATCTACAACACAAATATAGTCATTTTAGTTACCAACCACTGAACCTACATGTGTCATCTGAGTTTGTAATGTGGATGATGGTAAAATGGTGGTAAATCTGAACAAAATAAGCTATAATCCTTATCACATATAATCTTTGGGCACTGTTTTGACTTACAACAGCTACATGGACCTCATCGCCATGTTTGAAGGTTAGGGTTTTAGGCCAAAATCTCAAAACTAGCGTGAAATAATATCTCAGGTGTCAGGCAGTGTATTTGTAACCCATTCATGTAATAACTTTCTGTGAGGGAGCTTTTAGAAGCACTGAATGTTTCAGATGTCTGGTTCCTATCACCACCACTGGGAACAATTCTGACTTTGTAAGTTTCTCTAGAACAGAGCATTTCACACCAAACCACTCTGAATGGTTTTGTTCACATGTTTGTGATTTAATTATGTAGAATATTTTTAAAATTTGATATGATATTCCCCTTCAAGGACCGTATCAACTAATACTAGTTAACATCTTAGCTATATGGAAAACAGTTTATGTTTATATGGAGAAATATTCCATTTGAAATGACTGACAATATTTGACTTTTTCTTTTCTTCTCTCTTCATTACTCTTGGTCTGTCTCTCCTTCTTTTTTCTCCGTCCACTCACTTTCCTTTTCAGTCTTGTGGACCTGTGTAATCTGGGAGGACTGGACTACCCTGCCTCAGATGGGAATGGCTCAAATGATGAGGAGAAGTGGATGTCTAGGCGGTCTGCTTCTCTGAGCTCAGACATCTCAGTCCTGTCCAGTGTGACGCTGCTGGGCACTGAGGAGCTGGACTGCCTATTAAACGATGTCAGGGGCCTGGGAAACGACACCTTACAGGTACTACACCCCAACAAAGTGTCCCTCCTTGAGCCAGATTTGCCAGTTCCATTAAAGAAGTAAAATTAGTCAATGGTCGATTATTAGTTATTGGTTAGAATTGGTATTTAGGATTCAGTCGGTGGTGTTTGGATTGAGCACAGCTATGCGCAAGTCTACAATAAACCACATGGTAAAGGATGTAAAGCAGGACTAGACAATAAGAAACGACAAACACCATGGTAGTTGCAATAAAAGTTCACACCTCTGGTCAAATGACATGTTTCTATGTAAAAAATAACCTTCTACACTTAAATATGGCATTTTCTGCACATTTTAGTGCACAGTTTCTATTTATTGGCTGAGTTTAACCATAACTTTGGCACAGGCTGCATTTTTTGGTCTATTTCTCCCCCAATATGTTAAATTCAGCAAATAAACAGTGCATGTATATAAAATGTACTATAGGTTTTCTCTATAGAGGACCAAGGGTGCCCGAAATTTTGTATACAACTGTATTCACAGTGTTGTAACTAGGATCTTATGGACCCCAGAGCAAGAAACTGAAAGGCCACCCATATGAAAAATGAATAAGAACACAGTTTGTTTGTTTACTCATTATGGCTAGTAAAGAGCATGTAGGCATATAGTTGAGTTGTATAGTTATACCTCTCCATGAGTAGTGGGTGTAAAATCACACCTGGTTACCACGGAAACCCCATTGGCGCCAGTGCGATTACTCTGCACTAGCAGTAGATACACCACTCTGTACATACATCCTGCAGATGATGTAAAGGTGTAACATAATATTTAATAATAATGTTGGACATATAATTAATTGACACATAAAATTATGGTAATACTGCAAATGACCATTTTGTATTTAATTAGGGATTATATGCATGATTTTAGTGAAATGAAGCAATGTGTACAGTTCTATGCAAAAGTGTGCAAATTACATGCTTTGTTCAGTTATTAAGTGAAAATAAGTTACCACAACAAGATGAAATATGGCATTTGTCTGCAGAGTTTAACTTGCTGAAAGACAAAAAATAAATGAATAAACATGAATTCTGCCGTAACTTTTGCACAGGCCACATTTAATATGTTAAATTCAGCAAATACACAGTAATTTGTGCATTTATTTATAAGTTGTGCATTAAAATGTACAGAAGTGTGTTCTCTGTAGAGTATGTTCACTTGGAAAACACTTCACCGGCATCACCGGGGTGCCAAAACCATTGCATACGACTGCATACTCTTCATATAATAGTGTTGAATAATAGTCAGTGTGGAGAATATATGTCCTACTTACCATCATGTTTCAACCATCAACTGTATTCCTGTTATATTGCAGAACTGCGAGGACGTACAGGTGGTGGTCCTGCATAAGGAGGTGGGGAGGGGACTCGGCTTCACCGTGGCAGGCGGAGTGGATCAGAACAAACCCGTCACTGTAAGACTTTATCACCGATGCACCTTTTCATTCACAAAGTAACCAGAAGATTCATTTGTAGTTTGCCTGTGACATTAGTGGTTGTAGAACTGTCTCACTGTCAAAGTGAGCAGGCCAGTTTTACGCAGTACTGGTTTTCCTCTCTAATAGTAGATCCTGATCATTTAAACCACAGGAGCGTTTAAAGTTGAAAGTCAATGAAGCACAGAAATAGAATTTTGAGCAACAGTGTTTGTGATGGAATTGCAAATCACTGAAATGGACCAGCTGAAACATGTCTGACAATGAACAGAACCCACTAGCTACCAAATAAAGGGGAATTCCACTGATCTTGCAAAATTTCTGTATAACTCAGTAGTTGAGATGTGAACAAAGTCAGTCAGAGTGGTTTGATGTAAAATGCTCCATTCTAGACCAATTTAATAACTCGGATTTCTTTACAGTGGTGGTGAATGGAACCAGGGGTCTCAATGTCTACAACACAAATGTAGCCTTTTTATTTACTACCCAAAATCAAAATCTGTACGTGTCTGAGTTTTTATATCTAAAGTTAATGATATTAAATTAATTATAAATCTTAAAAAATGTTTTCTTAGGGGACCATTTTGCCTTACAACCCTGCATGCATCTCTCAATTTTTTTAAAAACTTGATTTTTATCAAAACTTTTATCTTTATTTAACATTATTGTAAAACAATGCCTCAGGCATCAGGCAGCACATTTTATGTAATAATGTTCCGTGAAGGAGCTTTTAGAGACATTCAACTCTTTAGACGTCTGGTTCCTATCACCACCACTGCGAACAATTCTGACTCTAATTCTGAGGTTCTCTGGAACAGAGCATTTCAAAACACTTAGCAAACAGTTGAACAGTTTAAGTCTGCAGAATGTTTAAAAAATTGGTGGAATTCCCCTTTAAAACATCCATTGGCCCAATGCCAATCATTTTTTTCATTCTCTTTACTCGTTAAAAGTGCACTATACAATTCTGGAGAATGACTGATATTTGAACTCAACAGCAAAACAAATACACCCCACATCCTTTCAATGCTCCCTCAGAAGCTCCGCCCCCAAATTCATGGACACGCATTGCCAAGGCGAACAACACCGGGCTAGCCTACTTGTATTTTTAAGATCTTCAGCTGCTGTCACCTACGGACCTACTGTTTCTGTGAAACAGCAAAAATAATTAATTAAATTAATTAAGTTGCCCTTTATTAATCCCACAACAGGGAAATTCACCTCTGCATGTAACCCATCTGTGCAGTGGAACACCACATACACACTAGTGAACACACACACTAGGGGGCAGTGAGCACACTTGCCCAGAGCGGTGGGCAGCCCTATCCGCAGTGCCAGCAGCTGGGGGTTAGGTGCCTTGCTCAAGGGCACTTCAATCGTGTCCTGTCAGCTCAGGGGATCAAAGCGGCGACCTTCCGGTCACAAGGCTGGTTCCCTAACCTCCAGCCCACGACTGCCCCTAAGTTAATGTTGCCCACCTGTCAAGCAGAAACAAAGCACCCTCCTTATACATTATAATGCTGTTCAACTCTTTCAATGAAGTTAAAGTCAGCTTCTTATTCGTCACTTCTTGTTCGAATTTTCCTGCTCCACCTTAGATGGTGCGGCAGTTACATTCAGGTGCCTCAGGCGCAGAATGGAACTGCTGTTTGATTTAAGGTGGAATGGGAAATGTGAATAGGAAGCCAAATTCAACCTTGTCACCTTCTCTTTTTTTTGGATTTTTTCCCCAATTTTCTCCCCAGTTTAGTCGTATCCAATTCCAGCCACTAGTTAGGACTCCCCCAATCACCTGATACCACCAGCACTAGGAGGGCGAAGGCAGCACAGGCCTCCTCGGAGACCTGTGAAGCGCCCCCACATCTTTCCGAACTGCAACTAACGCAAGGTCATTGGACAGCCGAACGCGCCAGGAGGAAAGCGCCAACCACTAGATCTGTTACGTCAGCTAACAGACACCTGCACTGACTAGCATCGCGTTGAGTGATGGGGGGAGAGGGAGGGCCACCCTACCCACCCAAACAGAGCGAGGCCAATTGTGCTCTCTTGGACTCCTGGCTATCATCACTGGGGATCAAATTCACGATCTCCTGATGAAGGGGACAATTTAGTGGAGGAACATTTGGAAGGTTGCTTTAAGCTGAACGTTGAGGAGGGCAAAACAAAATGTGGGGAGAACCAACGTTTTCACAGGGCTAGACTAATGTGCACATGCATCCAGACCAGCTATGAAAACAAAAAACAGAGAAGCTTGAATTACAACACACACAAAGGAGGTGTAACTTCCTTCTCTGCTCAGGATGCAGTTACACCACTATATCTTAACATAGATAATAGCCATTTGCTGCTACATAAATATATGTTTAAAATGTCATATGTAGAGCCTTTAACCACATTAACTTTTTCATCAAACCATTCCTTCTCAGGTCCACAGGGTCTTCCCCTGCGGTGCAGCAGGTCAAGAAGGATCCATCCAAGAAGGTGACCAGGTGCTGTCAATCAATGGCACTGCTCTACACAACTCCGCCCACTGGGAGGCCCTGCGTACCCTAAGAAGGGCAAGGGGGCGAGGTATGGCAGTGGTGGTCCTCAGGCGAGGTAATATCGCCGAAACACAGCACGGCACCAAAGACGGCCTCCAACAACCAGCTGGAAAGCCAGGTGAGAGGATGTTCCCTGTTATTACGTTAGTCGTTGAAAGGGAGGCAACTGGCAGCCTTCCGAACATGTCACTCATTCTTGTGGCTTTTTTTTTCCAGTCTGGAGTGGTGTGTCTGTGTTTCCTCCAGCAGGCAGCAGAGTTCGGGTGACTTTGACTAAGTCTAGTGCTGACTTGGGCTTCAGTCTAGAAGGAGGAGTGGGCTCCAGCCTTGGAGACAAACCCCTCACCGTACAGAGGCTATTTCAGGGTGAGTTAAAGTTCCATTCTATGTCAATAAGCTTAAAATGGTATAAAATGTTGGACTTACTGCTCAAAAGTTTGGAATCAGCATTTTCAGGTTTATCACTATTTTAACTATTATTGATACAACAACTAAAAACTGAAACATGAGAAGTCGAGTGGTTTATTTTTGAAAGAAGAACCTTTTTATTATTTATTATTTTCTAATTATGTAGAAAAGTAAAGCATTTTTAACAGTAAAAAGCCTGCTCTCCCCACTGCCGTCACATTAGCACTTATCAGAGTAATAATTGCTGTATATTCTCAATATCTATGTACACTATATGGCCAAAAGTTTGTGGACGCCCTCCTAATTACTGAGTTCAGGTGTTTTAGCCTCACCCGTTGCTAATGGGTGTATAAAATCAAATGCACAGCCATCCAATCTCCATAGGCAAAGAGCTCAGTGACTTTAAACACAATGGGATTCCACCCTAGATCTCAGCCCTGTTAGAACTGCCCCGGTCAACTGTAAGTGCTATTATTGAGAAATGGAAGCGTCTACAGCTCGGCCAAGAAACAGCAGACCACTCAAACTCACAGAGTAGGGCAGCCGAGTGCTAAAGCGTGTAGCATGTAGTGTAGCATGTAAAAATCAGCTAATGTCTGTTGCATCACTCGCCACAGAGTTCCAAACTGACTCTGGAAGAATGCTAACTACCATAACGCATAGTGCCAAAAGAAAAGTTTGGTGGAGGAGGGATAATGGGCTGGGTTATTTTTCAGGGTTTGGGCCCCTTAGTTCCAGTGAAGGATAATGGTAATGCTACAACATGTAAAGACATTTTGCCCAATTATATGCTTCCAACACTGTGGCAGTTTGGGAAAGGCCCTTTCCTGTTCCAGCATGACTGTGGCCAGGGCACAAAATGAGGTCATGGCAGGCGAGTCTGCTGTGGTTTGACGGTTTTGGTGTGGAGGAACTCCACAGAGCCCTGACCTTAACCACACTGAACATCTTTGGAATGAACTGGAATATCGATTGTGAGCCAACATCAATGTCTGACCTCACAAATGCCTTTTTGACTGAATGAGCACAAATTCTCAAAGACACTCTCCAAAATCTTGTGGAAAGCTTCCCAGAAGAGTGGAGGCTGTTATAGCCACAAAGGGGGACCAACTCCAGCACATTGCCATGCAGTCTCCTTAGACAAACACTGGCTGAAGAATGGGTCGTACTGAAGAGCTCAGTGACTTAAAACGTAGCGCTGTCATAGGATGTCACAAGTCAGTTTATGAACTTTTCAGCCCTGCTAGATCTGCCCCAGTCAACTGTAAGTGCTATTTTTATAAAATGGAAGTGCCTAGGACAGTGGTGGACAGTTATGAAGTGAATGTAATTCGTTACTGTACTTAAGTAGTTTTACTTTCACTCCACTACATTTCAAAGTAAAATATCTTAATTTTTACTCCACTACATTATGAGAAATCTGTCGTTCCTTTTGGCTTCTGTGTGTCAAAATGAAAGAAGCGCAAAGCAAGAGCACCAATCAGGGCACAGCGCGCACTTTGTTCTGAGCTTGTTTTGACCTGTTGGACATACCGACCCAGTGCAAGCATACGGTTCTACGTCAAGTTTGGGAGTGCCTGTGCCAACATAAACGATGGATGAAACTCCTGACACCAACCTAACTTTGTGTAAATAGACCACAATACAGAAATATGTACACATATGCAGTTGTGACTGACGTGTCTTTTTTCAGAATTTATGCAAAGATTATTTCTTTTTATAGTAACTTTGTTTTGGCTGGTTTATGTTTATGAACAGAGACCTACAGATGCAGTTTAGTAAAGGAAAACTCATTTGTGAATCTGAGTTGAAAGCAAGTTTTTATTAAACTTAAACTTGTAACTAAGTTGCAAATAAATCTTAAACTGAAACTTTGCTTGTTTGCAAAAGGTCATTTCAGAGCCACTCAGTTCTACCTAATGGAAACGGTTTGCCTTCAGTGTTTTGTGCTTATGATAATTTTAATAGACATCAGCGTCACTAATTAATGACCTTCTATTAAAAGACTGGTTTACCAAGAGAGACACTGGAGTATTTTCAACTAAAATGAGTTAATGAAGCAGAGTCTTGTTATAAAAATCATAATAGAACATCAGAGTCATAATTAATCTTTTAGTACTTTTACTTTTGATACTTAAGTACATTTGAAGGCAAATACTTTTGTACTTTTACTCAATATATAATATTGTACCTTGGGTATCTCTACTTTAACTCAAGTACATGGTTGGTGTACTTTGTCCACCACTGGCCCTGAAGTAGTAGACTACACAACCTCACAGAGTGGGGCGGCCGAATGCTCAAACACATAAAAATGGCCTATCCTCTGCTGCATCACTCACTACAAAATTCCAAACTGCCTTTGGAATCAAAAGGAATTCCTCTTTAACAAGAAGACACCGTTACAATTTAAACCCCCTCCTGTTTTGTCCTCAGGTGGACCTGTTGGAAAGCTGTGTCCAGGAGATGAGCTGCTGGAGATTGAGGGTCAGAGTTTGGGAGGTTTAAGACGCCTGGAAGCATGGAACCTGATAAAGAAACTGCCCCCTGGCCCTGTGGAGGTGTTACTGCACCGTCCTCACCTGCCTCACTGAGGGCTAGGTCTGGGGAGGTTTGAAGATGTCATCATTGATGATCAACGGTCTTGACCAACAATGTTGTTTTTGCAGTGTTATTTATTTTTTACTTTTGTGTGTATGTTCAACAGTATGATAGAAGCCATCCACAAGCCAGACTCAGATTCATCCATCCAAAAAGTGCAAAAAACACCAAGCCCAAATTTGAGTTCCACTTATTTTTCTACATTTCTGCATAATTAAATGGTTAAGATGTAAACAAAGTCATTCAGAACAATTTAGTGTTCCAGAGCAGGGGTGCACAACTACAAAGTTTGGTGATTTACCTGCTCAAACACACCTGATTACACTCCTCTGTTAATAGCCAGATTTATTGAGTGTGTTTCGGGGGTGGGGGGAACTACCAAACGGTCCTAGACACTGGCCCTCCAGGATCAGAGTTTAGAACGCTGTTTTAGGGAAACTTACCAACTCAGAATTGTTCACAGTGGTGATAGGAACCAGATGACTGAAGATTTGAATGCCTCCAAAAGCTGCCTGATGCCTAAAACTTGGTTTACGATAGTTTTGAGATAAGATTTTGGGCTAAAACGTATTTTTAAAAACACATTCATGGCAGAGAGGTACATGCAAGGCACTATAGTCCCATAAGAAAACGTATTTTATCAGATTTTTCACATCATCAACATTACATATATAAACTCAGAAGACTCGTGTAGGTTCACTGGTGGTTTTGGATAGTTAATAAAATGGCTATATTGGTGAACTTTGGCTATTATCACCACCACTGTGTAGAAAGAGATATGGTAATGTATTTAAGCTCAACTTTGACAGTCAGAAGGCACTGCAAGAGCTTATTTAACGCCACCATGTGGTTAAATTATAGAATGCACATTTTAAAAAAGTTTATATTTAGGCCAACAGACTGTCGATTATTTTTTATTTTTTAATATTACGGTCTATTGGGATATTTAAATAATACTGTCTATAATACTGTCTATTAATAATACTGTCTATTGGGATATATAAACATATCCCAATAGACCTCATTGCCCAGCTTCACTGAGGGCCACCAGCCTGTTCACTTATGGAGCCATAGCACTGTGCTATCAGATAACAATGGAGCAGCGTTAACTTCCCACTTTAACTGACATGCAATGACCTTGTTTCAGAATTATGCATCGGTACTCTGGCATATCCACTCCTATGTATAAAACAGAATGCACTATGTTTTGCCTTTTTATATAATGATAGATAGTAATAATGAATTGCTGTACAGAATAGTTTTCAGGGAAATCAAAAGCACTGGAAGTCTAAAATAAGAGGAAGCTTCAAATATGGTCTCTGTGGAGATCCATTATTTCATCAATTGTATGTTCACACAAATACATATTTTTTCATCATTTAAGCAAATGCTTCTTTTAATATATTGTACAGTATGGATCCTTTACTAAGTATAGATCCGTCCTATTTTACAGGGTAGTCTGCTTATATTTTACACTCTGTATATTAAACTTTCCTATTAAATCAAACTGGCAACCATGCTGTTCTATCAGTGTTCTATTCTGAGTCACTTTGTGTGTAAGAATAGTGTAAAAGCTTTTACTGAGCTGTTCTGAAGGATGAGTGAAAGACAGCTGTGCTTCCTCCACCGCATCTTTTCAAACCGCTGCTAACGCAACATCATTGCACGGCCGAACACACATTGAGGATGATGCTATCTGCTAATTCTGTTATGTCCGTGGTGGGGGTGGGGGGACCATCCTATCCACCCAGAGAGAGTGAAGACAATTATGCTTTCTTGGACATCCAGCTACGGATGGCTGTGGCATCGCTGGGGATCGAACTCATGACCTCCCGCTGAGAGGGAAGTTAGGCCTTGTTCAGACAGGCAGCTCAAATCCAATTTTTTTGGCATATCCGATTTGAGCAGGGCAGATTTTCTGCAGTCTAAACGACAAAAAGTTACATAAATATGACTTTTTACAATCAGATTCAAGAAATCTGATTCGAAACATTGTTCTGGATATGTGACTCAGTTTGACCCCGTTTACACCTGATCACTTCATTTGACTAGTATCTGGATTGTACCCTGATAAGATTTTAGCCACATGCATTTACGCTTCGTAGTCAAATGTGTTAGTCGGACTGACATCTGATTGCTGTGTGGGACGTAATAATGCAAATCCATTGTTAATCCAACTGATTACCAATTGTTTATCTGTTCAGCCTCTTCGTCTGCTGTTTGTTTTGCACAGTAATATCTGTCCATATTGTTATCAAGCATTTCGTTTCATCTGGCCCCCAACCATGTGTGACACTAATCATGTGCCCAGGGATGTGGGAAGAGAGTTTCGGTTCTGCTGGGAGGAGTTCTGGTGGTTGAATGTGTCTGAGTTTACACAGCTTTAACATGTGGCGCAAATGCGTCTCAGACCACCCCCTGAAGTGGTTTCAGTAATCGGGTTTGTGTTAATTGTGTCTTGGGTGCGTTTACACTTGCATGCAGCTTAAAGCTTTCAAGAACAGCCCTTTAGGTAGCCCATATTCTATTCTGTATGTTGTAGTTTACAGTGACTACTTCATTAAAAGATTTGAACTTAAAGTTTCTGAACTTCACTAAAGCCTATATCTTGTTAGCTTTCTGTTAAGAAGGTCAACATACTGTCTGTTCATGTTGTAGTGAAACACTGCTGTGAAATACAGTGCGATCGTTCTATTAGCTAGTTATTGTCATAAGGTTTGCTAAGTTTTGCCGTCACCGTATGCACACAAGCGGCCTTACTACCGCAACCAATGTGGATGTATACGCATGCGAGTGTGACTTCAGTCTGCCCATACAAATCAGATACTGTCAGTTGTAAATCTTAACAGTAGGTCTAAAAAGTCATATACAAGAAACAAATCTGATTTTGGCCCTGCCATGGACTGGCGACCTGTCCAGGGTGTAGCCTGCCTTCCGCCCAATGACAGCTGAGATAGGCTCCAGCTCCCCACTGCGACCCAGAAGGATAAGCAGTTTAGATGATGTATGTATGTATGTAAATCTGATTTTGCCTGTGTGAACAAAGCCTTAGAGTAGCTTTAACTCGCTCTATTTAAGTGTCTTAAAGTTTAACAAAAGTAGTGAGTTTAAAGTTGGGTCTATTTTGTTATGACAAAATACTTATAAAGTTTAAAGACACCTTGTCACAGATTCTACTGTACTGTAATGTAAAGATATTTCTTCATTTGGTGAGATTGTTGTTTAACATACTGGTCCAAAAACCCCAGTAGTGTCCAGCTGCAGCCCAGCAGATCTAACCCCAGGGTGGAGAAAGCCCCAACTTGAATGTTAGCCAACTCGCTAATTCACATTACTGTTAAATAGTTAAGGTGGGGGTTGGGGTAAGGTTCCTCAGCCATGTTAGCTAGCGTAAACCGCTCCTGCAAATTAAGGTTTGGGTTCTAGTTTATTACTTCTTCTACCACTTCTACTAGACTAAAGCAGTTAGCATTTGGTGTAGCTTAGCGGCTAATGCCACTGGCCTCCACACAGCAATGGAATTCCCCACACTACATCAGTAAGAGTTCTTGAGCAAGACTCCTCACGCTACAATCACATCTGTAACATTATTAAACTGTAAGCAGTTCTGGACACTGGAATCTTCCAAACTGCATAACTGTATACCATAAATAAAAGAGTTAAAGTTGGCTAGCTAACATAAGTAGCATGACTTCTCTCACAGAGCAAACGTTTACCTAATGTTAATATGAGTTACCTCACCAGCACTATAGTTTGCTAGTTTTGGCTAACTTTCCCCCAAGCTGGGTCTTCTTCTGCCAAAGCTTGCCTAATCTGGAGCAAATCCCTGATAGCAAGAGGTCAGTGGGCCACTGTTGGTCCGCTGAAGGCAAAGATGTTGGTCCACTGGCGTATTGTTCAGCGTTTTCCAGGTGGCCCTCTGGTATTTAAGCAGAGTAATAAACCAAATTCCAATTATCTTCACTCAATTTCCACTCACAGTCCAATTTAATTATTTTTCTGTCCTTCCTTCCTTTAACTATAATACATCATTTTAATCTAGCACATTGTCAGCAACAACATTTTCTATAAAATCATTTTATATTCGGCCTAGTTATCATTATTTTTTTCTCCCAGTTGTTTGTAACATTTGTCTTAGTTTTTTTTTTTATAAAATAAAAGTCTGTTTGAGGAGATTAAAAACTAGTTAGAGCTTGTATACAGGACAGTAATCTGGGTGGTCCGAGTGTGGACCAGCAGTAGCAAACAGTCAGTGGGATGCCGACCTTATCAAGCCAGGGGACCGATATATGCTTGCTATCTGGGATCAGCTAGCTAACAAAGGAAAGGTCATTTTATCCAACATAACAAGCATACCTTCTCTGAAAGAGCAAACTTTTACCCACTGTCAATGAGTTACCCCACACTATAGTTTGCTTGGTAACTTCAAGCTTGCTAGCCAGTTGGCTAACTTTCCCCCCACACTGAGTTTCCTTCTGCAAAAGTTGAGGCCTTGCCCAACCTGGAGCACAACATTTGGAAATCCCAACTGCCCTTGAAAATAAAAGACATAAAGTTGGCTAGCTAACAGAGAAAAGGTCATTTTATCCAATATAATGATTTCTCTGAAAGAACAAACCTTTACCTCACATTAATGAGTTACCTCACCAACACTATAGTTTGCTAGGTAACTTGGAGCTTGCTAGCCAGCTAGCTAACTTTCCCCCAAGCTGGGGCTTCTTCCGCCACAGGTGAGGCTTAGCCCAATCTGGAGCACAACATTTGAAAACCCCTGCTGCCCTTTAAAATAAAAGAGATAAAGTTGTTTAGCTAACAGAGAAAAGGTCATTTTATCCAACATAACTGGTATGCTTTCTCTGAAAGAACAAACTGTTACCTAACATTAATAAGAGTTACCTCACCAACACTACCCAGATAGCAGACAGTTTTGGGCCGATTCTGGCTTTCCTATGTGAGTGTTGGCTAACTACCGGGTAGATGTTAGGCATGTGGGCCAGAATAGGGCCAGATCCTGGACAGCTTCATACCATTTTGCCTCGTGTCTACATTCGTGGGACAATTCTGGCGTGAATATTGTGGGCCAACGATGTAGTTGGGTCAGATTGGGACCAGATTTGGGCCATATCCAATAGTTCTACTCACGTTACAGTGTGTAGGCCAGATTTGGGCTGAGGACCCAGCCATATACTGGGCCAGAACAAACCAAGGATGTGGCCCACAAGTGAGCCAGACAAATTTTGCTAACTGGGTATAGTTATAGTATAGTATAGTAGCCAGTTGGCTAATTTCACCCTAAACTGAGTCTTCTTCTGGTGGAGCTGAGGCCTTGGCCAACCTGGAGCACAACATTTGAAAACCCCAGCTGCCCCTTTGCATTGCGTGAACATTTCATGATGAATGGGCCAACAGAAGTGGTCCAAAATAAATCTGAATAAAATCATGTTAATTAAAATCACATTACTTTACACACATTACAAGTGAGCATACACACTGCAAAGGTTTGGCATCTATGACTTTAATAAAATTTTAAAAACTGTGCAGATAAATGAATCTATGAAATCATTCTATTATGATGCTACTACTCTACCACTTTACAGATTTCAGCTAATTTGTAGGAAGCGGTCATTTTAGATGTGGTCAGAATGATGAACAGTGCTGATGTTTCTAAGAAGACTAGATCACTGAGAATGAAGTTCTAATAAAATTAACATCCAGAATGCCTCATATTTGAAAACTGAACAAATCTCAGGCAAAGAATTGATCAAAAAATGACTGTTATTATATAAGTACTGTATATTATGTATCATTTAATAACTTTTTGGCGTTTCCAAAAAACAAACATCGCAAAATACCTTCTAGCGTCTAGCTTGTAGTGTTTCAGTCCACACTGTACAAGTTAAAACCTAATAAGGTGACAGTTAATATGAATGGGAGAAGAGCTATCTGAGAGTTCTGGTAGTATCAGAACTAATTTAAACAGGGTTGTATGCACTTTACTTAATGAGCAGCATGTGGAATGTTTGCTATCTGTCTGTTTTATGGCCTGTGGAATCCTCCAGTGTCAGCCTAACCTCATCATAAAGATAATTAATCAATAACTATATGACATGGTAATGTTCTCTGAACTGTTTTACGGAGGCTAATCACTAATACAGATGATTACAGAACAGTACGGTTATCAGCGCAGATGCTCATCATCTCCGTCTCCTTCTCTCTCTCTCTCTCTCTCTCTCTGTAATGAGTATTAATGATTTTATATTTAGAATATAAATAGAGGCCAAAGTGTAATGAATCATATCAGATAATGTCAGTGGTCAAGCTGCAGTTTGCTGCGGTTTGCTAGAAGCTGCAGAGTGAGTGGTCTCAGAGCATTTTGGAAGATCAAATCCAGCAGGTACAGTCCCCAACATGAAGAACAGCATGATGACCAAGGCTAAGAAGCTGATCATGAGGATGAAGATAAAGAACGAGTTGGCCAGGCAATGTCTGGGCGAGATCATTGGCACCTTCGTTCTTCTGGTGAGGTTTCATGTAATTTTTCTGAACATTTTTGGAATAAATTAATCATAACTAGCTTCCAGCAAAATGCAGGTAATGCTGGGTCAATTATGAGCATTAATAAGCAGTATTATCAGCATTATAATCAGCAACTTCTTAGACCACAGTCTCCATCAGGACAAAACTTTGTATGTCCAGTTTTGTCGTTTTTTTTGTTTGTTTGTTTGTTTGTCTGACATAAATTGATCATTCCGCCTGCCTTTTATATTGTGTTAGAACATGATAAGTGGACGAACAGAAATGGCCCATAACTTATGAACAGTTGCATTAGCTGCATTGACTTACATTAAAACATTTTTGCCTTCTCCTGGAAAGTTACTACTTCGGAGATACATATTTTTCTTTAGAATGTCGTATGCAAAGCTTTTAACACCCTGGGTCAAATTACATGTAAGTACAAATAAGTGACCACATCCTCTACAGGGAACAAAGTTAAATATGGCATTTTCTGCCAATTTTAATGCTTTTTTTTCAATTTACTTGCTGAGTTTAATATATTAGGCAAAAAGAAAACATAAAATGTGCCATAACTTTTGCACAGGGAACATTTTATATATATATATATTTTTTCTAACATGTTAAATTCAGCAAATAAGCAGCATTTTGGGCATGCAAAAGTGTGTTCTCTGTAATCATGTCATTTGGACAGGGGATGGGATGCCTAAACTTTTGCATACTCCTGTATTGTGCATATATATATATATATATATATATATATATATATATAAATATATATATATATATATATATATATATATATATATATATATATATATATCCAAAATAACTTTACAGGAGAAGGAAAAAACCTACTTTACTTTAAATGTAAGTCAATGGAACCAGATCTTTTTTCCCAAGTTATTTTGGGCCATTTCTTTTGCTCCATTATTCATTTTCAAATGATGTCAAAAACTGAAAAATGAGCAGTGAGATATATATATATATATATATATATATATATATATATATATATATATATATATATATATATATATACACAATATGTTATTAAAGTATTTGTTAGAAGAATACAGTTCCATTAGCAACACCAAATTTAATTATTTCATTATTTCACTGAATGAGCAACTAATCCAGGTATTGGACGGTAACTGTAAACACTGGACTGGCATAAGATGGTCCTCTTTAACGGTAGTATATATATTTAGAAGTGGTGCTAATGCTAATGCTACTTTCTTTAAGACCGGATTCCTGAGGCGGTCTGCGGAAGACGTGGTGTTGTGTATTAATAACAATTATATTTTGAGTGCATTTCTTGAAAGACGTAGAAAATTGCTTTAGGTTGTGCTGCTCCAAATGACACTGACTGACTTAATTGCTTCACAAAGCTTTTTAGCATATGGTACGGCCAGCGATGGATGTAGTGATTCTGGGGCTCTAGGCAGAAATGGGGCCCCTGGGTGCCCCTGAATGTAGTTCTGGGCCCCTAGTGGTACAACCGTGCAGACCAATGCAAAAATCATATGTTGACAAGTCAAATAATCTCACATGAAATCGTTTCCATATGTGGACTGTATGGACTGAGGAGTGAATGGTAGGTTTTGCAGCTTTAACAATGTTTACAAACTAAAATAATCTCTTTTATTTTCAAAAACGAAGGGAAATTTAATTTTCCATCATATGGAAAATTCTACACAATTCTTTACTTGTTTTAAGTAATTCTATTAAGTGAAATGATCACTATACAGGCAGATAATTTTACTTGTTTTAATAAATATGCTTGAAACAAGCAGAATTATCGGCCAATATAGTGAGATAATTTCACTTAATAAAATGACTAAAATAATAACACAATAAATAAATAATAATAGCAATTGCAAATAACTATTTTTAAAATGTCTATACATTTCTGAATAGGTTATTTAACATCAACTCATACATATTCCATTGGCCAACTGATGACAAATGTAAGATGAAATACTATTCTGGGGTTTCAGTTTCGTTTAAAAAAAAGTTATTAAATAGAAAAAAAAAATCTGATAATTAGCAATTAGTAATCTGAGTTCTTTGGAATATTGCTACAATGTCCTTGGCTCTGTGCACATTAGTAGCCCACTGATTAGAAAATTGTGCTTATCCTATTCAGAGTTCAGAGGATCATTAACCTCACATGACTGTGCCTTATGAAACAGAAATGACCCCACCGGGACAGGAAAACACAACTACTCTGACACTGCAGCACCTTTGGCTGGAAATATGCTTCTTTGCCAGAATTTGAAGCTACAGTTCAGACTACATTCTACATTCTCAAAGTTTTTTTAGGTATAGCAGCATTTAGTTGCAGTAAAAAACCCCAAAGTTTGGCAATACTTGTATGCATACATGTGTATGACTTTATCACGTTATCTGCAGCATCGTGCTGAGAGAGCAACTTGTGCAACTTGTGCAACTGAACACATGCTGTAATATAGAGCACCTAATGACTGCTTTGCATGCAATTTCTTTTTTAGACATGACTATATGACCTTATGACTATATGACACTACTATGCACAAGTTTGAAGTCACTTTTGTGTTATTTTAGATGTTTTTTGAGGAAAGAAAAGAGTTGGGCAGGTATGTGAAATGCTAAAAACACAAAAGTAGGCCTCGCGATTAAAAGACTTGTTTTACATTGAAAACAGTACATTGGTATTTGATGCTTTACCTTATGAATGTTATTTTTTTCTGGCCACATACAGTAATTTCAAATTTAATGCCTGGGTTGCATCACCTTTTCTTTAAGCAACACTTTGTTTGGGGCCTGAAGACACCAACTGATCCAGTTTTGAAAGCGGAATTTTCTTCAGTTGCGCAGCGCTGCATGGAGCCTTGCGTCACGCGTTTGCAATGGAAGACAGTTCTGAACTGCAGGGAGGCTAGTTTAACACCCACACCAAGCCAGTGGTGTCCAAAATGAACGGGTTAAGATGGAGCATTTGAGCAAAATCATAGTTTATAAACGCTTAAACATTTTTAATATAAAAGAATGCAATCATTTCCTGAACACAGAACAGCATAAAACATTTTAACACTGCTGTTATATTATTTTCATTTTTAGGCGTTCAGCTTCATCTACTCCCATTCATTGATGACTCACTTGCAGGTGCCCTCTGGCATTGTACAGTCATGTTTTTGATATAACAGGGGAAATAAGAAGTGGCCAGGCTCTTCTTAAACCGGCTCCGACCTATCTTCTGATTACACAGCCATGTGCAACATGCTGTCGTGCTGAAAAAATAAAAACATGGACGTGCCTGAAAAAGACGGCAACTAGAAGGTAACATTTGTTGCTCCAAAATGTGTCTTTCAGCGTTAACGGTGCCTTCACAAATGTGCAAGTTACCCACTAATACACTCCCATATTATGACACGCCCTGGCTTTTAAACTTTATGCTGATAACAGTCGGGTTTACGGATTGTTTCCCTAAACAGTCTGAAAGGTTACTAGTCAGATCACAGACTTTACACTTTGTAACAGTCCATTTCAGAGGCAAAAATTCTAATGAAACAATCTGCTGTTTCATTTCTGTTTATCAAAAATACAGACAGCTAGTTAGGCTAACAAGCTAACAGGCTCCTCTAAAAATCCTCACAGGCTTTAAATTGAAATATTCATTTACATTTACATTTACCTTTACAGCATTTAGCAGACGCTCTTATCCAGAGCGACTTACAAAAAGCGCTTTGTCTATCCAGAGAAAGTATCTTTGCTAGTCATAAATAGGTTAGAGAGAAAGTCAGTCCTGAGCTCAGATACTGCTAGAATCAGAAAGTCATTAGTGACACCTAGAGAAAAAGGAACAGAGTTAAACACAGAGCAGTGCCATACAATACAATACAATACGTAAGTGCAGTACATTACATTACAATCAATACCTAATTCAGTATTCACTAAAGTATTCAGTATTCACTAAAGTATTCAGTATTCACTAAAGTATTCACTGAAAACTTTCAATATACAAGGTAAAAATGTTTCATGCCATGTTTTCCAATCTCCAAAAGCCAGTGGGAGAGTGAATGTGCCACTTGGCGCTAATATGACACTGAATAGCCCACAGAGACTGAATGCTAGTAAGCTAAAGTTAGCATTGCAGTATTAATCATCAGATACTTTAGAAAGAAAAACGTTAATACGTGAAATTGTGCTACATAATGACGTATATAACAAAAAGTTCATGAACTCACCTGAATATCCCATGTTTGATTTTATGTTAGTGCAGGTTGTGCTAGGTAAACTAGCATGCTATTAGATGGATAGCTAGTGTTAGTTAGCTAGGCTAGTGCTAACTAACTGTACCTCTATGAACTTGCTGTATCTACTCTGGTCTAAAGATATGCAGTGCAGCTGGCTCTTCTTCACATTGAAATAATGGAAAACTGATAAGCGAAATCAAATTGCAGGGAGACGATGATCCTTTACTGTGACTGCAAAGTACTTTTGGCTCCTAGTTTTACAGAAAAACTGTATATTTGAAATATTTATTACAATACTGTTACAGTAATATTACACCAGCCGTACAATATGGTGTTAGATACATTTATCTCCCTGTACTGTAAATGTTTTCCCAAATTTCAACATGGCATGCTGTGTAAAACTGTAAAACACAGAAAGTATCATACAGGCTTGAACACAGAACATTACTGTAGTATATATAGAAATTCTTTACAGTGTAGTTGAGAATGAACAGATATTAATGTATGGTAAAAAAAAATCCATCTAAAAGCAGCTTTTGTTGGTAGCTAGTTTCAGATGCTCTCAACTGGTCTTATGTAGTTTAGGTGGATGACAAGCTGGACATCCAGCTGGACTAAACAAAAACGTACCATTTGCTGGTCAACCATCTGATTAGGTTGATAGATCAAATTAGCTGGTTGACCAGCATAGGGTTGGTTCCTTTGAGTTTGATGGGTCATGTTGGTCAAACTCGTCAACCAGCTAGGTCATGCTGATCAACCAACTTGGTCATGCTGGCCGACCAGCTTGGTCATGTTGGTCGACCAACTTGGTCAAGCTGGTCATACAGGTCGACAAACTTGGTCATGTTGGTCATGCATGTTGACCAACTTGGTCATGCCAGTCATCGTGGTTAACCGAATTGGTCTTTCTAGTCAACTAGTTTGGTCATGCTAGTCGACGAACTTGGTCATGTTGGTCAACCAACTTGGTTTTGCTGGTCAACTAGCTTGGTCAAGCTGGTCGACAAGCTTGGTCATGCTGGTTATGTTGGTTGACCAACTTGGCCATGCTGGTCGCCTGGTCAACAAGCTTGGACATGCTGGTGATACTGGTCAACCAACTTGGTCATGCTGGTCAACTAGCTTGGTCATGTTGGTTAACCAGCTTGGTCATGCTGGTCATGCTGGTTGACCAACTTGTCCAACTTGGTCATGTTGGTCATGCTGGTCAACTAGTTTGATCATGCTGGTCATGCAGATCAAACTAAAAAAAAAATGCATACCTTATGCTGGTCAACCAGCCAAGCTTGTCTACCAGGTTAACTAGCCTGAAGTGACCAAGCTGTTCTTTTCAGTAGGGATGTGGTATTAAATGGCCTTTAATGTTCAGCTTCACTGTGAAACTTCTTTTTTTTCAACTCATTCATTATAAAATATACTGTTCGGTATTACATGATGAACTACTGTTAACTGAGGTACGTAAAAGGTTTTGTTCATTCTCATGTCGACCTCTTGCCTCCCTGCTCCAGCTATTTGGCTGTTCTGGTGCAGCACAGGTGAAGACCGGGCGCGATATGAAGGGTCAGTTCCTGTCAGCTAACCTGAGCTTCGCTGTGGGGGTCATGTCTGCCATGTACCTCTGCATGGGAGTGTCAGGTAAGTAAAAAAAGATCCAAGATTTTAGGAATAGTAGTAGATTTTAGACATTATAATGTACAAACATTGTATCATTTTGGAGCTGCAGGTAATTTTAATGTACAAATGTTTCACTTTAAACAGTAGTACAAGTTTTATTACTAAGAATTTTAACTGTCCACATTAAAAAGCTCACTATCTAAGGGCTTTATAACTCACAGATGTCTATCTCAGCTTATAAAGATAATTAATAACTAACGTGGCATGGTCATGTTGTATAATCACTAATTAGTACACATTTATGATAGTTCTCTCTGGTTATCAGGGCAATTTATCATCATCATCATATCATTAATCACTCTCTCTGCATCATTATATCACCATTAATACCAGCTTAATATAGGCCAAAGTGTAATGAGATCATGTCAGCAGCCAACTAGCTCATCTGGAAAGTTAATTTATGTGTTTAATAGTGTTGCTGGCTTCTCTCGCTCTCTCTCAGGAGCTCATCTGAACCCTGCAGTGTCTCTGAGCTTCTGTGTGTTGGGTGATCTTCCATGGAAAAAGCTTCTGCCTTACTCTCTGTCTCAGGTGCTGGGGGCCTACCTGGCCTCCGCAGTCGTCTTTGTCATGTACTACGGTGAGGTCACAGGGAGCAGATCACAGAGATACTATTAGTAGACACTACTATTCTAAAGTTTAGTATCACCATTTAAAAGTTCATTCAACATTCAAAAGTTTCAAATCAGTTCAAAAGTTTCAAATCACCAAAAGTTTGGAATCACAGTTCAATGCTTAGAATAAGCGTTCAGAAGTTTACAATCACCCATTAAAAGTGTAGAATTAGTGATCAAAGTAAATTACTTTTCAAACGTTTAGAATCACCATGGTTTTAAATCAGCGCTCAAATATCGGATCACAAATTCAGAACCTCAAAGCACAAGTTTCAAACTTTAGAATCACCACTTAAAAGTTTTAAAGCACTTTTGAATCAAAAGCTCAGAATCATTCTTTGAAAGTTTAAAATCACTGTTTAAAAGTGTCGGGTATTTTGCACTGTAACTACTTTGTAACAGCTAAAACACAAGCATTTTAGAGTACCCATTCAAAAGCTTAAAATCACCTCTCAAAAGTTTGGAATCACCATTCTAAAGTTTAAAATCACTACTCAGATGTTTGGAATGACTGTTCAAAAGTTTATAATCACTGTTCAAAAAGGTAGAATCACCATTCAATCACCATTCATTCCATTGTTCAAAAATTCAGAATCACCAATTAAAAATTTTGAAATAATTGTTAAAATATTCAGGAACAATTCCAAAGTTTGGAATCATTGTTTAGAAGTTTAGAATCACCATTCAAAAGTTTAGAATCGCCATTCAAAAGTTTAGAATCATTGTTTGTAAGTTTAGAATCACCATTCAAAAGTTTAGAATCATCGTTTGGAAGTTTAGAATCACCATTCAAAAGTTTAGAATCAAAATTCAAAAGTTTGGAAGTTTAGAATCACCATTCAAAAGTTTAGAATCAAAATTCAAAACTTTAGAATTATTGTTCAAAAGTTCAGAATCACAGTTCAAAAGTTTAGAATCACCATTCAAAAGTTTAGAATCACAGTTCAAAAGTTTAGAATCACCATTTAAAAGCTTAGAATCATTGTTCAGAAGATTAGTCACCCTTCAAACGTTTAGAATTATTGTTCAAAAGTTCAGAATCACCATTCAAAAGTTTAGAATCACCATTTAAAAGTTTAGAATCATTGTTCAAAAGTTTAGAATCACTATTTAAAAGTTTAGAACTAGTGTTCAAAAGTTTCTAATCACCATTCAAAAGTTTAGAAATATAGATCAAAAGTTTCTAATCAGTGTTCAAAAGTTTCTAATCGCCATTCAAAAGTTTAGAAATATAGATCAAAAGTTCAGAAACTTTGTTCAAACGCTAATGAACACTGTTGAAAAGTTTATAATCACTCTTAAAAAATTCAGAATCACTGTTCAATGGTTTAGAATTACCACTCAAAAGTTGGAAAACATAATTTAAAGGTTTAGAATTACCATTTAAAATTTTAGAATCACTGTCCAAAAACCTAATCTGGTGTACGAGTCAAACATTCAAGCTTGTACCACTGATAAATCTATAAAATTAGTCTCCTAAGACAGTTCTGTGCAACTGCACAGGTTTCATATAGTAAGTAGGACACAATGTTAAGAAATGTCTGTCCACATCATGAACAGAGCTGCAGATAATCCTAAATTAAAACCACTGAAAATAAATAATTACAGTATACTGTTCATCATTTAACTTGTTGCTGCAAAAAATGAAATTTTAAAGCATCTAAAATACATTTGTGTATATTTTACAATACTTCAGCCTGTTATGTGTAAATTACTGAATCAATTAACCAAAATTATAAATATTGTATTTCAAACTTTTGAACGGTGGTCTTCTTATTACTATCATGTGTCACAAAGTATACTATACTTTATCTAGATAGCTAATTTACCAATACAGCAGCAGTAGCAGATACACCCATTACACAATGTTTGAAAGAAAAGATTAGTTCACTTTCAGCATCTCTGCTTAATCCTCTCCTCTAGATGCTATAATGAACTACAGCGGTGGAGTTCTGACTGCGTTCGGCCCAAACGAAACTGCTTCCATCTTTGCCACGTACCCCACTGAAGGAGTGTCCCTGCAGACCAACATCTTTGACCAGGTCAGTACCTGAGAGGACCGGAGAAACCGTCACATCAGGATCATGCAATGCATTGGCTTTTTGAGGACTGACCCCTGGCCATAATTGACTTTGGGCCAGATTCACTAAAGCTTTGAAAAGAAAAACTTACGGTGCCAAACACTGTCCAGAAGATTATTCTTCTTAAATGTAATTCTCAAAAACTTCCACAGAAAAATCTGATTTTCCACCAAAATCAAGCACTTCCAAAATCGATGGGGTCAAGTATCTAAAAAGAAGTCTTCAATAGATTCTAATTGAGTCTGATAGAAGGAATGATTTTGGGTAAGACAGAGTTTTATTACGTGTGAGCAACATTAGCCTCGTAGCTCCTGTGCAAAACTAAAGAAGAAAACTTCAGACACCAAACATGTCTTGCTGACCAAGTACATTTGGGTTTAGGGGAAAACAGTGTAAACTTGTTCTAACACCTTAAAATCCCAGGCTTATTATTCAGCAACTACAGGGACTTCAGTGCAACCTGGCTGAGCTATTCGTAGGTTATAGCAGTGTTTAATACAACTTTGAGCAATTTAAAGGTTAAAAAGTTTTGCATAATTCACTGTTTGACATGTGAACAGTTAATCAGAGTGGTCTGATATAAAATGGTTAATTGTGGAGAAACTCACTCACTCAGATTTGTTTACAGTGGTGGTGAACGGAAAGAGGGGTTACAATGTCTACAACACAAATACAGCCATTTCATTTACTGTCCAAAACCACCAGTGAACCTACATGTGTCTTCTGAGTTTTTATCTGTAGCGTTGATGATGGTAAAATAGTGATAAATCAACAAAAACTACGTTTTGTTTGGGGACTGTTTGCTCTGAATGTACCTCTCCGCCACAAATGGATTTTGAAAATATGTTGATAATGCTTACGACAATAGTTCTTAAAACAATGCCTCAGGCTTATGGTAACGTATTCATAACCATTTCATATAATAACTTTCTGTGATGTTGTTGTCTGGTTCCTATCCCCACCACTGTGAGCAACTGTGACTCAAAGCACATGTTTTAATGATGTAAATATGGGGGGGTCCTCTAAGCTCTCAAATCTCAATTATTTTCTTTAATGAGCCTTTATGTTATTTATTATGTAACTTTAGCCAATGAATGCTGGCCTTTTGCAGACTAACATCACATTAGCCTATTACAGCTTATGACATAACACTTTATTTATAATGACTCTATTTCATTTTTCTCAGCACCTAAGAAAAATCAAACAAACATTCATAAAACTTGGCCTAAAAATGACATCAAACTTGTAATGTGTGTAATAAGCCAGTTACTGGCCTGAGGCCCCGCCCACAGATAGAGAACTATTTGTCTTGATACAGATACTATAAACTTCTGCATTTGTTAAATCCAATAACAACAAACCACATTTTAAAAAAGTTGTGCACTTTATTAAAGCAAATTGCGAATAAAATTACTCAATGTAATTCATTCGTTATGTCCACCATCACAGTGTAGGGGACGTGTTGTAGTTAGTGCACACCTCCTCGATCTCACATGGAGGCATCAAAATTTCCCCCTTTCTTTCCTGAAGATTTCTGCATAATTCAAAGGTTGAGATGTAAACTAAGTCAATCACTGTGGTTTGATGTGAAATGGTTTACTACTGACAAACTTAAGACTCTTTACAGTGGTGGTGATAGGAACCAATACAACAATACAAATTTGGCCATTGTACTAACCGCCCAACACCAACAGTGAACATACCTGGTTTTATATGTGACGTTGAAATGGTAGAATAATAGTATATCTGGGGTTAAAAGTTTTCTTTGCCTTACAACACCCTGCATGTATCTCTCAACCACAAGTGGATTTTAATAAATATCATGTCATTATTTTCTTATGCTGTGTTCACATGTTAGCAGTAGATGGACGATGGCTAACCGGATATTCCATTGTTTTCAATGGAGTCGTGACAGAATATTTTGCCACCATTCTGCAGACGGCAGCGGTGAGCGGAATGTTCCATGAACAGTTTAATTTTCCCTGCTTTTGCCGTTGACTGGAGTAGTGAAATAAACTGGGTGTTGACTTAACCCTTGTGTGGTGTTCAGGTCTGTGGGGCCCATTTTCAATGTTTACCAAAAGAAAACATTATGTGATTTATTATTATTTCAACCTCAGATTCTTGGCCTTTGATCATTTTCTGTGAAGAACATATAAAATAACCCATTTTCAGTGTCTTCACTCTGTTCACCCCCACACATTTATATTACACATGTGGTGTTGGGTGAACCTGCGGGGAATAAAAGTGTGGAGGTGCTGTGTCCTTCACTCTGTTCTCCTCCTTCATGACCTGCTGTTAGTGTGTGTGTGTGTGTGTATGTGAGGGTGGACAACATGGCCATGCTGCTGACTGGCTACAGCTGCTAAAGGAGAACCCTACTCTGGCCACTTGTGATATTTTAAACATCTGGTATTTTTACATAAATAGTTATGGCTGTACCGATTTAAAGAAACTATAATGTTGTGGGTCCACCGGACCACTGAGAAACAAACACATCAACACCACACAAGGGTTAAATCAACAAAATGCACCGCTAAAGCTCTTTTTTTTGTAACACAGTCCCCATGCCAACATTTGTGTGGCTTCGTGCCATTGGCCACGTGCAGAGTGACTTTTTTTAAACACAAACATGTGAACGCACCTTTAGAGGGAAGCTCCTCAGACGTCTGGTTCCTATCACCACCAGTGTAAACAATTCTTACACTGAGTTTCTCTCAAACAGTGCATTTCATATCAAAACACTTGGGATGATTCCGTCTCAATGCATTTATGCATAAATGCTGAACAGTCTGTGGACGTGCATGTTATTGAAGCAAGTTGCTAAATGTAATTTATTCATCGTGTCCGTCATCACACTTTACAACCACGCTGGGAAATACGTTCGCGAGAGCACAGCACACGCTGATGATTTTATCGAGCAGTGTTACCTCCTCTCCCTCACATGGACGCACCAAACTGTTAGGAACTGCCTTGTTTAACACGGCGTACTTATCCCGTATACTGCCCATCACTCTTTCCAAGCGGACTCTGAGGTGAGCTATTTGACGAGTTTCTTCCACATCCTTCACATCCAGCTGCCTCTGTCCTTTTGTGAATGCAGGATCTTTCACTTCAGCACACATCATTCCCACACTGTCCTCAATGTCAAAACCATGATCAGCCAACACCAAATCGCCAGGTGACAGTTTGTCCAGTAGGCCGCTGTTTTCCGCTACATGCTTGTCACTGCAGCAGCCTCCAAATCCCTTGGAAACGAATGAAATAGCTCCAGCTGGTGTAAAGCCAATGAGGTACTTTACTGTGCGATTGTGTCGGTTGTGGGAAAACGACTGTGCTCTGGCTTTCGGACTGGACGGCCCTTCGATTTCTACTTCAAAACAGTCCAAAATAATCGCAGCACGGTCCCCAAACGAGTCAATGAACTTAGGGGGCATAGTGGCCAGCAAACACTGTCGCTCTGGCCAGTCTATTAGAGGGCCAAGTTGTGCATACAGGACGTCCATAGTGTCAACAAACGTGGTGGAAACAGTCTTTAAGTCTGTGTGGAAAAGGTCAGCAATGAGCTGGATCGGTAGATCTAGTCTCAGACGCATGAGGGTTAAGAAAAGCATCTGAAATGGTGACAACATTTTATTCATTTGTGGTAGAAAGGGCCGAATGTGGTTTAGCACGTCCATCAAAACAGCAAAGCTTGTAAGGCCAGTGTAGTACATGACTTTAACATCATCAGCTTTCAAAAACTCTTCACTCATCTTTCTCTCGTCGAGCTCTCGCCTCAGCTCCCTGTTTTCTTCCAACAGCCTGTTGACTTCAGCACGCATGCATTCGCAAAAATCACAATCGGCCTCGGTTTTAATCAACACGGGGCTGATTTCAGCGCAAGGATCACATTCTGTCTCCAACTTGACTGCAGGCTCGCTGATGTCAGTCCCACCTTCTGCAGCCCATGTGTCTCCGGTGTCTCCCTGTGCGATCTGGGTTGTGTCCTTCTCTGCAGTCTTCTTCTTCTTCTTTGGAGTCTTTCTTGGATTTTTTCTTCTTGTCTGGTGTGCAGGACGCTTTGTCTTCGTTGCCTTGACTTCACCGTGGCCCAGATGTAACAATGATGTCCAGTCTGTTTGTGATTCTGACTTTCCATATGTGGGATTTCCTGTAAACATAAAAAGGAATTTATGTTGTAAGCTGTGCAATAACAGTGGTCTTACATGCTTATAGCAAGTCGCTCTGCACGTGATGCTGCACCTTAAATCTTGGCCTAATTCCACATGCAAATCCACTACAATACAATAAAGATTTTCACATGAAAACTATGATTATAAACTGAGAGACTTGTTTCAATGTAAGTTGAATAAGAATGAATAAAAGAAACCCATAATAAACCAAAATAATACACATCAAAACATTTTCCACCTTCAATGTGAAACTGCAACCTACAAATTAAAGTGAAAAACAATCAGAAACATATCAAGGCAAAACTTCATTTGTGGTCAATCAGAGTCACTTTGATTGAGTGGGGTGTATATTAGCTACTATTTCACATTAGTCTGAAAGTGAGTGGTTATTATGGTTTTTTTTTCTTTTTTTTCACATTACAGGTGGAAAATGTTCTGATATAATTTACGTTGGTATTTTACAGGGGCATGTAGACTTTATAAATCCACTGCATGTAATATAATATAAAATACATATGTATGTATCGTCACGGTCAGGTCAAAACCTCGATTCTCTAAAATGGTAACTTCACAGGATAAAAAAAAAAACCTTCTTAACCATGAATGGGAGCTAAGAGAATCCATTCTTTGTAGTATAAGGAAAGCCTGAACAAAGCACTGCTGTTTCCTGAATTCCCTGCCACAAAGCACCTGATCCAGTATTTAATTACCTGATGAGCAGTAAAAAAATCTGGATCAGCAAAGCTACGTTCACATTACCAGGTTGAAGTGGCACAAATCCGATTTTTGCCCTAATGTGACTCAGATCTGATGTTCTCAGAGCTGTTTGGACACACAAATCTGATCTTTTCAAATCCAACCTGAGCCACTTTCATATGTGGTCCTAGATCGGATACTTATCTGATATGTGGCCATGCGACCTTAATGTGACGCTCAGATCGGAATTAATGTACTTTTTTCCACTGCGCGTGACCATCATTCAGCGTTACCATGGCAGCAGCGCCGAACAGAAGTTAAAGCCTGTAAATGGTGGAAAAGCAGCTCATCTCACCTTTTTCTCCTTCGTCTGGCTCTAATAATGAAGCTGAGAGCTGATCAGAGTTAATGATCTTCGTTCTGCTCGTTAGTTTGTGCTGATGATGCACGTGATTCATTCACGTGACGTTACTGAGTAGGATGTGCTCATGCGGGTCATTTCAGGACGCTGGTTTGTTCACATTAATGACAGATTTGAATCCTAAACGAGTGTGAACCATCGTGTCAGAGAGATCGGATTTGAGCAAAAAATCTGATTTGAGTAATGAGGCTTGTAATGTGAACGTAGCCCAAGAGAGAAAAAACAGGGCACTATGTGAATAATGCTGAAAAATTAAAATTGCATTTTAGCAATATTTACAAACACCACCTCAAACTTGTGCAGATACATCTTCTCTTTGTTTGTTGTCATTGTCTTAATCACTTAATGTGTTAGAAATTAAGCAAGCTCATATATTTACTCAGACAATTGCTATATTTGCTCCACAACACAGACTAAGCGTAGATATGTGCCTGACTTTTTTTTTTTTAATAAATTCTGAAATAAAGGCAACAAAGCCAGAACACAAGTGAATTATAATAAGTGACAAGTTTTTCAGTTGACTGTAAAGGCTTGCATAATAATGAAAATGTGCAAACTCTGCTTGAAAGTATTTGGGAAATGAAACCAGGATGGAAATTTGGCTTCACACCAACTTGGCTTCCAAATCAAGACATCAAGAAAAAGACAATTTGATTGGACGTGTTGATTGGCACCGATTGGATAAGTTCTTTCTGAGAACCAATCATGCATTTCTGCTCGCAATAATGTATCCAGGCATCTATAATGACCTTGTAAATACTAAATGAGTGTACACATCACAAGAGCCAAAAGGACACACACTGCTAGAATCATATTATTTAAAGGGTTTTATACAACTAACTACACTATTAAACACTGTCACAATGGCAAAAAGGAGAAATAGCTACATATTAGGGTTAATCAGTGTGAGCTGAAGTGACGTGAGCCCTGCTTACTTTCAAGCTTTAACTGGATTCATTACGCAGCCAAAGCATAAGAGATCTAGACATGAATAGTCTGCTTCCAAAAGTCAATCACCAATCAGTGTTAGTTATTAATCGTGAACAGTTCGCAACACTCGAAATCAATGCTGTCCCACCTTCTGCAGCCTGTGTGTCTCCAGTGTCTCCTGGTGCAGTCTGGGTTGTGTCCGTCTCTGCAGTCGTCTTCTTTACAGTCTTTCTCAGACGTTTTCTTTTTAACTGACTTACAGGACCCTCTGTTTCTGTTGTCTTGATTTCATCGTGGCCCAAATGTAACGATGGTGCCCAGTCTGGATGTGATTCTAGCATTCCATATGCCGGCTTCCCTGCAAACACAAAAAGAAATGGAGGTTGTAAACTGTGATAAGTTCTACATTTAGTGCACGTCACACTGCACCTGACATCTTGGTTTAATTTCCCAGCAGGCTGTGCAAATTCACTTATGCTGCGGATCAGGATATACAGTTAAGATTTTCTGGTGGTATCTCTACAATGCAAGATAAACCGTGCCAGCAATGCTGGTTCACCAGCTGAGCGGTAAATAAGTTTCCAGGATGACATTTTTTCATGTCAAAATGAAGTTAGAAAATGAGAGTGTTTATAATCTCATTTGAATTAGTAAAAAAATAAAACAATGAATGAAATAAACTAAAACAAAAACAAAAAATCATGTTCAAGGTAAAATGGCAAACTATAAATTAAAATGAAAAAATATAGGGTAAAAAAAAAGAAAAAAGAAAAGCTGTTTGAAAGTGACTGGTCGATTCTGAACGTGGACTCATTTCCATTTATAAAAGGGTGTGAACACTTATGCAAGCAGGTTCTTTTTACCTTAAAATGTTTCCCACTTTATTTTATAGGTTGAAATTTCACATTAAAGGTGGAAAAAGTTCTGACATGATTTATCTTGGTTGCATTTTTTACATCACAAAAACCTGCCATTGCTGCAGGGATGTATAATACACAGTTTATATATGTATTGTCGCAGTTGAAACAAAACCTTATATCTCCAAAATAATAACTTTATAAATGGTAAGATTAACTCTGAATGGGAGTTCATGGAATTATTATTTTTGTAAGGAATTTTAAACCATCTATATTCGTCCTTTCATCATTAAACTAAAAAATATATATATATATATATATATATATATATATAAGGAGCAGCTGGCATTTTCGAACGATGTCAAAAAATGAAAAAATACAGAAAAAAGGGATACAAAGATACAAAACGCTGCTGTTTCTTAAATTCCTTGCAACAAAACACCTGATTCAGCTCATACATGGTCTGATAATTAGCTGATAATTGATAATTAGCAGAGCTGGGCTGCATGTTTTGGGGTGAAAATAGTAGAAACATGGTTTCTACTATGAAAACAGTGGAAACCAAGGCGAACATGTTTGCATTTTTTCAGCATTCACAAAAATGGCCTCAAATATGTTCAAGTAAATATTTTATTTGTTTTGTTGTCACTGTTTTAATCATTAAACCTGTTAAAAATTAAGTAACCTCACATATTTACTCAGAATATTGCTTAATTTGCTCCACAACACAGAGCGAGGCTGTCCATAAAGAGTATTAGCAAAACCCAGAAAGCCCAATGTGGGTGAGAAGTCAATGCCGACTTGAATTCAAATCGAGACATCAAGAAAAAGTCAGGAGGCGTTGATTCGTACCAAATCGATAAGTTATCTTTGAGTCCTGATTATGCGTTATTGCCTGCGATAACATATCCAGATGTCTATAATTAGCTTGTAAATACTGAATCAGCGAACCCATAACAGGAGCTAAAAGCATGCACATCATTAGAATCATAATTATTTGGTCTGTAGAAGGGTCAGCAATATTCTGTCTTTTGTACCATTAACTGCACCATGGAACATCATCATGATTGCAAAAGTGATTAATAGCTGCATATCTGTGTTTGTTGGGGTTAATCAGTGTTAGCTTGATGTTAGCTGAAGTGACATTACCTGCATATGTAGCCAAAGCTCAACAGAGCTAGACATGATGGTCTGATTCCAAAAGTCAATCATCAGTCAGGGTTAGATGTTAATCGTGAACAATACTGAACACCCAAAATGAGTGTTGTCAGTCCCACCTTCTGCAGCCTGTGTGTCTCCAGGGTCTCCTGGTGCAGTCTGGGTTGTGTCCGTCTCTGCAGTCGTCTTCTTTACAGTCTTTCTCGGCTGTTTTCTTTTTAACTGACATGCAGGACCCTCTGTTTCCGATTCCTTGATTTCTTCATGGCCCAGATGTAACGATGGTGCCCAGTCTGGATGCGACTCTAGCATTCCATACGCCGGCTTCCCTGCAAACACAAAAAGAAATGGAGGTTGTAAACTGTGATAAGTTCCACATTTAGTGCATGTCACACTGCACCTGACATCTTGGTTTAATTCCACAGCAGACTGTGCAAATTCACTTATGCTGCAGATCAGGATATACAGTTAAGATTTCTGGCGAAATATCTGTTATGCAAGAAAAACGGACCCAGTAGTGCTGGTTCACTAGTTGAGCTATGTGTGAACAGGTTTCTGGGACGAGGGACATTTTTGTCACGTCAAAACTACGTTTACAAGATGACAGTGTTTTTCAATCTGATTCCAATGAATAAAAAACGAAAACCAAATCATGTCAGAACTTCTTCCTGTCCTTAATGTTAAACTGCATAAATAAATTAAAATAAAACATAATCAGAAACAATATAGTTTTTTTTTAAGTCACCATTTATAATACATTAATAATATATACACTTATACAAGTTTTTTTTCTTCTTATCTTAAAATATTTCTCATTTTATTTTAGAACTTGCAATTTCACATTATCAGTGGAAAAGGTTCTGAAATGATTTATCTTTTTTTTTTACATTACAAAAATTGGCATTTTTTACAGGAGTGTGTGAACTTTTTATACTGCCTGTATATAATATAATATAATATTATATATAACTGCTGTTAGAACAAAACCTTGTATCTCCAAACTGGTAACTTAACAGGAAATGGAAAAAAAAGCATTCTTAACTTTAAATAGAGTTGATGAAATTGATTATTTTTGCATGTAAAGAGCAGCTGGCATTTTTAGATGATGTTAAAATGACAAAAAAAGATTATTTAGATTTTATTTCGTTTTTTTTTTTAAACAGTTAATTAGTTCAATACTGTAATTTGCAGTAAGAAGTTATATGCTATAAATATAAAAGGGAGACCTGGATTAAACACTGCCATTTTGGATAGTTTGTAGGATATTTTGATCCTAAATCACCTTATGAGAAAATACTACCAGCATTAAAACTACAGGTAGGATATTTTAATAGCTTTATCAATAGCAGGCAGTATTACTAAGCTATGTCAGAAGTAAGTAAGGCAAAATGAACAATAAACACACAAAAGCTGTTAGAAGTACTACTTATATGAGACTAATCATACGTGCAGGCGCAGCAAGACCAACTGATGGGTAGGACAAACTGTAGGAACCGACTATGGCTTCCAAATCAAGATATAAAGATGAGGCCAGACTGATCGGAGGTATTGATCCGCACCAAATCGACACGTCATCTCTGAGTTCTGATTTCTGTTATTGTCCACGATAACACATCCAGACATCTGTATCCTAATAACCTTGTAAATACTGCATCACAGGAGCTACATACATTCACATGGCTGGATTCATACAATTATTTTGGTCTGCTAACGTTCTGGCATCCAACAGTTACCAGCATTCACTGTATAGCCAAAGCATAAGAGACCTAGACTAACAGTTTGATTCCAAAAGTCAATCAATCAATCAGTGTGAACTGTTAATCGTGAACAATTCTCAACACCTGAACAGGATCAAGGGCAAAACTTCAGAATTCATCCTTCACTTTAAGTGGAATTCCACCCATTTTTTCAGAATTTCACCATAATTAAACATTTAAGCTGTGAACCAAGTCATTCAGAGCGGTTTGATGTGAAATGCCCAATTCTATAGTATCTTACTGAGTCAGAACTGTTCACAGTGATGGTGATAGGAACCAGACGTCTGAAGAGTTTAATACAGCTCTAAAAGCTACTTCACAGCAAATAACCACATGACATTGTTATAAATACTCTGCCTGATGCCTGAGACATTATTTTACAACAGTAAAATAAGACAAGCTTTTAGCCTCAGGTTTATTTCTTTCATTCATTCTTGGTGGAGCGGTAGGTGCAGGGCGCTGCGTCATCAACATGACGTATAAAAACTCGTGTAGGTTCACTGGTGGTTCTAGATAGTAAATAAAATGGCTATTTGTGTTGTTAGACATTGTGACACCTGGTTCCCATCACCCCCACTGTAAAGATATCCTAGTCTAAAGTTACAATGAACCATCTCACATCAAAACACTCCGAGTGACTCTGTTTACATCTCCACGACTGCGCTATGTAGAAATTTCGAAAAATCGGTGGAATTCCCCTTTAGCTGTCTACCTGTGACAAAATGACGAGAGCAGACTTTGGAATATCGAGACGGCTGGAAGTTTTCCCTGTTTATTCTCTCTATCCAGAGGTTCCTCCTCCGCTGGCTCAGCTCTTCAGCCTCCGTCCCCTCACGGCGGCGGACAGCCGGGAAGCCGTGAAAGCTCACGCCGTTTTGATTGTTGTTGCTGTTGTTGCTGCAGCCATAAACCACGCAGCACACCATGGCTATATTTCATCTGTCCGGATGCTTTATTGACTAAAACAGTGCTTTATTAAATACAGACGGTGCTTTATTAACTACAGACGACGCTTTATTAACCATAAACCGTGTTTTATTAACTACAAACACGACTGTGGCTCCTGCAGCGCCGCTGCGACGACAAGTGTGGCGCCGAATCCCCACTGGCTCCCTACTCCCTATGAAGTGCACTACGTAGGGCATAACATAACGACTTTAACGTCCAAAGTGCGTACATGTCTAACAGGAATCCACCGTGGATTGAGCCAAAGGCAGCACGAGTCCACATTTAACATTAAGTTCACTGTTTTTGAGTGTAGAAATCGTCGTTTCGTAGTGCACTATATAGGGAGCAGGGAGTCATTTGAGATTCCGCCCCTCTGCGGAGCCAGTAGCCACAAGCGCGCCAACAGCTTAGAGCGTGGGCTTCTGGGATATGTAGTTTTACTGACGTGACAAGACACGAGCACAAATAGAGCGCTTTTACCCAACGCAACTCAGACTGGCTAAGAAAGCCGAATGAAAGTTTATCACTTGATGTTACCTGAGTGAAAATGGCGGGAGCAGACTCTCATGGAGGCGGAAATCTGGGAAAATGTGATGCAAGGCCGTCCTACGGCAGAAACCCAGGCTGCTCGGCGCCTCTTTGTCACGTCTGAAACTTTGCTCCCCTCGTTTTGGCGCCACGCTGGAAACCGGTAGAATGATAAACCGTGGTCTAGCTTTTTGCGGCGGCTGTCGTGGCTGCTGCTGCGGCAGCTTATAACACAGCAGTAGCTCCCCACCATGATGCCTTAGAGGCCCAGAGCAGCCTGCTGGGGTGAAAACTTGTCCACCAGCTTTGCTGCCTGCCTGTCACTGAACCTGCCAAAATGGCGGGAGACGCGTAGAACACTGCGTCATGACGTTACACGCAAGCCCTGATAGGATTGTTTTTTTGAAATCAAGGCGTTGAAAACAGTGACATCTAGTGGTTCACCCGAGTGACAGCAGCCACAATCTGAAGACTGTGGAGGAGGCACACCTACAGCATCTTGTTAATTTATTACATAAATTCACACATTTACATTATACTATATAACAACAACAACAACAACAATAATAATAATAATAATAATAATAATAATAATAACAATAGAAACAGGTGATAAAGTTAGCAGTAATAGAAGAAATTAGAGTTGATTTTGATTTTCTCCTATGATACTTAACATTTGGTAACAGCAATATAAGGGAAAAATACCTGAAAGTTAAGAGTATTCATTGAAAATCATACCAAGCAATGACAACAGAAAGATAAATACAAAAAAAAGAGGCAGAAATTTAATCAAAAGCTTAAGAAAGTCCTATTGTGGTGCAGTCCTTTCAAAATGGGAGTGCTGATTTTGACACAGAACCAATACTTCAACTTGTCTCTATACTTTTTCCACTCCTGCTTCCTTTCTCAGGTGGTTGGCACCGCCACGCTGTTGCTGTGCATCCTGCCTCTGAATGATAAGAGGAATCGGCCTGCTCCTGAGGCTCTGCTGCCCCCCATTGTGGCCGCTGTTGTTTTAGGCATAGCCATGTCCATGTCCTCCAACTGCGGCGGAGCAATAAACCCCGCCCGTGACCTGGGGCCACGCCTCTTCACTCTCACAGCCGGCTGGGGCGTTGAGGTCTTCACGTAAGTTCAAAAGTTTAGAATCATTTGTCATATTACATATTTTTTACAATCAATAACTTATGTAGATTTAAATTTGGTTTGACAAATCATGTCAAACCAAATTTTCATCACCTTTTTTAGACAACAGAGTTTGTTGTATGCAAACATTGTTAAAATTCACTTCCCAGTCCATACAGTTCCTTAAAAACAGCCCATTTTGAATTCAGTATTTATGTGATGGCTTAAAACCAACACATTTACATATGCACTATATGGCCAAAAGTATGTGGACACCTGACCATCAGAAATCTAAGTGAGCTTGTTGGACATTTCTTTCCAAGACCATTGGCATTAATATGGAGGCCACCCCCCCCCACACACACCCAGGTGTTTGTGCGAACTTGTGCCCATTCAGTCAAAAGAGCATTTGAGAGGTCGGGCACTGATGTTGGACGAGAAGGTCAGTTCCTCCCAAAGTTGTTCAGTGGGGGTGGGGTTAGAGTTCTGTGCAGACCACTAGAGATCCTCCACACCAAAGTCATCTTACATTGACTTTTTGTGGACATGGGTTTTCTAACACAGTTATGCTAGAAAAGGAAAGGGCCTTCTCTCTGTTGCCAGAGAGCACGTTTCTATTGCTTCAGAGTCCATTGACAACATGCTTTCCACCACTCAAAGCGATGCTTGGCGTTGTGCATAGTAGTCTCAGGCTTGCATTTAGTAATCATGCACTTACAGTTGTCTAGGGCAGACCTAGCAGGGCAGAAATTTCACAAACTGATTTGTAGTAAAGGTAAAGGTGGCATTATTTGACAGCCACATTTAAAGTGAGTTCTATATAGACCCATTTCATGCTTAAATGGTTCTATGCATGGTGAAATTGTTCTTCAGCTTGATGGAGAATATCGCTGCCCTCAGAACAAAACCTTGTATCTCCATTTTTGTTGTTTTTTGGTTTTTGACATAATTTGAAAATGCCTGTTACCTTTTACATTGTGTGTAAATTTTGTGATGAATGGACAAAAAGAAACAGCCCAAAATTACTTGGAAAAACGTCTGGTTCCATTGACTTACATTAAAAGTAAAGTAGGCTTTTTCCTTCTCCTGTAAAGTTACCATTTTGGAGACACAAGGTTTTGTTTCGACAACAGTGATATGTCGTATATGGTTCTATATAGAACTTTTTTGAAAATGGTTCTATATAGCACCAAAAAGGGTTCTGCTATTGTTACAAACTTGAGATTGTAGTAATAGCAGAACCCACATGGTTCTTTTCTAAAGAACGTTTGTAATAGAATAAAAGGCATAATGTTTTGAATGTATTTTGTATGTATTTGAATGTATTCCCTACCACTCCTCTCACTCAGGTGCTTCGACTACTTCTTCTGGGTGCCGCTCGTCGCACCTCTGGTTGGCGCTGTGCTGGGCTCCTTTTTCTACCAGGTCTTTATCCAGTGGCACCTTCCAGAACTTGAGCCAGAGAAGAACGGTCAAGCTGAGCTCACAGAGTCTACAGATGAGAAACCACTGGAGGAGAAGGAGGTGTTTCACATCAAAGTGGCGGCCTTGTAGTGAATACTGTAAATAGTGCACACATCTAGCCCTTGGTTATCCGTGGTAAACCAAGCAGACGTCATATTATTTCACCACTGTTTTAACCTATTTATCCTTCCATCACTGAAGACCAGGATGAGGAGGAGTTTCATCCCAGTGTCTATATCGTACTTGTTTATAGGAGTAACAGGAACCCAAATGTAACATATTTCATTCTATTTTAAACACAGTGCATCCCTCTGAGAGGTCTGAATTATTTCGGGGGGATTTCAGAGTGGGCTGTCAGTCACAAGAAGTTGTATATTGTTTCATACAGTCGTATGCAAAAGTTTTGGCGCCCCCTGTCAATTTCTATGTTCTAAGTGAACTTATCCTCTACAGAATTCCAGCGATCAGAGTTGCTGCCTAATTCAGTCGTTACAAAGTCGTTCAGTGTGCTTGGAGGTGAAATGCTCGGTTCCAGAGAAACTCACTGAGCCAGAACTCTTCACAGTGGTGGTGATAGGAACCAGACGTCTGAAGAGCGCAATGCGTCTAAAAGCTCCCTCACACAAAGTTATGACGTGAAAAGGTTACACACTGCCTGGTGCCCAAGACACTGTTTTATAAAGAGATCTTTGCCTAAAATATGTATTTGTAAGGTCATTCATGGTGGAGAGGTACATGTAGGGCATTGTAAGGCAAAATAGTCCCCATGAAAACATATTTTGTTCTGATTTATCAGAACATCATCAACATTACATATAGAAACTCAGAGGACATGTGCAGGTTCACTGCTGGTCTTAGAGTAAATTAAATGGCTATATCTGTGTTGTTGACATTGTGACCCCTGGTTCTTATCACCACCACAGTAAAGAAATCTGAGTCTGTAAGTTTCTCTACAATGAGACAATTTCAAATCAAACCACTCTGAATGACTTTGTTTCACTCCAGCGACTGAATTATAGACATTAAAACAGGTTGAATTTCCCTTTAATGCACAATTACTGTTTATTTGCTGAATTTGAAGTAAATAAATAAAACATAAAATGTACTATGCGCACAACGTCTGACACTTTTATTCTATTTCACACAATGTGAAAAGCAGTTGCTGTTTTCAGATGTCGTAAAAATAAAATGAAATAAAAGTTAAAAGGTTTTGATTGACAATAACACAGTTATTTGGAAATGTTTGTGAACTGATTATATGACTGTAGTGTTTGTAACAGTCAGATTTGTGGTTAGGAGAGTGAAGGACACAGAGTTACTGAAGTTTTATGTTTTTATCAAGCCTCCTCATCCTTCACTACTCTATATGTACCTTACTTTCTTCTGTGTGGCTGAGAAATGAAATGTTATCTTTAAAAAATCTAGCTTGCAATCACTACATACCTCACTGTTGTTGGAGCAAAACCTCATATTCCCAAAATAAGGAGAAGGAAAAAACCTACTTTACTTTTAATGGAACCAGATTTTTTTCCAAGTCATTTTTGGCCGTTTCTTTTGATCCATTCTTCATGAAATTTACACACAATGTAAAAGAAAAAGGGTATTTTCAAATTTTGCCAAAAACTGAAAAATATATCTATATAAACATCTGCATTTTTCCACATCTCCAAAGTTCAGTCTTAGAAGTTGGTTCTATTTTCTGCTCCTAGTAATCTCAAACACATTCAGTGGTGTTGAGGTCTGGACTCTGGGGTGGTCAGTCCATTGTTCAGCTTCTTTGTTTGATGTGTCCGTCTCCTTTTCTCAGTGAGGTTCTTCTTCACAGCTACCCATCCTTTCAGACCCACAGCGCTGAGTCGTCTTCTCACAGTGGAAGGATGGACAGAAACACCTGTGGATGTTTTCAGATCTGAAGCAGCTTGATTTTCTCCTCTCTCTCAGAGATGAAAGCTTTAAGTGCTGTTTATCTGATGGGGGCAGTTTTGGTGTCTACCAGGTGTTTTGGGTGGTTGTTAGCAGTCCTGTTTTCTCTGTATCGTTTAATCCAGGTTTTTTTCCCTTTTTTTTACCTTTCATCTTTCTCCTCCCTCATGAAAGTGTATTATGTATCTTGTATTTAATCTCCTCAGAAACAGCTCCTGAAAAATGACCAACTCACGGTTTTGACTGGAGATTAAATTACTGTAATAGTGGTCTCTGATTCCAAATGTATACAAATAATTCCGTGTTTATGCAAAATAAAAACTTAAAAGGTCCAGTGTCTGCATGAGATGGGGGGGGTACATACATTCCACTGTAATGCATATATAATAGACATATTTTTTGTTTATATTGTTATTGTTATAAAATAATAATAATAATAATAATAATAATAATAATAATACAATAAGAATATTTCGCATAATACACACACACATTTTCTAAGCCACTTATCCTTCTGGGTCACGGGGGGTGCTGGAGCCTATCCCAGCAGCCGTTGGGTGGAATTTGCATATAAAAATGGAATTAATATAATCATAACCATTTGGTTTGTTAACAAAATGTCACGTCTCTTGTAAATTAAATTTTATCATATCAATTCACATAGTTTAAAGAATTATTTTAAAATCTAATATTTTTATGCTGTACTTTAACACACTTTTTAAAAAATACAAGGATTACAAATGATCTGGCATTTGAACTGATGCAGGATTCATCAAGGGGGGCTTCTTACTCCAAGTAAGGTGGCATCTTGCCTCAACAGCAGGGCAAGATGTCCATTTGCAAGGTCTTCTTTTTTTGTGCTAGAAAAACAGAACCGTCTGCTGTTCCAGTGTATTTCCTGTAATGGTGTCTATGTGTCATCACTGTGTACATTAACACAGTGTTTCTCCGCCCTGGTCCTGCAGGCCCACTGTCCTGCACATTTTAGTGCTTTTTCCACCTCAAAATTGGGCTGTTAGGGAGCTGAATAGTTGGATCAGGGGTGCTGGCAGCTGAGAGAACAGTAAAAAGTGCAGAGCAGTGGGCCTCCACGACCAGAGATTAGAAACACTGCATTAACAAACCTTTATTGAACTAGATGTAATTCCCATCTCGACCAGTAGAGGGCGAAACACGACCGAACCAAAACAAACCTGAATTCAACAGACCGGCTAATTTACATGTTTTTCTCTGAATAGTTCTGTTCAGTTAGGTTCCGTGATAAATAGGCTCTGTAACTAACATCCTCTGACAAAACAGCCTGCTGACCAAAAATACTTCCCTGCAAAAAAATCCCATAGAAACCATTAAGTGTTTCTATTCGTTCCTGATGGTTTTGTGATGTGTTTTGGCTTTTTTAATGGGTTGATTTCACAGTGTAAAGGGTCCTAACGGTTTAAAAGTTTTTTTGTGAAAAAATAACACAGTTAATACAGGCGGCTGTTGTTTAACCACGCCCCCCACGCCGTATTCCGCGGTTAAAGTCCGCCTCCGTTCGCAGAAGCACCGCATCTTTCCGTAACAGATCACTGAAACTCCACACCTTCCATGTTCTTACAAGGCACAAGTAGAGGCAGCTCTCTCTCTCTGTCTCTCTCTCTCTCTCTTTCTCTCCCTGACTCACTCTTTCTCTCTGACTCTCTGTCCCCCTCTCTCTCTGTCTCTCTCTCTCTGACTCTCTCTCTCTCTCTCTGACTCTCTCTCTGACACTCTCTCTCTCTCTCTCCGTCTCTCTCTGACTCTCTCTCTCTCTCTCTGACTTTCTCTCTCTCTCTCTGTCTCTCTCTCCCTGACTGACTCTCTCTGTCTGACTCTCTGCGCCTCTCTCTCTCTCTCTCTCTCTCTCTCGGTTTTACTTTACTCACTGAAGCCCCGCCCCTCCACATTCTTTTTATAAGGCGAAACATAGATGAAAGAAGAGGAAACTGATATAAAGATATAAATGCGGGAAGAGGGAAAAGGAAATGAAAAAAAAAAACAAGAATACTGTTATTGCTCAATGTCTCTCACTCTTCTTTTTCAGTCACCGAAACCTCACATTTCTATCATTGTAAACACCCCTATATTCTTCCTTATGAAGCAGAAATACAGAGGAAAGAACGACAGGGACAGCATAGAAAAACAAATATTTAAAAGTAGAGAAGAAGGGGAAGGAAAGTGTTCTCTCTCTCTCTCTCTCTCTCTCTCTCTCTCTCTCTCTCTCTCTCTCGCACTGTATTCTTCCCTATAAACCAGGAACATACACCAACCAGCCACTTCATTAAGTCCACCTCCTTGTTTCTACACTCATTGTCCATTTTATCAGCTCCCCTTACTGTATAGGTGCACTTTGTAGTTCTACCGTTACAGACTGTAGTCCATCTGTTTCTCTGCATACTTTATTAGCCCCCTTTTACCCTGTTCTTCAGTGGTCAGGACCCCCATGGACCCTCACAGAGCAGGTACTGTTTGGGTGGTGGATCATTCTCAGCACTGCAGTAACACTGACGTGGTGGTGGTGTGTTAGTGTGTGTTGTGCTGGTCTGAGTGGATCAGACACAGCAGTGCTGCTGGAGTTTTTAAACACCTCAGTGTCACTGTTGGACTGAGAATAGTCCACCAAACCAAAAATATCCAGCCAACAGCGTCCTGTGGGCAGCATCCTGTGACCACTGATGAAGGACTAGAGGATGACCAACACAAACTGTGCAGCAGCAGATGAGCTATCGTCTCTGACTTTACATCTACAAGGTGGACTGACAAGGTAGGAGTGTCTAATAGAGTGGACAGTGAGTGGACACAGTGTTTAAAAACTCCAGCAGCACTGCTGTGTCTGATCCACTCGTACCAGCACAACACACACTAACACACCACCACCACACCAGTGTTACTGCAGTGCTAAGAATGATCCACCACCCAACACAGGAAAGCCAGTTAATCAAGTGTCTCTCCATAGAGCTGGTCATAGTAATGCAAAAGTGTTACTTTTCTTAGTTTCTATAAGAGGTAAGGACTGGAGTAGTGATTTAAATTCCACTAAAAAAAGGTAAAGTGTTGGCTGAGAATTTGAAAACTTCTGTTTATGAATAAAGAATTTAGCATGTAGAATGAAAAAAACAACAATATACTCGAGAGGCTTGTTAGTAAAGTTATTGGAGTAACAAATAATATCTGTGAGATTAAAGAAATCAGTCATTTTGACAGGGTTAAAAATGTGAGCATGTAAGTTGAACCAGAAGTCATTCGTCCTCTCACACTGAAAGAATAGGTGAGTCAAAGTTTCATCAGCAGATCCACAGAACGAGCGAAAGCTATTAATGACAACACATTTGGAAATAACCGAATTCACAGGGTATTTCTTATGTAAAATTTTAAAATGAACTTCTCTGATCTTATTGGACATACAGTATTTATGAGGCAAAAGCCACGCCCCTTTTTCAATTGATATGCTCAATAAAGGACATCCAGTAGAACTTACCCCCAGGGGTATTTTGTTTCTTTGTTGAAGAATATCCAATATGTTTATCATCACATTTTTTTAAGTATATTTACACCACCGAAAAGCAACGAGGGTAGCATAATTTCAATATTACTAAAACTTTTTTACAAGATGATCGAGGCCATCAAGAATAGCTCTAAT